ACTATACCTATTACTAGAAGAGTAAGTTTAAGACACTAAGTCAACGGCGTTAAGAGCCCCGCTAGGAAAACCCCTAATAAAGAAAAATGTAATATCACGACGACGATGGCGGTAATAACAATAAAAACCGGAAAATCCGGGAATTCCCTAGTTTCGTTAGCCTAATTAAGCGATTACTAGCTGCTACCTATAAACCTTATTCTTTTTCTAAGGGCTTTGTTAGTAGTTAGGCCTATAGAGTCTACTCGTATAGAGTAGAAAACGGATTATTATAAAGAGAAGAAAAAGAGGAGAAGATAAGCCACGAAGAAGACCTCCTTTTATACCCGTTTTCCCCTAATCTTACTACCCTACCCTGCTTTCCCACGTAATAGCTCTTTCTTACCCCTAACTACGCTAGAGGCTTAGACTCGGAAGCTTACGTCGTTATAATCTACTACCCACTACCCGATCCCTTCCTATTTCTCGGCCTTAGCTACCCTATTAGCTATAACTACACACCTATTCCCCTAATTACCGCGAAAGATACCTATTTCCCCCCCCTTCTTTACTCCTAAACCGGTCCTTCTTTTTAGTCCTTATACTCGGGGATATACACCTCGATTTCCCTATACTAGATATAAGCCCCTACGGGAAGAGAGATTAGATAATATTTAATAGTCTCCCCCTTCTAATACTAAGCACTATCCTTAACCCTTTAGCAGTGGCTATCCAGTTTAGTCTAATACTAATATATTAGAGCTAGAACTATAGCCGGAATACTATCTCGAGCTAGGAGATCTCGACCTCCCGAAGTATCGCGTTACTAGCGAGCCACCTATTAATAAATATCCTTTATATTAATAATATAAACGCCACGCCGAGGGGACTATAAAGGCCGGTAACGGTTATTATAAATCGACTAAGGCAGCACTATACTCTACTTAGGAGACGGGTTAGGGTGATTAACGCCCGGATACTTATCGCCTAGCCAGGAGACCTCTTAATTACCCTATTAAAACTATCTTCGAAGGGTATCGTCACGATATATATAAGCGGACTCGTGAAATTAATAGTTAGTATAGTCCGGGAACTCCTTACTCCCCTAGATCGATACGTACTCGAAAAAGGGGTATAAAATCTTATTATTAACCCGATTAGTTATAGCTATCCAATATTCCTCACAGCACTAGTAAGGGACCTTATTAACGGTGCCGTATACCTAGATCAAAAGCGCCCTAGTAGTATAAGGCCTCGAGATAATCTTTATAAGATATTCCCTCTAAGGGCTAGCTATATCCTTCGCTATAAAGATTCGATAACGGAAAAGAGGGGAGCCGTTACTAGCCTTTATCTTTATAAATAAGCCGACCTCGACGTCTCTAAGGTTAAGAAGAGTATTCTAGACCCGCCTAGTAATAGCCGCCTTACTTTTACCAGGAATTAATGACTATAGGAAGTCTAACTTAACGTACGATAAGCCGCCCTTACTAGCCACTTTATACTAGCTAAGATAGGAGTTCACCTATAGGTTTATTAGTCTTTATATAGCCTAATTAGGGTAACCTATATATAGAATCGATAAAACCTCACCACTATATCCACGGGGGTTACTCCGAAGGAGTATTCCTTACAGGCCCTAAGGGGTAAATAAGCCGCCGGCCAGAACCACGGCGTTAGTTTAATAGACTATTAATGAGTAACGGCCTTCTTCCTTTCGTAAGACTTAGTCTTATCGAGTATACTAATTAGCCGTTTAGTCGCTATTATTACTATTATTAGTTATTATAAGTGTAAATAGCGGTTAGGTTCGTATTTGCCTCGATATTATAGTAGGAAAAAGAAGAAGAAGAGGAGGGATACCGCTAGGAAGCTTGCCCTTTATACTCGAGGGATCAAGCGATTAAGGGGGGCTATAAGCCTTATTACTGCTATAAATTATAAAGACGGCTATTTAGTTAAAGCAGTTATAAAGGGGCCTTTACCTGCTACGGCCTAAGGGAGGGGTAATTCACTATTTCCCCTTTTAGATCCCTTATTTCTAAATCACGGCTATACCTATAACTAAACAACATAGGAGCTATTTCGTCTAATCTTTTCGACTAATTAGAGCCCGGATTTTAACGTCTTTTTCCTAATCGGGAACCTTCCCGTCGGGTTAAAGAAGTCACTATCGCAGTAACTAAGGCACGCCTCCTTTAACTAACCGAAAAGACTCCTTTATAGGTAGTAGCTAAGTAGTAACGCCTACTATAAAGGAACCCTCGAAAAGAAGGCTATCACGGAAGAAAGCACTTTCGAGCTTATTAAAGGAGGATAAATACCCCTTAACCTTAAGGTCTAAGGATCTCTTTTCCTCTCTTTTCTACTCTTTAGTTTTCGACTAGCCTTTACCCTCGGATATCACCCGTAACTACTAACCTCTATTTCGTAAGTAACGACTTTTTCTTTTTCTTTTTAACTCCCTTTAACGCCCCTAGATCTAATCAGGCTAACTAGCCGTAGTTTATACTCACGGTGGCTTTTATTTCCCCTTAGCACCCCTTTTCCCCCTCTCGTTATATACGTTACTACCGCTATAACTAACTATTAGGCTATAGCCCCTATAGGGAACTTACTTAAGCGCTATATTCACCCTAAGGCGCGCGCCGTTATTAATTCTCGTACTAGAGGTCGTATAGAATACGTCCTTAAGAAGAGTAGATAGGCTTTTCCCTCGATAGGTCTCCCTTACCACCTATTCGACGTATCCGATAACGACCCCCTCTTCTTTAAATTTACGGCAGGTAGTATAAAGGACTAGTAAGTAATTTAATAGCTCCTAGGATCTATAGAGGGAGAGTATATAGGCGGAGAAGTTATAGATAATATAACCCCGTTAACCTCCTTAGTAAAGATTCGTGGAGATAGTATTATAGCCGCCCGTATAGCCTTACTAGCTACGTAAAGAGTGCATATTAACCTCTCTAAGGGTAAGTAGTTAGAAAAGTCCACTATAAAAGACCTAATCAGGGTAATAATCACTAGATAGATCGGGGATACTAGGCCTAAGGCCTAGATTAATAATATTAACTCGTAGGGCTATAACGCTAAGAAGAAGAGGTTTAACTATCTAGACGTGAGCGAGAGAAATCTTTTTAGAATCGTAACGTCCTGGCTAATTCCCTTTATATACTATATTAGAGGTAACCACTTTATTAGCCTGATCTTAGACTAGAAGACGTGGGTTATATACGTATACGATAGTATATAGCACGACGGAGGAGCTAAGAAGCGTCTATTAAAGAGATTCCGAGGAGCTATAAGTTAGCTACGGTATATTAAAGCCCCTAAGGAGGCTATAGATAGCCTAGTCAGGAAGTTTTATATTATTCTAGGCCCTTAATAGAAGGACGAGTATTTATATGGCCTATTCGTTAGTAAATAGATTCGTTACGTTATTTAGGAGGGGTATTTATTCCCTGCCTTATCCCGGCTATACCGGCTATAAGATAGCCGCTATTACGTTAACGATATAACTAGCTATACTAGGCATATTAGATATAGCTAGTTAAGTTACGCAGGCGAACTCTTCGGCTTCGGCCACTAACCTAAGCTTAAACTAGCTTCCGAGCAGTCCACCCTATCCCCTAACCCCGCTCCCACTACCGCTCCCGTCGCTACTCCCTCTTAATCATCCGTCTAAAATAACTAGTTTCACGCCTATTAATAAGAAGTAGAAGTCTATTAACCCGCCTAAGGGTCCGAAGACTCCGAAGGCTCCTAAGACGCCCCTGCCTACTAAGTCGAAGTCCTCTTCCCCTAATTAAGGGGTAACTAAAGGACTAGCACTTAGCGAGGATAATAGGGATATATTCCCGGAACTAGGCAATCTCGAGCTTACCACCCGTAAGGCTAAGGAGGTCGGTAAGGGTACTCCCTCGACTATTAAGCCCACACCTATAGCCTCGCCTAAAGCCCCTAAGGTTTATATCTTTAAGGGTTCCCCTAATCAGAAGATGACTAAGCCTAAGAAGCAGATATAGCAGCCGCAGCCCGCTCTAGTCAAGATTAGCTTAGCCACTAATTACTACACGTATAAGAGAGAAGACCTCGTTAAGTTTTCCACGAGGATGGATATATAGAGTAAGTGGGAGAAGGACCGAGTATACTAGGACCGCGGTCTGGAAATTTCCCGTAGCCTGCTATTCTATAGGCTAATCGAGATAAGGAACGTGCCGTTTAGACCGAGTAACAATAGCCGGGAGGATTAGGTCTAGTCGTTTAATAACTCCTACAGAGCCGTTTTACAGGATACCGCTACTAATAGTAGTGAGTATCTTCCGCTATCGCGAGTAGTGGAGTAAGGAGGCTAGCATCGTTATAATACCGCTATTAAGTAGGAGGCAGATAAAGCTACCGCTAATCAGGAGGCTAAAAAGACTAATAAGCCGGACTACGTGGTCGGGGGAAGGACTTTACGAAAGCGTAAATAAAGGCATATATAGAGGATTAGATAAAGAACGTCTTAAGGATATAGCCGATAAAGATAGTGAGGGAATAGTATATACGGAGGAACTAGAACTAAGAGAATCCCTAACTTAGTATACGTGGAGGACGGGGTGATTAGAGGAACGAGGGTATATAATAGCTTTTTACTTGGTTTATTTACTTATATCTGCTTATTTTTAGAAGTTATCTACGTTACGAGGGCGCGAACGAGATAACTAGGGCCGTATTATAACCGCGCAGATACGGCTTTAGAGTGGTTTAGCAGGTAGTCACGTGACCCCCTTTTCAAGGCTACGGGGTCCACCTCCTATATATATATTAAGAACAGGCGCTGGATATCCCTATCGAGGGACCACTATATAATTATTATCCTCTTTTATAATTACTTATTCCACGTTTAAGGTATCTTTCTAGCTTAACTTACGTTACCCTAATCAGAATAGTGACTACCGACCTACTTCTTCGCTAAAGGTTATAGCGGTGTTAGTTATGTTTTGGTTATATATCGTGGTTTCGCTGGACTAACCTCTTTATCTGATCTTTGTCTTGACGATCTGGTGCCACTACGTCTTCATCCAGTTACAGTGTGTATCCCTTCTTCCTGCGTGCCTTATTAATATTTAGGCACTTCTATAGAGGCTAATAGTTATATTTACTCCTCTTCTTATTACGGTAGTCGTAAAGCCACTCTTTCTTTTACTATAGAGAGGACTGCTAATTATCTTACTATCCCGATTATACCCGCTAATCCTTACCTTCTTTATCCTTACCTAGGAAGGTTACCATATAAAAGGATACTACGGTAGGCTTCTTATCGAGTCGGTGCGGGTAGCGGCGACGAAGCTATATCGTATATTCCTCTATAATAGATTGAATTAAGGGTAAGTCTTCCTCTTCTAACCGGATAAACTATATAAAACGTCCTTCTAACTACTCTAGTACTACGTAGCCGATAGCGTTAAAGAAGCCGTCTATCTATTATTCCTTAGTATTATATTCTCGAACTTTATACGTCTTAGCATCGCGGTATAGCTTTATAAAGTCTTTTAGCTAGCGCTTATAGGGTATACGCCTAACGTTTTAGAGGTATTTATCCTAGCGTCTCTTAATTAGTGACTTCTAGGCGGTATTTATTAGCTTAAGGTGCGTCTTAAGGGTATATAGGATATCCTTAACTTCTTTTTTACCGGCGTACTAATCCTTTGAGGCAGGGCTATCCGTTTTCGCGATATAGTCGTGGAGTGCTTAAATCCCCCTCTTTTTAGCCTTATACCGATCCTTTTCCACCTACTAGATCTTAAATAGTATATCCTAATTAGTGGTGTTACGTTCTTCGGCTATAGTAGGAGGTTATAGTGGATCGGTTCGAATACGGCGCTTAGGCTGTTTAGCCTTTTTAAGGTCGGGATTAACGAGGTCGGCGATATCGTGGGAGTGCGCGATAGTTATCACGGCTTTAATCTAAGGCCTCTAGTCTTTCGGAGAGGTAAGCGTTACGAGGCCTATAATAGGCACTGCTACCGTGGAAGCTATCGTTATACTAATAAAAAGCAGTGGAATAGAATAAACGAAAAGGTTAATTAACTATACTAAATGCTTTAAACGGTGGTGCGATAAAAACGATAAAACGATTAAATAAAACTAAAGTAAGCGGACATTACTAATAATACTAAACTACCCGCTATAGACTTAAGGCTAATTTAATAGTCTAGAAGCTATAGGATCGATCGGAATAGCTTTGTTTATTAGAACGCCAGGCTTATAACTATCAGAATATAAATAAGGTACGCGGAATTATATATTATTTATCTAAGTGAAGTTTGTGATACTTCACGGGAATGTCTAACTATACGGAAAAAGCAGGGGAAATAAGGGTGGATATATAGGACCGAGGTACTCCACACGTCTGATACTATGTGGTTTGTCACACCCCGATAAGGTGGCTGTGGCATCTGACAACAACGTAACAGGAAATACCTACCTCCCTACCTGGTGCTCGACTCGCATCAGTGGATGGCCAAGGCGTACGGAAAACCGTACTTGGTACCCACGCACCGATTGATAATAATGTATTCCTAGATAATTACTGAGTACCTTATCTACCCATATCTACACATCAGAGGAAAAGCCAAGTCAACCCGCTCGCAGCCATACGGTTACATTCCAATCGCACGTGGGAAATGCCAAGTACCTTATGCTACACACCATCCCCGGGGCAAGGCACTGTGATTCCTGCCTGTGGTGTTGGAGTTGATGCAAATGTTTGTCGGTGTGACCGACTAAGGTACTTCGTACATGCAGTCAATCCTCCGTGGCATCCTAGCATCTTTCCCCCCTGCCCCGGCCCCGCCTCCCATTGCTCAGGCTCATTTAGCTCCGGCACCGAACAAAGCCTCCCGCGTGTCGTAGGTATATGACAGATCCAGGTGCCAGTAATTGGTGGTGTCCGCCCTCGCAATGTACCAAGCTTCGTCCAGCGCCTGCACGACCTCATCCGGCAACGGACCCTTCTCGAGATGATCGAGGTTCACCTCGAGCTGCGAGACGCTCGAAACCCCGATCAGAATCCCGTCGTTGCCGTCTTTGATCTTGAGCCTCGAGTGATGCACCGTCCACCGTAGCGCCGTCTCGATGACACTAAGCCCGTGCTTTTCCACGGCCGCTTCGACCGTCTGCAACGCCCTGAACGTGCTGTCCCGGAAATACCGCTTGCGGTAGTTGGCCCCCATTGGGTTCACGTCCGAGAACCGTCCTTCCGTCGGTACGATGTCTTGGGACTTGATCTTGCCCGAGAACAGGCCGCCCGCGAGGGGGTTGTACACCACGATATCCAAGCCGTACCGACGGCACGCGGGGATCAGTTCGGCTTCGATGTTGCGCGTGATCGCGTTGTACATGGCTTGGTATACCGTCGGACGGACCCAGCCGTTGTACTTGCACGTCAACACCACCTCGGCCACTTCGAATGCCGTAAAGTTGCTCAACCCGAAAGTGACGAACTTGCCGGCCTTGTGGAGCTTGTCTATCGCCTCGAGCGTTTCGGCGAAGGGCGTTGCGCGGTCCTGATCACCTCTGCGTCAGCTACGACTTCGTTGTCTTTCTTTCCGGGCTTCGTCGATCCTCCCTCCCTTGGCTGGCGCCAGGGCATTCAGGAGGTGGTCGTTCGAAGGAAACTATTCACGTACCGCTGCATGGAGATATAGGATCTGTCCAGTGCACCCATGTTAACAAGATTCGTCTCTCCAGGAATACAGAGCCACATGGCCGTGGCTCGTTTAACTTACATCAACACAGTCGGTCCCGAGTTCTTTCAAGCTTGTCTCAACTGAGTCTAGCACCTTATCGGCAGCATACGTCCCGGGTTCGGCTGGATATTGAACCTTGGTGGCCAAGGTCAACCCCCTCTCCTTCCACTTCGCTTCCCGGGTGAAAGCCTCCTGCTGTTTCCCAACATACATCCGCGCCGTATCGACTTCGTTATAGCCACGAGCCTGGAAGACATCAAGGGCCTTGTTGAATGTATTCAGATCAGTGATGCGAGCGCCTTGGTTCTCATTGGGCCCGAAAGTCATGAGACCCAAGATGATGCGGTCTTTCGGGTTCTGTGCGATGAGAGGCATGTTGGACGTTTGTTTACTTTCTTTCTTTGTTTTCGTTCTTCTTGGCCGGCGTAATAGTAGACGTGAAGGAAGGTGGAAGGGAAGGAGGGACACACAAGTACCTCAGGTTCTTTTATCTAAGTAGGTGAGGACAAGAAGAATCGAAATGTGGGACACAGTCCAATGGTTCGAACAGCTTCTTATGTGCATCTCTCGTTTCTCCATGAGGAAAACCTTCTAAGCCCCGCAAACCCCGGTCGACGAATCCTCTAACTCCGATGTCGAACCCCTCATTTACGAACAACACGACGATGCGTACAATACTGAGAACCCCCGCCTTGTCGCCCTTGGAGAGTCCCAGGGGGCTGGGATTGATGACCCGACTATCGGATCTCGCGCTGGCGTGCTCTGTCGTGCCAAAGACGTCATTAGACCTCATCATATGGAAGCCGGACTTGTTGATTAGTAGCGTCAAGTATGTACATAGTGTCCAGAGGTTGACTGCATCGGGAAAGACTCGGAATTCGTGCTTCGTACATCAGTATCGGGACGACGTTCCTCCGGATATCGGGATGTTCTCTGTACTCGCTGGATACATAGGTACCTACGTGACATCGTGGAATCATGGGGAGCTTACATACTCCGAATGAAAGTCATGTGACATTACCCTTCTGAATCCGCACAAACTCCGTAGTACCTTATAGAGGTATTTCTTAGGTGGCTGCCTCAGGACCACGTGCCTTAAAGCGCTTTTCGCGTAGTACCTTCCTTTAAAGCGCGTCGTTCACCACCCTTGTTCGCGTCACTAACGTGCCAACTAGGAATCTCGCAATTTCCAATAACCTCCATCACATTGTGGTGGAGTATCTCAGATCCAGCCTGCTAAATATTATCGCCAAACTAATTTGCTAAAGTATTATTCACGATTTCGTTACAGTAACACTATCGGACTATTTTCAGAGGGGTGTTCATGCACCAGCATCACCGACGTGATTTCTATAACAGCTTCAGACGGGTCCTCTCCCTCTGTGCTCTTGAAGATGGTCAAGGACAATGCACAACCTCCGCAGCCTGGTATCTATAGTGCCACGTACAGTGGCGTAAGTCTTCCGCTCTCCAATTATCTGATATTCCGGCCCTCCAAAGGAAGGCATCCCAACAGCCTACTCCAAGCCCTTAGGTCTCTTTGACTTAAAGACCACGATAGACTGAACCAAGTTCCTATTGGTCGTCGACAAGCCGGTGCTGCCTGCCTATGCTGAGCACCATTAAAGGCTTCTTTCTCCTGGTGCCTGAAGTGCTAACTCTCCTCCTTGTGCAGATTCCCGTCTACGAGTTCCAGTTCGGAGATGACTTGAAGGAGCATATCATGCGCCGGCGGGAAGATAACTGGGTTAATGCCACACATATCCTGAAAGCCGCAGGCTTTGACAAGCCAGCACGAACCCGAATCCTCGAGCGAGAGGTCCAGAAAGACACACACGAGAAAATCCAAGGAGGATATGGAAAATACCAAGGGACCTGGATTCCTCTCGAGCAAGGTATCCAGCTAGCCCAGCGGAACAATGTATTTGACCGGATACGCCCCATCTTCGACTTTACACCTGGTTCGAAAACTCCGCCGCCTGCTCCCCGCCATGCGAGCAAACCCAAGGCACCGAGAAAACCAGCCGTGCCTAAATGGCCTGGTTCGTCCTCCCGTTGCGTTGACATCTTACATGGGCACATGTTTGGCTGACCGACCCCTAAGCAGCTGCTGCCGTTGCCGCGCAAGAAGACGTGGATGCTGGTGACTCCGTTATGAATGAGGATGATACCCCAGATAATCTCACTGTGGCATCCGCCTCGCACATGGCCGAAGAAGACCATTTCGACATGTCCCACATCTCCTCCACTGGTCACCGTAAGCGGAAGCGGGAAGAAGCCATTCAGGACATGACCCAACAGCAGCACTCGGTATACGGGGATGAGCTCTTAGATTATTTCCTCCTCTCGAGGAATGAGAAGCCAGCACTTCGACCAGAGCCGCCTCCGAATTTCCAGCCCGACTGGATCATCGACTCGGAGGACCATACGGCGCTCCACTGGGCAGCGGCGATGGGCGATATTGAAGTCATCAAGCAGCTGAAACGCTTCGGCGCTAATCTCGCCGTCCAGAACGTCCGTGGTGAGACACCACTCATGCGGGCTGTTCACTTCACGAACTGCTACGAGAAGGAAACCTTTCCCCAGGTCCTTCGGGAGCTGTTCGAGACGGTCAGCCTGCGGGATCACAGGGGTGCGACCGTTATCCATCATGCGACAGTCATGAGGAATGGCCGTGTCACCAGCCACCCGTGCTCCAGGTATTATCTGGATCTCATCCTGAACAAGCTCCAGGAGGCGGCCGATCCCATGTTCGTGCAAAACCTCATCGACACCCAAGACCACGATGGCAACACGGCGCTCCATCTCGCTGCCGGGAGGAACGCGCGGAAGTGTATTCGAGCCCTGCTGGGGAGGAACGCATCCACGGATATGCCTAATCAGGATGGCGTATATACCGAGGACATGATCCAACAGTTAAACGGGGTCCGGAAGGAGCTGCATCGATCCTCGTCCCCGTTCGCACCTGACACGCGCTCGGAAAGAGAACACACCGGCGTCGCGGTGAACAACGACCGTGCCAGGAAGGCGTTTGGCTTTGCGGTGTATGATTCCGATGCCGCAAACGTTATCCAGGACCGCATTGCGCCCCTCGTTTCGCAGAGCCTACACGAACTCTCCGCGACGTTCGACGAGGAGCTGCACGAGAAAGAAGCGGCCGAGAAGGACGCACGCCGCCTCCTGAACAACACGCAGAACGAGCTCAACTCCATCCGCCAGGAAATTGCCATGCTCGAGGGCCAACTCGAGCCCGACAACGTGGCCTCCAAGGTCATGGCCGAGGCCAATCTGGCTAAGCACCAGGTCATGTCGCTCATCACGCGCCAGAACAGGCTGCACGTGCATGAATCCGTCGACGCGGAACTGAGCCAGCTCAATGGCGACGTCGAGGAGGGTTCCTACGAGGAGCGCCTGGCTCTCGCGCGTCAGCTCCATGCGGCGGTACAGGAACAGCGCCAGGCGGAGGCCGAGTACGTCGACGCTCTGGGCATGGTGGGAACGGGCGAGAACATCGACAAATATCGTCGGCTGCTTAAGAAGTGCCTCGACCCTAGAGATGCCGACACACTCGACAGCAACCTTGACAGCCTCGTGGAGATGATGGAGGAGGACCGCGACGTGGGGGTTGATATGGATGGCGTCGAAGCCAAGTCCGTGGATGTTGGGATGAGTCTCAACCTTCACATGTGAAGACGTCCTGTTGTAGCGTATGTTACCACGGGGCCGTTATAGGCTTCTACCTGCGCTCGGATTCGATGTCTTGGGCGCAATTTCTTTCGTCTCATCTCTTGTTTATCTCTTTATGGCCTGTTGACATACATCAGCCGGAGCAGAGGGTCTTATTCCCCGCGCCGGGTGGGGGTGGGGGGCAGCGAAGGTCGCTTATTTGTGTTTGGGCATCGCCAACGCCTCCGGGCCTATAAGGAGGAGCTGCGTTATACCATACGAACGGCAGGAGGGTTATTTTTTTTCAGGCGTTGTGGCTTAGCGAATGGCGGACGGCGTGGGGCTGGTGGCCTAGCATTGACTGACCTGAATAGATCTATACCTTTGATGGTACCCATGAAAATATTGGGATGCGAACCAGCTTTGACTCTTACCTTATGCTTCTGCTCCAGCTCATGTCACATTACTAAGGCCATCGGAAGGTCAACCTCCCCTCCCCCTCCCCAACCTTGACTTTTTTCTTCTTCTTTTTTTCTCGCTCTGTGCGCCTGATCACTTCGCACTCACATCATACGACCCAGCTGACTCTGCCAACCCAGTATATTGTCTACGGTACCAAGTCCGGTGTAAGTCAACCATTGGCTGGGGCCTCTGTAGCCAAAGAGAAAGCTTGCTGACGACGTCGATATAGAATATATTCACTATATCCAGTCACGTTGCTGTTCCACTTCATATAACCCTTCCACTCCACTCTTGTGGCCAGGTTCCGGGCGAAGACGTTCTTGGCGGGACACCACTTCTCGCACAGGACTGGACGACCTGGGTTGGCTGCAGACCGTTCTCATGACCACATGGGCTAACAGAGCTTGCACGTAGGAAGTAAGTACCAGCAGCGAGTAAGTACCAGCAGCAAGTGGAGACCTCATGCACGATTAGTTATTGGTGGCTTGGTCTAGGGGCTACAACGTACTGATGGAACGGTGGTCAGATCAGGCGCCTGTCATCCCGTCCAATCGACCGGTGAAGAAGTCCTAGTGAAGGACGTCTCAGGTTGAAAAGCTGGCTGGGGAAGTTCGATCGAGATAACTTGGCCGGGAAGTCACCACATCTGCATCCTGTGTCTCAGATGCACATGGACGGATCAGCTCGATGAATAAGAAAGGTTCTGTTCAAGGGTGGCCAATGCCTAGCAACGCACTGGACCGCCTCTTGTTGTGCTGGAAGAACAATTTTTATCTGGGCAGTTTTGTACCCAAGCAAGCGCCCAGTCTCTAGAAGAACTCGAGAAGTCGGGTGGTGGAGACGAAAGTTCTTGGCCAAGATGATCTGATCGGTCTGAACGGTCCAGTTTTTGATTGCCGGGTGGTCATCTGGGGGTTAGTCTTGACAGCTTAAGGTAGATTGGACCAACAGGGCAAAGTCCTCCGTATCAAGTGGAAGCATAGGGCTCACAGGTCAACCTTTCCAAGTTGAATAAGATGGGCTCACGGAAGCCCGATAATTTGCACGCCAGCTGAATGCCAGTTCCACCAGACCAGCCCATCATGACTGTGGAACAACGTAGCTCGGGCTGGACCAAGCAGGCGGGACAAGTTGACGCCTGACTGTGGCCAACCAAGGTCTATCAGGCTGGATGCGAGATCGATATGAATGCGTACACGGACGGATACTTCGTAGGTGTTTGGGGGGTGGGATTGGACGGACTGCGGCTGATGGAACCCGGACCTAACAATGCGGAGGTCCAGGTAGCTAAGGCATGTTAAGTCGTTCATAGCGCGAGCATGCCGCGCATGACGTACCTTGCTCAGCGGTCCTTGGTTCGAGGCAATGATCTAATAGGTGGCAGGTTAGCAGCAGGCTTTGGCTTGCCTAACGGACAGCACTTTACGAGGTCAAAGTGCAGCTGGAATCAAGCAGCATGACAGCACGGGATGTGGGAGATCCAGTAAAGCAGGAGGCGGCAAAGCAACAGAGCATGCGCCAGGTGCCGGGGAAAAGGGACTCGAACTCCACATAGACTAGACGTGCCGTGCTTTTCGTACCCCTTGTTGTACTAAGCCACCCGAGCTGCAGGAAGCACGGCATTTTTGAAGTGGCACCGGAGCAATTGCCTCTTGAAAATGAGACATCGGGTGGTCGAATTTCTCGTGAAGTGGGGGGATTTAGAAGTCTCTTGCTTTTGTTGATGGACTCAGAAACCTGAGGGACCTACATGTACCGGTAATGATGATGATAAGTCAGCATGGACCATGGTGTCCCAGACGGTTTACGCCGGGTGATCTGGACCTTGCGGGGGATGGACTTTTGACGGGGGGCTTCAGCTGAGAAGTGTCCCGAGCAAAATGCGGGAAACGGTGGATCCCTAGGGACTAATATCGCGAACACGAAAAAGGGCGACATGGAAATTGTCCTGTTAACACAGCTATCAGGCTATCGCACGCGGCCGATGAGGCGCGGTCGTGTCAAGTCTGGGCAGTGGCAATGTTTACACGTAACAAACGAGTCGTTCAAGGCCGTGATGAGTCGGTGATTGTCAGCGAAAAGGAAAAGGACGCGTGCCTTCAGGGCGAATTTCAGGATGCGATGGAGAAGGGTGTGAGAAACGATGCAAGAGGGGGCCAAGCAGAGGCATCTGAAACCCCAGTCCCGAATCCGAATGTCCCGTCGGGCTTAATTGGGCCTGACGCGAATGGGTGGGAGATCGTCAAGGGCCGATCTTTCGGATTCGAGGCTTGTCACTGATCTTCAGAATCCCAGCAAAAAAACGTCAACGACACGGTCCCCTTCGTTGTCGTAATGGGGAAGGCGAATTGAAGGCGCAAGAGCTTTTGGGTCGAGTTTCTACTTTCCTCCTTTGCGTGACGGACTCGTGGAACTGTGCAACTCCAGAGCAGGAATAGGCTGTCCTGTGGAGCTCGGAGACTACACTAGACTTCAATATTTAGATAGGGTATTATGTGCCCGTTGAGCTTCGGTTTGCTCAGTTCAGTTAGCTATTCGTATCATGTTGTTTGTTTCCTGTGTTTGTTTCCTGTGCCTCTGCCTATAATAAGCAACCCGGAAATATTCCAGGCGCAATATACAAGGGGCGGGGTTCACCGCTGACAACTTCAAATCGAACTCGCTGAAAGAATCTAAAGTGAGACTTGCCTTACCATATATGGATTGGTTCCGTGCCAATCATGCAGGACGTGGGTCCCGAAGTCGCACTCCCCTGGGGTGTTCTTTTCCAGAATCGCGACGGCGTGTAACTAGGATTTCGGTGGAACAAATGAAGGACTTCCGCGTGCGAGGTGACAGCTGGAAGCGATCCCTGAATTGATGGGAATCCCCACCTCGGCGAATGACAGCCAGCTTGCCAAACGACAATTCAAGATCCAGATCTCGCTCAACCCACATGGAAGTACGACGAAGTTGGTATGGTTACCCAACCATACGTTGTACAGATATGCACCGGGGTGCTTTTTCAGCTTCCATTTTCTATGGATACAAGCAAAAAAAGTAAAGTTGGGTTTCGATATGCGAACTCCTTCGAAGGGCGGGGGGGTTTTTTTCTTCATTTTTTTTTTTTTTTTTTTTTTTTTTTTTTTTTTTGGTTTGATGACGATTACTTCGTACAACGTACACGGTATGTATGCCACCACGAGCTGAACCTTTGTGTTGGAACAGGTTACTGGTGCCGAGAAGCGCAAATTAAAAGTACAAGCGGTGCACTTCTGGCATCTGCGGGTGTTCGAGCACTTTAGGCGAGCCGAGTCGAGTCGGCCAATGTACGTACTTCCGCGACTCGGCTGTGTCTGGGCTTCGTCCAGTCTTTGTCGTCGCAAGATGCCGATGAACATGCCCATCAGCCCTATGGCGATGCCTTTGTGGGAGGACCTGGGTGAGAGGGTTGGGACCACTACGGGGTAGGAAGGACCGCCCAACCACGGAGTCGTAATTACGGAGTAACGTACGAAGTAATTATGTACTACCTACATTAACCGCGCACTCTCGGCCTCTCACGAACCTGGAAGTACCTTACCTAACGGAGCAGTTATGGGCGAAGTAACTACCTTAATTACCTAGGTACACTATGACCTGCCGATAACCGAGCTCGACGCAGATGTACTTCACGGGGCCCTGCGGATCCTTCTTTCACACGCACACGAACAGCTCTCGTTGATGCCGCCCGACCTATTACGATGCACATTCGGGCAGATGAGTAAGCTCTTAATGCACCACAATCCGGAAGGCAGAACGCGACGCAAGGCGCCGCCGTGAGGAGGCGTGCCTGTAGTACAATGTACGACACTGGCAGGGGTCACGGGCCACGGGCCGTGGGTCACAGCTCAGCTCAGCTGAACCTCAGCACGCCCACGACACGCTAGCGAGAGCTGGCTTGGTGTAATTATCGTCTTGCTGGGATTTGCACAAGGCCCCTTGCTCGATCAACGCAAGACGCCCATTGAGAGAGCGGGCCAGCGAAGGAGAAATCAAGTTGCGCCTTTCGACTCGGCGCGAGACAGGGCGTGTGCGAATTCTTCTTGCACTTGTGTCGCTTCTCCGGTCGAATTTTATTCTTCCTTTTTTTTTTTTCTTTTTTTTTTCTGTTCACCCCCCTCCTTCTTCATATTCCTCCGCAAAGCGTCGAGTCCACAGCCGGCGGCCATCTGATTTCGACCCTTGACGTCTCTCGCCTCAAATTTCATTCTTGCGAACACACCCAAAGTACCGAGAAAACACTCCGTGGCGGCTGTCTCCGTCAGCCAGCGAGCTCATGAAACACGCACCAGTTATTTGTCTCCATGGCTCGTGCCTGTTTGCTAAGCCCAGTTGCCAGGGTTTGATTCCAAGAGCCCGTTCCTTCGGGACCCCCCTTTGATTAGCAAGGGACCACAAGGGGGAGAAACGGGTCCAAGGAAAGTGCCGACGCATGACGCATTTGTCTAGAGGGAAGAAAGAGAGGAAAGAAAGAAAAAAGAAATACAAAAAAATTACAAAAAGGTTGGCTGTCGTCAACGGTCAAATCGCAGCTGAACATTTAACTGTTTCCAATATCAAGCACCGCCACAGGACCGTTGACGTTGACTGACTGGACAGGGACCCCACAAGGTTCGACAAATTCTGACAGCCTTCTATTGCCGTTCAGGTCCCCGAATCGCTTTCGAAGTTGGTGTCTACCCTCGCATTCGGTACCTCGACCTATATGAGGTACCTACCTACCTTACCTATGATATACGAAGAGTGATTCATCACATTAAATGTACTCCGTACGAAGTACATATACGCCACCCTGACCTGAGTAGGAGGAGGCTGGCCGCGGGAGACCAAAACGGGAAAACTTGTGGCGGCGACGTTGCTGGAACCTTTTGACTTGATCTTTTGTTCCGGCCACCCTTGGGGCCAACCTAGCACGCGACGCTCAGACAAATCCCAAGACAAGGATCTTGGTCGATGGGCGACCCCTTCGCTCATCTTGTTCCTCCTCCCACAGCACCCTCTAACCTGACCCGATCCTACTCCCATATGGAGTATAGACGATCTTACTGCACGTCCCCGTCCTTATGTATTCCTCTCACCAGCCCGTAAACGCGCCCCCTTTGCCGTATGCATATGGTGACGATACATATATGAGACCTTCCCACTTCCCTATCCCTACTCCTCGTCCCAAGAGCAGAGCAAACTCCCTTCCCTTCCATTCTCCCCCACTGTCTTGTGCTAGCAACCGTGATCCCCTCCCACTACATTGCGCCTCAAAAACTGCGCCGCCTTTTCAATCGACTAGAACCGTGTCGGCATCTTGCCTCTCCCATACCTAGCGTCGTCAATGATTATATCGATATTCTCCGACCAATTCACGCCGCTCTGCCCTTTCTTGTCCGACGACCCTGAGACATCGACTTCCCATTGTGCCACTTGGCGAGCCCATCCAGAACAACCCTGAGACCGATGCGCCTTGCCATCCTAGTTCCCAACCAACCTCTAGTCTACCGCCGGCGATCTCCACCATCCTCCCCCTTCCTCGCTCACTCATACGGGCGTCTCAAATTCCAGTAATCGACGCGGCCTTTCAGCTCCTGATCTGTCCTGCACGTCAAGACACCGGTCATTTCGGTTTGTTTAGCGACACTCAGCAGCTCACGAATAACTTGATCTGTCAGTGTCAGGTCTTGCGTTGGTAGTTGCAACTGCTCTCAGCCCAGCCCCGTTGAGACACCTAGCCGTTTCACACTGGAACGTGGATTTGTATCTCTCATCTACAACGCCGAACCGGTGTGCTTGGTACAGAACAAGCATCACCTCGTTCGTTCTCTGACGCTGGCCAAAGCCGGCGATTTTCTTTCAGCCTCCGCCCCGCGGTGCCATGCCAGCGGTCGCAACCGATAACCACGCGGTCGTGGGCGGTCCGGCCTTGTTGACAGACTTGCCCTGGAAGCTCCTATCCCTGAGTCTGGGTTCTGTTGCTATCTCCGTTGTGGCTGCGGTCGTCATTCGCCGTTTCAAAACAAGAAACAATTCACCTTGGACCGTGTCCGGCAAGCCCGAGATACGCTTCTTTGAAGAGGAGGCCACCGAGGCCGACGTACCTGTAATCTACCAGCAACGGCTGCACTATCAATTCCCCAGCCATCACTGTATCATAGACGACAAGATGGCTGGAAGAGACGATGGCAGTAGTCCTGCAGGTGACGAGGCCTCAAGGAGCCAGGAGTCCTCCTTCCCCAGCTCCGCCGACACAATATCCGACAACGATGACCCCCGTCCAGAACACGAATCCCCGTCCGGCGGGTCTCACTCGGCCGGGAAACGACCCGAGGTAGCAGCGCCCAGGTTCATCGTATCCAGACCGCCGCCGCCTCCTCCGTTGACCCCTCCAGAACGTTCGAACTCTATTTTCACGGTCGAGGATGCCAACCGGAGTCGTGCCGGGAGGGCCCCTGAGCTAGACAGTTCATTCTTCGATCAGCCGAATCCCGATTTCATGGAATCTACGCCAGTCCCGCCTGAAGACCCGTCGACCAGCGCCATGCGGACGCAGAATACATCGATCTCGCGCCGGCGCTCTTACACTCGGATGCTGCCCATGAACACCGCATCGCCAGCTTCCTCCCCCAGGGTCGCCCCAGCAGAAAACTCCGGGTCTCTGTTCACGCCATCCTCATTCCCGCCATCATCACCTTTCTTGCCAGGCCCCCCTCCCGCCGAGGGTAAAAACTCTCGAGAACCAACCCAGCAGATCGAGGTCCAGGGCGAGATCATCTCCGTCATGGACGACTCCGGGGCAGGGTGGAAGCGTCATACGCGAATCTACGGCGGGGGCGTATGTCTCGCATGTGCGGCAGCAGCAAATGACGGTCAGGGCGGCTTCTACGGGAGCAACGTCCGGCCTGAAGACATGCATTGAGGAGCATGGCGTGGGGAGGCGCGCGCAGGATATGACGGCAAAATCCGTTTCGGAGGGCATATATATATATATATATATATACCGTGGGTGTCGCAGAGGAGGCTGCGAAAGATGGACGATGGACTTACTTCGAAGGATCTGATCTAGCCACTGTTCTGCACATAACCCTGTCCGACGAAGGGACGGGGGCGTTCTCTGGACTGTGTCTTTGTTCCATTTTCCTCTTTTCTTTTTTTCTGTTTCTCTTTCACGGCGGGCAAGACTCGGAGCATCACACTGCGGGACATCCTCGGCCAACCTGTTATATGCCTCTAATCGCTTTCATCTACGAGCAGTACAGGTCCACGAAGTTATGATCAAATTCTTACGCGAGAATATAGTCTTTGTCTATAAAAGGGGGGGAAAGGGGATGCATGGGGTTTTGGAATTGAGAGATTGATTTGATTGATACCAAAATACGGGGCCAGTTTCTCGCTTTGTCTCTTCAACGCTTCGTTCATCTCATCAGTTGGAATCAAAATGTCACTCCGAGATTCAAAAGAGGAACTCTGCTCATCAGACCCCTCAGTACGATTGCCTTCACCCAGGGCCACTCCACGGTGTCCAACGTCGTGCGCCCGCATCGGGCATTACGTTGTACTTACGCCTTGGCGTCGTCTTGATCAATTAATCCCTATCCAGTGTCTGCCCGGGTTGTTCTACTTCTTGGCCGGGAAGGACAAGCTCGGCGTTCATAAGGAACGACCAGGGGTGCTTGTCCCGTCTTACGCACGGGATAAGAGATGGTGCCCACGGGAAACAGGGAAATGCTGCATTGGAGTTCCCATTTTCCTGTCCAATCTCGGTGGCATTTAACTCTTAAGCAACTAATGTGGCGCATCTCATTTCTTAGAGATCCTGTCTGCGGTCAGCAGAACGCCTCAACAAGGGTACTTACCTGCTCGCGTTTCGGTTGAGGGGCCACCGGGCTTGTCGGATCTTTCTTCCTTCGGCCTCCACTGCTGACACTATTCCGTACTTCCCTGTCTTATGTCTCAGCCCTACGCCTCCCCCGCATACATACCGCCCTCCCTGGCCACAGGATCATCCCCTGTTGATTCTAAGCCGGCCACCTAGATGAAGCAACAGAGGCCGAGAGGTATAGCCAGCTCAACCAGGACAAGGACCTGCCCTCTGGGCTTGGAGACATACCAATCTACGAATACACCGGAGCTCGGAACCCTGAGAAATGGAAGTCTGATCCAGACCAACATGGCAAACCCCTCGGCGATTTGACAGGGTTGAGGTGGATGCTCCCCTGGGTGTGACTTCGACTGTACATCTTTGCTGGATCCGAGAAGATGAAAATGCCCTTCTTTCTAGGAAACGACGCCTCAATAGCGTGAGCTGATTGCCTTTCAGGTTTCAGCAAGCTGAAATCCTTCTGGCTGGCGAGAAGACGAGATGACGATTTTCATGTTTTTGTTTGTTCCGTTCTTGTAGCGAAAAACCCGAAAGACTGTTCGGAACAAAGTTCCAACCCCTTGGGTGAGACGCACCAAGCGACTCGTGACCGAGACGGAGAAGCCTGGGCCTGGGTCCCCCAGCCTCGATCAGTCTCGGGACCGGCTGGATAACCGTCCGGATTATTATTTCAACCATAAACGGCGGAGAACAACTTCCGATTAATATGTGTGTTATTGACACATACTGTCTGTGAAGTGAAAACCCAGAAGACCAGACCGGCTATCGTGAGGTTCAGAGGGCCGCTTATAAAGCGAAGCGTAGCTATCCTCCATGGTGTTGGCCATCTCACGAAAGTTGTTACCCAGGTCCTTCGTTTCACTCCGTCCGAGACAAGGCATGTAATCGCGACCCGCGGCCGTAGTATTTCGGCCATGCGTCTGGCTTCTTGCTTCAATTCTATCGGAACCTACAAATGACAATCGACGAAGCATTGCTCGCTTGACTGGAGCCACGTTGGAGAGCGAAAGAGAGCGAAAACCGACAGACGAAGCGCTAGTCAGCCGACCTGCAGCAGTGGATGCGCAATGAGAGGTCGCTTCTCGAGGGTCAAGCGCTCGTCTCTCAGCCTTTTGTCTAATGGGGAGTTCCTCGTGTTTTTATTGGTCTTTCCCTTGGGTTTGTTTGGGCAGACCTGCAGGTCGGTTCGAGATTGCCTGCATACCATACCGGCCATTGTCTCTTGGGAGGCAGAACCCCTCAGACGTGGCCGTGATGGGACCGCCGTATTTGTTGCGCTTTACCTATTGGGGTTTCGGAAATGGCTGCCTCGGTCGCACAACGTTGTCACGTTGTCTAAGCGGCGACCAGGTTAGTCAGAGTGGGATTCCCAATAAAGACATATTATGCAGTTGGCAGCCAAAGACGCGTTCCATGGCAAGTAACTAACACAAAGGAATGGAATTACCAGAAGACTGGTGCATGGCAGCTCTGGGTTGGGGGGACGAAGAATCGAGCGACCACGTCCAAGGCCCACCTGGTAGCTAGAAAGAGAGAAAATGGAGTAGCAGGAGCAGCCCAAGGGAACAAGGTGATAATAAGTTTAGTGATAAGACTCGGCACCAAGTTTTCAAGGCAAGGAGGGCGAAAAGTCCTTATTATTAGAGCAACAAGTTATTTAACAGACAGACTGGCGGTGCACGGTTAATGCCTGTGCCGCACATCTCGTTCAATATGGTCGGTCGACCGTTTCTGCTCCGTATTTCGTACGTGGGCACGGAATTTAAACAAAGATTCATCCCGTCATTCGTATACGGACCGCTTTCGCTGGCTGTGTGCACAGGGCATCTCCGCATTTGGCTCCTTGGCGGCGGTGTCTCAGGTGTCCGCGCAGCCAAGCCGTGTGTTCCTTGCAGCCCAGGACCTATCATTGCATTTCTTCGTCAACATTTCTTCAACAACATAGCGTTGGAACTAGAAAGTCGAAGAAAGGAAGATATGGGCAATATATTCGTGTGTAAGGAGGGGATTTCACCGGACGGTGGTTGGCATTTAGAGGCTGGTGTACGGATAGTCTTCTGGCATGTCGACATTCCGCAAGATTCCTGGCGCCGGCATAAAATCTGATGGACAGATCTGGCAGGGGTTTGCCGCGTGAAGACGTGTTTTTTTCTCCTGGGCTATGTTCCACAATGGCATTCCGGAAGGCCAAACGGAGAGAGGGCCGGGAGCCATAGACGCAGATGTTGATAGTCTGCACGGAAACGAACTCGGCATTATTCAGGCCAGGCCCTACGAGGTAGACGCGGCAAGGAACAAAACTCGCCGAGGAATCGTAAGACGAGGCGGTGCCTAATGTGAATCCTCTCCCTATCTCCCTCTCTGCGCCCCTGAAACAAGCGCACGAGTCTAGAAAGAGGTGCAGGTGCTTTCTTCGCCTTGTGCTCATATAGGTATGAGGGTTGATTACCTTACGGAGTATGCAATTGATAACTTTCGCACGAGTCATGTCGAGTTCTCCTCGTGCCATTCGGTATGTGTGTGTGAAGGTAATGGCCAGCCACAGTCCCACGCCTACTCAGGTCAGCTGCTTTCAAACCTTGTCACAGAATGCCTGTTGCCATGGAGCAAACTCAAAGAATTGTCCATAAGAAGCCCTTGCCGTTCCGTTGAAGCGCGTGCTCGCTGAGAGGGTAGTCATTGAAATGGGGAACAAACGGAGTCGGGAGCTGCGTGGAAATGCAACTGGCAGGCGGAGGCCGCTCTGGGCCCAAGGATGACTCGCGTTTGGTCGGTCCGGTCGTTGAGGAATCAATTTTCAAAGCGAGAACCCACCCGGGTCTCACTACCTTACCTAGGTAGGTACACGATGAAAGGTACAGACGAATACACTTGTAATAATTACCCTTAATTACCTTACCTTACTAAGGTATTGTGCGTGCCTTACGAAGTACTTATTAGCACCTTGTGTTGAGTGGAAGAGACACTCTATACCTAATGTCATTCTAGATAGTGCAGTACCTATTCCCAGCTACCTACCTACCCGGGTAGGGGTGGGTATAGGTCAGAGCTCGAACAGAGAATTTTGCACTGACCAGAGCCAGGACAGAGATATCGCTGTCAACATAATGTTCTAAGACTTCGGACATCTGACCAGTCCATCGAGCTCTGACCTATAACCAGCCAAACCCGGGTAGGTACCTTAGGTACAGAGTAAGGTAATTAAGGTATTAAGGTAGGTACTTTGTGCTTCGTACAGCGGACCGCTACCTTCTATTGCTGTTCGTACAGGTCTCGACCTCGATACTGCATCCTATGTACAATTACCGTCGAGCCGGCCGCATCGATGCCTTGCTACGGATCCTGTCCGTACAGGCTACCTAGTTGCACACACGCACATTCGCGTTATTTAACGACGGGGTGATGCTGCGGAGAGACCGATCCTGCATATCGCCGAGCCCACTTGGCATTTCATTCTTTTTTTCGGTCCTTACGCAAAGAGGTAGTCTAGTTGATTATTATATAATGCCGCGAAACACTCAGATCAATAATTGGCAAAGAGAACTCTCTGTATGGTTCTGGTCGATTATCATGATGGGACCGACAACCAAGGCCAACAAAATCGTATCTGTACATATTTAACGCTCATACGTGTCTCAAGTACCTCCGTCCTTCGTCCCTCAACGGAAACTTACTCCCAGTTAGGTTTGTGGGATGGAGCTGTTTTTGGCATATTGGATGGAGCATTGAACTTCGGGAGGGGGGGGGGCATGAGCAACCGAAACGCGTGCATTGAGAGAATAGACAGTCCTATTGGCCAGCCAGTCGCCCATTAGCCCACCCCGGTCCGGTTCTACGAGAGAACCCGCTAAAAAGGGGCGTTGCAGGACAAGGTTAGTTAAGCTGCAACAACTGCACAACGGCATAACGGCATAACAGCATAACTTTGGAAAAAAGACAACGGGTGCAAGGGGTACCGCGTAGCGGGCCCGTTTCGCTGTACCTGGCTTCTTGAAGATCCAGTCGGAAAACGGCGACTTATGATTGGTCCCACCCATGACCAATCCACCTTCTCCTTCGCCCCTTCTCTACTATCTCTCGTGTCCCCTTCCTCGTCCACTTGCCTGGCTCCTTTCCTCCTTCTTCCTCCTCTCGCCTGCCGCTCCAGCACACCGCCGTGTCTCCTTCCCTCTTTATGTTTTTCTTTTCGACCTTCAACCCTTCTACTCCTTTCCGTGACCCTTCCGCCCGCATTTCTGTCTGCACGAAAGTTCGTTTCGTCGTTATTTGAAGGGTCAAGAAAAAAAAGGGCCGACAGAGAACAGATTGTTACCACACATTCTGTCGAGTTTCTTGTTCCCCCCCAAATTTTCTGGCTCCCTTTTTCGCTTTTTCTCTCGAGGGTTCTTGGTCACGCACGCGCAACAGACACAGTCGACTAGCCAACGCTCGCAAGCAGTGTCACCTTCATCACCGCAACATTACTACGCCAACAATAATCGGACAAGATCCTCCTAATCGACTTTACCCTTACCTTCCTTGAACTTACTTGCATCGTCTGCCCTTCTGTTCGCCTTTTCCGCCGTCCGGCATCCGGGGTGTAATTTTTAGCCCAAACCCAAACTTCGACAAACTCTTCCCGCAACTACCGATACATTCATTTTGCTCAGCAAACTTGACGTATTCAAGCTCGACTTGACAGGCAAGCCCTGAATCCTGAAGGAGAAACCGAGCTGGCACGGATTGCGACCACTTTTGACGGTAGCTATTCGAGCACGTTCTGAGACGAAAACAAAACTGGGGCAAATCACAGTTTGTTGATCTACCACCTCAATCGCCATTTCTCTACCCATCCGGGCTTCCGATCCCTAACGGAACCATTTACGTCCATCGATCTCGGCAACCTCGCCTGCGTCTTGCTCGCCAACTATTTCGGTCTCTTTCCACCTGCCTCGAAAAGGAACTCCCTCTTCGTTGCTCCTTCCCCGACATCATCGTCCGTCACTCCTTCGCACCACTCGACCGACCGATCCCGTCCCTTGTCCTGACCTGCCTTCCGTTCGTGTCGTCTCAATACATATTCTAATCGGCCTCACTATTTCTCATTTACAACTTGCTGCTACGCCTTTCCCTTGATCTTTAATCCTCGTACGGATTCTGGTTTTTGGTTTTTCTTTCTCGGGCTGTTTCGTCTCAACAGAAGATCGATCCTCTATTCCGTCCGTGGTAGCTTTTCCAGGAGAGAAATACTCCCGTCAACAGATTCTCGGGTCTCGACAAGCCGGTCTTACACTCTCTGGGGAAAAATCAGATAATACGCACCCAGGACAACTCAACATTCGCATTCTTCATTGCACCTCCATTATCCTTCTTGTAATCGCCAACCTGGTGTTCAAGGTTACTACCTGAACTTCATTGCACATTCATTTCCAATTTTGTTTTCTTCGTCCCCCGTTCTTCAGCCGTCGAGTCGAGCTGGGAAACGGATTTTACATCACCTACCCTTCGAACACCACAATTCGCCATATTTACCAACCGTGAGCTATGGACACAGGCGGTCTTGCTCAGATGAATTTCAACAACTTCCCCTCCTCCCGTGAGTTGGGCATCGCTGGCTCAGGCCTTGCTTCCCGCCGCGGCGGCCAGAATTTGAAACCACTCTCTTTGGCAACAGCCTCGGCGTCTCAGGACAACGGTATCCCCACGCCCCGAACGAGCCGTTCGCATCTTCTGGCTGGCCTTAGAACTGCCCCAAAGACGGCGGCTGCATCCACCTTCAACAAATCACAGACGGCTGGCATGCAATCGCCCACCACGCACACTTTCGGCCACGGCAACGGAAATACCATTGGCAATAGCATGTACAGCAACGGCCAGAACCTGTATAATCCCCCGAAGACGGCTATGCCCCAATATGGTCAACAACACCAGCCTCATCAGAACCAACTTTACGGCCACGCCCAGATGAACATCAATTCGCAGTTCACCACCGAGCAGGTTCTCGCACCTCCTGAGATCCACATCGATGACCAGGATCAGATGGATCCCCAGCTTTACGCCCAGCTGGTCGCTACTAATCTGTACTTGGCCCAGCAGCAGCGTGCTCTCCAACAAGAGCTACTGAATATTCAGGCTGCTGCCCAGCAGTTCCAAGGCCTCAACATCAACAGTGCCCAGCAGCAAATCCAGCACCAACAGCTAGCCATGTACCAGCACCAGCAGCGAGTCCATAGTCTGCAGCAGTCGATGCTCGGTGCCATGGGTAATCAACAGGTTCAGCAGAACCAGCAAAATGTCTATGCCTATGTGGATCCGATGACTGGTCAGACCCAATATTATATGGAACAGAACACCCAGCCGACCCAGTCCTACTTTGACCAGTCGCAGTTTGCCCACCTCTATGGCGGCCAGCAGCCAATGTCGCCAGTCAGCGCTACTCCTCGCGTGCAGGTGTCTCCTCCGACCGAAAACACGGCGTCTTTCCGCACCACCACTCCCCCGAAGCGTGACGAATCGCCGATCAATGTCACGCCTCTGCCTCCTCCGTCGGCCAACGCCTTCCGTCGCGGTCATAAGAAGATCGCCTCACTGGCCATGGCAAACGCTGGCGTCGACTCTCTTGCGCAGGCCAGTGATGCTCCCAGGTCTGCTGGTCCGAAGACTGCTTCGTTCCCCCTCACACCCTCTACAGGAAGCTATGGCCCCGGCCAAGGTCGCGCCGGCGAGCATCCTGTCCGACAGCCTCGTGGGCCGCCGTCCATTGAAGAGCTCAAATCGAAGCCAACAACCAAGCATGAGGGCAGCAAGAACTTCGCGGCTCGCGCTCGACGATCGGCAGTGCACAACCTCGTCCGCGCCGGGCGGGAACGGAGGAAGGGCACTGGCAGCTCTAGTGGAAGCATGAGCCCGCTCTCAGAGAGCGCCGAGGAGTCGAGCACTCCCATCACCGACAACGAATCTGACTCTGGGCGTAGTGGCTCAGGCAGCCTGTCTGGTGATGTGGACTGCTCCCTGCCGAGCTCGCAGACTTCCACCACCGGCACTTGGGGCGCCATTGGCTCGGATCGGCCAAGCTCCCGCGAGAAGACACGGAAGAGCCTCGACAGTATTAGCAGCGCTACGTCGGCGTGCGAGTCGGACAGGGAGAACAGCTTCGCCAGTGTCTTCAAGAGCTCGGCTCAGAAGGCAGGTGTTGAAACAATCGACGGTCAACGTAAGGCGCCCATGCTGGTCCTGACGAGCGCCGAGAAACGCAAGATCAGCACTCTTACCATGTCCTGAGCTCGCACGCTTTCTCAACGTAATTTTTTATGACGACCATGCGCTCACACGTCTCTCCTTTTGCACGACCTGTTCTCGGGTGGGGTTTGCGCAGATCCTGATTACTCTATCCCTACGGGGTTGGCAGGATTCCATGATCAGCTGGGATTTCCTCTTCTCTTTTTTTCTTCTTTTATTCTCTCTCAACGACTTGTATGCTTTTTTTTTCCGTTACTTGTTTGTTCGGTATGGCGGCAGCTTCACTTGGCTCATTCAGACTCTCCCAATCATCGGCATTATTGGTGGCCCTTTTTTTGTTTGTTCGCTTCGACTAGCCATCTCGTTAAGCTACTGCGTCAACATTCTGAAGGGTTTTATTAACGACTTGGCATCATTTCCGACCTGGAGACGCAGTAAACGGCTGGGACTTGGGCACAGACGGGTTTTGTTGCTGACGAGAGATACTGCGAGGAGGAATCAGAGAAGGGACCTGCCAGGCTTTGGTTTCATTGCATTTCTCGACTAGGAAAGGAGAACTTGTAATTCTTTTCTGCAGACAAGTGCACGTTGAGTAGGCACGGGGAGAAGGCGGACTGGCGGAAGGAGGCGACAGTGGAGCGAAAGCTATGTCCTACCTGCAGAGGGGGAGAGCAGGGTTTCATTTCTTGTGCATGGTTTATGGCCAACACGCAAACGGGCATTCGGACAGTTCGTTCTTCACTGAAAGGTCTAGGGGAATCTGTCCAACGGCCCAACCGAGGGAGTGTAGATAGTTTTAAGATGGCACAATAAATTGTATGCCACACATTTATGTTCATACCTTAGTACTTGGGCAACCGGATGATATTTTCAGGATACCAAAGTAGACATATTTTGGACGGGGGCCCCCTTGGGGTTAAGTCTCAACCGACGGTGAAGAAGGGACACATTCCACTTTGACCAACCTCGCTCAGACTTCCGCGGTCAAGTAGCTCTCTCTACAACGAGGGGCGACAACCGCCCGAGGCTATCGGATCGTGGCGGCTGCTGAGGCAAACCCCCGGGCGGATATTCGGGCCTGGGGTCGGGTCCCGGCTCTCCAGTCCGAGGTTGCGAGGTACGAAATAATTGTTATACCTAATAAGGTAATTGCCTGGAGGTCGGACTCTGTACACACAAAGTCCAACGGTGACCGATTGGGTGCCTCTCGGCCGACAACACACACAACACTTGCTTCTAAAAGGACAATAACTGATTAGGAAGATAGGACTGGTAGTTAAGGAGTTACACGTACATTTTTTTCTTTCAACGAACTCTACGATAAGTGTGGGCCCCGGGATCGGTATCAGGGGTGTGTATAAGGTTTTGAGCGCGCCTCGACAAATCCGTTTTTAACTGGCACCTCCTCCGTTGTCCGTTTTACAACTTCAATGTACTCCGTACCTGCCTTAGTAAGGTACGAAGTACATGCTATCTGAGTGTGGGAGAGGTCTCGTGTCACTGGTCACTAAAGGTACTCACGGCAGCAAGAAGCAAGTCCGAGTTGCTCCTTGTTCATCATACACGTTTTTTTAGGGGAACATCAAAAATCCGCGAGAGCCATTACCAACAGGATACCTTATTAACGAAGGCGACATCATAGTGTATAACATGACCAGAGCTTCAACCTAGCTAAGATAAGAATTTAACTAACTCACGACCCTCTCCCCTCATCTGTCATTCTGTCCCTTCGAGACTGCGGCAATTCCGCCAACCTCGCCCACCATGCCTTTCCCTTACAAGACAGTTCTCGTTACGGGCGCAACTTCTGGCATAGGCCGTGGCCTTGCCGAACGTCTAATTGAGCAGGGTGTTTTCGTCATCGCAGTAGGCCGTCGTAAGGACCGACTTGATGCACTTGTTGAGAGACATGGAGGTGCCAGGGTTGCCAGTGAGCCGTTTGACATCTCAAACCTCGAGGCTCTCCCTTCTTGGACAGAGAAGTACGTATGGCCCTTTGCCACCCCCCCTTCTCCATGCTTCTTCACGAGTAGCCTCAAGAGAACCGGAGACTTAGGCTAACCAGCACTCGGCAGGATCATTTCCACCTACCCGTCCCTTGATGCAGTTCTCCTAAACGCAGGAGTTCAGCGTAGTCTCAACTTCAACTCGCCCGGCGCTTCCAGTCCAGATACCCTGGCCCAGACGACCTCGGAGCTGGTCACCAACTATATCTCGCCTCTTCATACCACTCTGCTATTCCTCCCACACCTCCGCGCCCGCGCTGCCAACGGTGACCCAGCCGCCATCCTTCTTGTTTCTTCCTCCCTAGCTCTCGTTCCTATCTCCCGTTGTCCCAACTACTGTGCCTCCAAGGCGGCTTTACACTCCTTGGCTTGGCAGCTTCGGGCCCAGCTCCAAGACGCGACGGCCTCGGAGGGTCATTCGAACCAGCCCGGCGTCAGGGTTATTGAGATCATCCCACCTGCCGTGCAAACGGAGTTGCATACCCAACAGGGCCTCGCCCCCATCGGTATGCCGCTTGAGGAATTCCTCACTGAAACTTGGTTGGCATTGGAAAGGGGGGACCAAGACGAAATTCTTGTCGGTCCGGCAAGGGACCATAGTCATGTGGAAGAGGAAAAGCGGCGCACGTTTGCCTGGGTTGCTCAGCAAATGAAGTTACAGGGCAGTGACACCTAGGCAATTAAGTCTGTATTTCTAGTGCCTTCCGAGGACTACTTCACACATCCATGTTTAGATTCCCGAGATGCCTCTATTTCGAGCTTCCCTTGGGTCAAGTGGACTTTTGCACTAATAGCCATGTCACCAGGGGCGCCTGAGGTCAGTTATGTAAGAAGACCACACGCTCTGGCGGTCACCGGCGTAGCAACTGCCTCCACGCGACCCAGATGCTCAGCAGTACCATTGGTGAGGTCATTCAGGGCGGCGAAGGCGATGTTGAAGCCATTAAGGGCGACGTCGATGGCCAGGACGTGGATGGAGCGGTCGTTGTAAGTCAGTCTCCAGCATGTTCCGCACTAGTATGGAGATAGCTCTGGGTCAGCTACTCTTCATCTTCATTCCACACGGCCTCGTCAAAAGAAGCACGACAACGCCGCAGCAGAGGGCTCCATATGGATGAACGCGGACACCAAGATACAGGGCCGTCCTTGTCGCTGCAAGAGGGAAGAAGGGGAAGAAAGGGAAGGAGTTTTATCAACTTACATTGGGCGAGTTCCATCCCTTGATGGCCTCGGCTCCTCCAATGTAAGGGAAGGCCGCGACTTGAGCTTGTCTTTGCCAACCGTATCGTGTGATGAGTCCATGCTCACCGTCAGAGCAGCTTACGGAGGCTAGAGAGCGGCTACCATCGTCGTAACCGCGGTCGAAGGACACTATAGCGTGGAGAAGGTTTAGAGACATTCACCCGTTCTGCCCCAGTTATTCACGCATCCCTCGTCATGTCTGGCATACACGTACCTGACGCCGCCGTAGCCAAGGAAGCGGCGGAGAAGACGGTAAGGATATTGGAGAGCTTCATCGTGTATAGTGCGAGACAATGGTCTTTTCGAATAGCTGGTTCTTTTCTCGAACGGCTGCCCGACTGAGGAAAGGTGTTGGATGCTGCTGCTGGGAAAACCGTCGCAGCAACAGCATCAGGGGGGCCTTAATATATGCGGCTACTGTTTCTCAAAACGAAAGACATTGGTCTTTTCCAGCAAAAGCACACCTAGTCTCGTATACGTAGGTAGTGCAGGAGTGGAAAGACAAAACGAGCCTGTGATCACGATCGTTGGGACGTTTTGGGAAGTCCGCGTAAAGGCTCCTGCGCTGTGCCGATGCTGTGTTACAGACGCCCCCCTCTCTCGGCGAAGGAGCTGCAGAGGCTAGCATCGGTAGCTTCGTATGTTCCCAGCACCGAAAGGCTCCTGTGGTCTTGTGCGCGTTTGATCCCCGAACTCGTATTCTGCTTGTCGACCTCCGAGATCAGCGGATTAGCTGTCCGCCGTTTCGGACCGATGAATCAGCAACGACCCCGATCGTCCCCCCCTGCTTGGGGATTTTTATATCCACCTCGTATTCGTTAGCTTATGCTGATGCTTTCCATCAACAACGTTCTAACGAACTCTGTATATATACAGCCGCCTTTTCGATAACCTCTGTGCCTGGGTATTTGCTTTGCGTGTTGGTAAGTTGCCAAGATGGGCCATATCCAAAGACATGCGGCCGGTCCACACCGCCTGGCTCCCTTTTAAGACAGATGCAGCTTGTGAATATCATCCGATGGTCTCAGGACTGCAACAATCACAGCGAAATCCGTTGATTGGTTTCCCCCTCGTATTCTAGTTGATTTCTCCCTTGCTTTCTCTCCCAGTCTTTCACAGGGGGGGGGAGAGGGGGAGAGGGGGAGAGAGAGTGTGTGTGTGTGCGTGTGTGTCTGTGAGAAAGTGAGAAAGTGAGAAAGTGAGAAAGTGAGAAAGTGCCGAACTTCCACCGAGGAAGCAGTTGGCATTGAGGAATTCCTCGTTTTAGGCATTCGTTTCCAAATTCTTCTTGCATTCGGACGTTTCGGACGTTCGGGCACCGGCGGTCCAAGTCCTCCGTGGCATCACCTTGTAACCCAACGTCTCGCCTGCTGGGGCAGAGGGGAGGAGCCACATCTTGCAATCTTTGACCTTCTGATCAAATGAACGCAGCAGATGGTTCAAGTGCTCCGTTATATCAGACACCTCGCTACTATCGTGATCACATCCGCACACTACTCCAGCGGCAGCGTCTCCTACTCTCGGTTCAGAAGCCGGTCGAGGCGTTTCCTTTCGTACGCATCCATATGCCCTTTTACCTTGTGTTTGTGTGTCTATGTTAAGACGGGCATTGGGAACCGGTTTGTCTCTTACGCTCCCGTCTCGCGTAGACAAGACCGCAGACGTTACAGAGGGTGCCGGGCCCACCGGGACCCGGGCGCCACTGCGGGGTCTCTACCCTGTGGCAGGCGTGACAAGCAAATCTTACTGAACTCTTCTATGGTTCGGCTCGTCAGAAAAACCAAGACTCGGGCTCGCTCAGGGCCCGTTTCCCGTTGCCGGGTGGAGAATGGAGACAAAGAAGGCGATAGTATCAGGACCAGTCGGGCGCGAACGAACGACATACCTGCCTACGCCTTGAGGATGCCTTATGGGATTTAGGCTCACGTTGTTGGTCGTTGTGAAGCGTCTTGCGTTTTTCATTGGGCTCGGCAGAGTTCCTGCTTAGGGCGGCAATCTCACCGACGCCTGAAGCAATGTCGTTCGACAGCTTAGCCATGGCCTGAAGGGCGCCCTTGCTCAAAGGACCATCGAGCAGGGCTGCACTGGTGGCGTCGTGGGTTTGGCCATAGTTTTCAGGGAGGGTCCTGGAAAATCGCAGCAGCTCAGAGGCGCCGGATTGGATCTGAGAGAAAATAAAAAGTTGGCAAGGCCGCCCGGTCGGTCCCAAAGAGAAGTAGCCATTGGAAAGAAGATTACGCCGATCGTGCGAGACGAGGGAAAGAAGGGAGTTACTCAACTCTTTGGAGACTCTCACTCGCCCTCCCATGAGCTAAGGAAGGACTAGGTCCCGAAACGGCCGAGGATATCTCCTGTTGTAGTGATTCGGGATCGTCGGCGAAAGTCATCATCCCCGCAGCCATTTGTGTTAAGATGGGTTTGGATGCATTGGGTGTGGCATTTGGTGAATCATTGGCCGAAGCAGCAGTCATGGGGGACGAAGGTCATGAAACACCCAGCGAGGTCTCGAAAACCGCCATTAAAAAAAATGCCCGCTTGTCTGCTGTATTGGTGTTGGGCAATGCCAGAGGGAAGAAGGGTGACGGCGATACAACTGTACTGTGAGGTGGGATTTCTGTGGAGATGTCCGAGATACTTTTGCGATAGGGCAGATCTATTAGAAGAGACGATTGGAGAAAAGGTATTTGAATAACTTCAAAAGCCCGGGAAGAGGTGGTTGCGATGCCGGTTAGGAGACGGGGAAAGGTGGGATTGATCGATGGCGAAGGTGGGAATCCCGTAGTGTGGGTGCAGTTTTCGTAGGCTTAATGGGAAAGTCGCAGCCAAAGGCCAGAAGTCGATCTTCCAGCGTTGGGTCACCCATGCAAAAGTGGGACGAGGTAAATATCCATCCAAGTAAGTACCTTGCGGTAATCAGTAAGCCGCGGAGTGGCGCACAGCTAAATGGTACGGAGTACTGAGTACTGGGTCGTAATATCTGATGTTCGGTGTGCAGGTGTAGGTGAGTGAGGGTTTAATTGGAACGGGATGAGGGAAAAGAGTGCAGTTTATTATTGTTTGGAATTCAGGAGAATTATTAGCTCCCAAACGTTGAACCCCGACGCTAAGAGATTCAGTCGAGTGGGGGGTTGGAAGGTCTAGATTTAGGGGACTGCAGTAATTAATCATGGCCCTTCGAGATAATTTCAAGCAGTCGCACATTGGGCATTGTTGGCTTGGCGGTTTGCGATTCAAAAATGTGACGACATCATGACGGACGTTGCAAGTTAGAAGAACGTAGTGTTACCGGACTCAAAAATATGACTAAAAGGCGCCAGAACGTAATAGTTGAGGTGCAGTGAGCAATGATACAGTATAATAAGGTACCTTACTGTACAGTTCTGAAACTTCGGAGGGGAGTACTTCGTAGGTAAGAGACAGCTTGTGGACGACCCGGCTTTCCGTCAAAGGATCGTCGTCCTGCGTTCACTGTATTGATGCCATGAGGATGAAAAGACATTAATTACAACCTCAAATATATAAAGCTGAACAAGTGGACTCGTCGCAGTCATTATTCCGTACACGGCAAGAGTCCTGGAATTGTCCCGCCTGTGTTCTAAAATCGTGCCTTGTATATATACTCCCTGAAATGCTTACGTACTCTTCTTCTGAGCCAATAAGAAGCATTTATTCTCCCTAAATTCGAGCTCAACGAGCCCATCACATCACCAATAGCAAGTCACCTCCCTCCTGCCCGAATCGGATGCGGCCAGGGCTACCCGCCCTTGAACCTTCCGGTCATCGGTGGCACCCGATTTTTCAGGATGCGTCTTCTGCCGATGAGTCTTATCATGATCCTCAGCCGGCGCTCACTTACCCAACCCACAGGCAGAACTCGACAGGACAGCGAGTGATTCTGCTCATAATACACAGCTACCGACATTTCTCTCCCCACGGTGGAAATCCAATAGTTCATTCGTCGAGTTGTGCCGAGACCATCCGCCCATCATGGCTTCTGAATCCTTCGTGATCAAAGTCCCTTCTTCCTCAGCCAATATTGGCCCCGGCTTCGATGTAATCGGCCTTGCGCTATCGGTATACCTCGAGCTGCACGTCACTATCGACCGTTCGAAACCCGAACCCTCGAAACTCCCCCTCAACTGTCGAATCACCTATGAGGGCCAAGGTGAGGGGTCTCCAGATATCAGCCTCGACCCCTCCTCCAACCTCATCACCCGAGTCGCCCTCTATGTTCTACGCTGCCACGGCCAGCGCACCTTCCCGGCAGAAACCCACGTTCACATCGTCAACCCCATCCCCTTGGGTCGCGGCCTGGGGAGCTCCGGCTCCGCTGTTGTCGCCGGCGTCATGCTCGGCCACGAGGTCGGTCACCTTCAACTCGACCTCGACAGGTTATTCGATTTTTGTCTCATGATCGGTTCGTTTCCCACCGGTTTCTAAGTCTTTTTTTTTTCCTTTCATGAGATATTGCATTTCCCTGTTGTTGCTAAAGACAAGATATCATGTAGAGAGACACCCGGATAATGTAGGAGCCTCGCTTTACGGCGGCTTTGTCGGGACTTATCTCCGTCCTCTCAAGCCCGAGGACGTCCAACGAATTGAGATCCCCCTATCGGAGGTCCTCCCCGCGCCGGCCGGCGGCGTCGATACGGGCGAGACCCCTCCGGAGCCCCCGTACGGCATCGGGCACCACATCAAATTTCCTTGGGCCACGGAGATCAAGGCCGTCGCCATCATCCCTGACTTTCAGGTCCCCACCCACCTCGCTCGCTCGGTGCTCCCCCCGCATTACTCTCGTCCCGACGTTGTGAGTCCCTCCCCCCTTATCCTTAATCGTCGCTGTTCTCCTCCCAAAAAAAGCTAGACCTTCTAACAACCAGCGCCACTTGCGAATGCTGCGTTGAAAAACCAAGACCTTTAATATGCAGCGCATCGCACTCTTGCCTGTTGCCCTAGGCACCTCACCACCGGACCCCGAACTCATCCATCTCGCCATGCAGGACAAAGTCCATCAGCCCTACCGACAGACTCTGATCCCTGGCCTAGGGGAGGTCGTCCAGTCAATGTCCCCGAGCTCCCAGCCAGGTTTCCTTGGTGTCTGCCTGTCTGGAGCCGGACCCACCATCCTAGCCCTTGCCACCGGCCACTTCGACGAGATCGCCGAGCGCATCATCAAGATCCTCAAGGCTGCCAACCCCAAGGAGATTGACTGTCAGTGGCGCGTGCTGGAGCCGGCTGACGGGGCCCAGGTCATCCGCAGGTAGAAGTAGAGGACGCTTCAGATCAAACAAGTACATTAGACATCCGGTGCCCTACAACACTGTAGACTTGGAAAACAAAATGAGTAAAAAATGAGTAAAAAATGAGTAAAATAAAAGTCTTATGATACCCTGACAAATTGCAGCTCGGCCCCCCTTCGCCCTGTAAAATAACATGGAAATGACTGTATACATGTTCACTAGCTATGATTACTGTTCGGCGATGAGCAAGTCATCTTCGTTCCTCAAGGTCTCGCCAGACAGCCGTCGGGAAAGCGTAGCCTGCCTGACACGAGTCATGGCATCAACCTTGACGCTGAGGAGCCGCACCCTGTTTTTGAAGCTGTCCATGTTCCAAGTCTCTGCGTCAGGGACATACTCGCTGGATAGCCCATATTGCCGTGCGGCGAATGTTGCCGCAGCGGCGACATAGGGCGAGGTGCCCCTACGCGGGAGGCCTTGCTGCTCCACAGCGAAGCTCTCCGCGACGGCGCCATGGAGAGCTGCTTCCCTTATGTCCCCCGACCGCAGATACTTCACAGTGAACCCTCCAAGGAAGACGGACAACGCCTTTGTTGCGAACGAGGCGTCGACGTCGAAGTGACTGTGGAAAGTCGGAACCCAGTTGAACCCGTCCTCCCTTGACGCAACGAGGTAGGACGAGTCGTATTGAACAGCCATGATCCCCTGACCATTGCGCCCAATGCCAGCATCCAGGAGAACCTGAACTTTGCGCTCGACGAGCTGCTTGTCAAAAGCAGTGGTCTGCGAGTTCAGCATCAACTCCAGTTGATCGATGTCCAAAAAGATAGCATCGACTTGAGGCGAGACCGCAAGTAACTGGCTGAGAGACGTATCCAGGGGCTCCCAAGAAACGAACAGCTGAGCTTTGATATTACTCTCGTTCCGAAGCGAGAGTAAGACTTCTAGCTTCCGGCTCAGGTCGCAGGCAGACCCTTGCAGATGGAAGGACGAGGAGCCAAGTAGGGCCTTCAATTCCGAAGATGTTCGCAACGGCTTTGTCAGTCCCCAGATATTCTGAGCCCGCTTCTTTGGCAAAGAATGGCAATGGACAAGGCCAGAAAGCTGTACTTTGGCGGCATGGATCGTCTTGACACCCCACGATTGAAGGGTCGTGACGGCGGAGACGGACGGGCCGGCAATCTTTTCGTCTCGTTCATCGACAATCAAGGTGATATCTGAAGCGTGGCTTGCGCCAATGGCAAGCCGGGCACCCAAGGTGGCTATTTCACTGTTAGTGGAAGTTGTAAAGTGTGAATTGTTTGGGGGGGTATCTTAACTCACCCTCCAACCCAGGACCAAAGGGTGTATTGGGCATAGAACCCACGTCAGCTGAGGCAGAGTTCGAAACGGCGCCCCCCCTCTCATGCGATGCCAGGGACACGAACTGGGCTGGGGACGTCCGACGAGCCGAAAACGTACACCCGGTTTCGACATGGGAACGCATGGTTGATTTCTTTTGGCCAGATGAATATTTCAACTGCAAGAGTACTGCTGCTCGTCCCAGGTATATCTTGTCTTCTGTGTTCCTAGGGCGCTATGGCCGCGATTGATGGAGGTCGCCTCGACGGGATGACGGGTTGACGTGTGAGCGGACGGGTTTGCCATTCGGTGTAGTTGTATCGCTTAAGCGCGCGCTTTCAACGTACGCAGCTATCGCTTGTCATTCACACGCTGAGGAGCTGCGAACCACAGCCGGCCATAGGAAGAAGGCGAACAGTTTGTCTCATCACTGTTCGTTGGGATTGTGTCTCTGTTAGGGTGGCAGCAGATGCGACCATCAACGGTCGAGTCTTGAGCATTCGCAGTGAGAGGAACGAGCCGCAGTCGGTCTGACCGTGAGTATTCGTGTAGTGTAGCCAAGGTGCGATGGTCGCCATTCGTGAGAGGTTGAAAAGAAGTGATGTTGGTGGAGAGAAGAAAGAGAAGAGTTGGAAGTTCGCCATAGGGCCAGAGATAAAACCAGAGTGAGGGGCAAGGCGGCGGCCAAGCACCGAGGCTACGTACTCCTGTACGTACTGACTTCGGTCTGGTCCAGGCACAATCCAGACTCTGAGCTAAGGAAAGGTCACGTGATCTAATCTCGCGCTCTTGAGCCCAGGTGAGCTGAGTTGAGAAACCCTTCCTGAGTATTCTACGCCAATGCTTTTGTTAGTGTTCTGTTCAGCAGCCATCGTCCAGAGCACACAACAGGGCCTAGTTAGATGTGAATTTGCAACTGGTCTGACTCATAGGAGGAATCGACACATCCATGCATCAGTCACTGCGCTGTTCAAGAAACTGCTGGACAGCATTCAGCCTCTCCTCAAACTCCAGATATCTCGACCCTATCACTACAACACAGCTTCATATTTCGGTATCCTCATGTGATCATGGGACGAGAATGTTGATGGGTTCCACTGGCCTGTGAATCCGGGTCATCCTGTCGAGCTTTGCTCAAGCAGGAGGCTGTGCCCTTGTTTAGTGTCCGTAGTGTCCGTAGTGTCCGTAGTGTCCGTAGTGTCCGTAGTGTCTGGTTAGCACCTCATGTCAATGTGGTCAAGCCATCGCAGAGCACAATATTTGCCAGGCGGGTGTTCATTCCTTTTGTTGCGCTAGGTAAGGTGTTAACTTAAGAGACCAGAAATTATCTGTCACTTCCCAAAAGCTTTGAAGGAGGAGTTCCATTGGACAGGCACGTCGAGTAGTGACGTGACATCTGCCGTTTAAATTGCAAGATTCGAATGGTCTCGAATTTGTCATCCCGACTTCGGTTAATATCACGCTTACCCTACCTATACAACACGAAGTACGGATCAGTACGCATCTCATCGAAAACGGAAGTTCAGCGGTGAGCAAGTATCGTGCATCTCATGCTGCAATTACATGAGCTTTCGACAGGTCATGCGGGAACCCCTTGTTGGGCTCGGTCTCGGGCTTTGGCACACTTGACAGGGGGGGGGGGACAACAGCACCGGAGGAGCATCGGAGACTCTCCGTTAGTGTGGCAGACGCCGACAGTTGAGCCACCGTCCAATAGTAACCCTGGAAACTAAATTGTTGGATGAGCTTGAAGTCAGGCGCTGACATGGCGTTAAACCTGATTTAGATTTACCGGCCCCAGTGCCGACCGGGCGATTCACCCGAGCTCCACATAAATGGTCACGGCACATGGCCCAAGCTCCTCAACGGTTTGTTTTTGGCGCAATTCGTACATCCCTAGTAATCCTGGGAACCTGTGGGAAATAGACGCCTCCACAGAATTTGGACGGGAATACCTACCCGTGCTTCACAGAACAAATTTCTTGGCGCACAGAGAGAAACGAGGCGAAAGAGACCCGAACAACGGGAGCCGGGGGAGTGTCAAATTGTTGATATCGGGTCCGATAGCGGTATCTTATCAATCAAGGTGCATTCCACCATGAGATCGTCGTCGTTCTTCTACCCCTGAATGTCTTTCTCCTCTCTCTCCCTTATATCTCTCTCGACCGGTTTCTTCGGCATAATACATCATATTCTACTTCTTGTTCTCCAGCACACTGTACTCCTTCCTAGGTCAATTAATCAAGTTAACTACCCGACGCACCTGGTGTCGCATCGTCGAATCCTCCTGCACCGAGATCACCGACTCCTGATTGGACCATCAGTCTCGCACGAGGTAAGCTTTCAACGCCTGTCTGGCCATTTCGTCTCTTCCGCACCACCATCTCAACCAGCTCCGGCCTTCCCCATTAGCTGTACTTGCCACGCTCCTGCAACGGCGCCGGCTAGCCCGAAGAAGTTCTTCATACAAGTGCCCTCTGCCGTTTCAACCTGCTTCCCCTCAAATATATCAGCCGTTTCCCATCTAACAGTCTCCCCCTCAATCACCAAACCCGAACTCTCATCTTGCCTCTTGTACAACTCTACTCTACGCATCTTACATTTTGTCTTCGTTCCCCGTCATTAATTGGATTTAGGATCATTGAACCTTTGACCTGTGTGTACCAACGCCAGACCCTACATTACCATCACTGTAAATGCCAAGCCCTTCCTTCTCAAGCTTATCATGTGCTTCATACAAGAACATCTCACTCACCATCTTCGGCAGACACAAGCTACATACACACACATCCCTCTTTGAGGTAGTTTGTAAAGCAGCGATCCGCAAATGTCTCGCGTCACCGCTCCCATCACCAAGCTTACCCGCGTCGTCAACCCGGGCGTTGCAAGCCCATACCACAACCATGGCGCTATTCTAATGCCCAAATATGCCGAACTTCTCAAGAAATCCCCCGCAGACGCAGATGTAGGTTCCTCTTGACTCCTCGCAGCCGAGTTTTCCATCCCTTTCCATTTCTGCTGGGTTATTAACATGAATCGAACAAACAAAGGTACAGTCCGCTCGTGGCATCACTACAACTCATCGCCCAACTCCCCAGCCCAAGCCCTCAAAATCCTACAACCGCCCCCTAATGCAGACCTTCTCGTCCGTCTCGACTTCGTCTCACGGCGCCGCTCCTCCCACCATCGATGCCACGATCTTCCCCTTCCCGACGGCGGCTTTCGCCGCGGAAGGTGTAAGCTCCTCCCGCATGCCCCTTCTTCCGGACAGCTTCCTCACCCGCCATCCCGTCGCCGAAGCTTCCGAGGCTGCCGTAGTGGAGCCCCGCATCTCCGTCGTCGCCTCCGCTTCTGGCTCTCTGTCTCCAGCCTCCGCCCTCACTGAGATTGAGGGCATGGGCATCGACGGTGTCGAGCTACGCTTTGCCCATGCAAGCGAGACACCCCAGCGGGAACCAGCCATTATCGTCGGCCTCTGAACGGGCCTACCTCTTGTTTTGTTTCTGGGGGCGTTGGGTTTGGTTGGTAAAGTGAGGTCTTAAACAGCGACCCCTGTGCACTTGTATGCGCTTTACGACACCGCTGCGGTGGGGCAGCGCAGCTGCTGTTTTGAGCGAGCCTTTTTTGGTGATGCGACTCCGTTGATTCTACGGACGAGTTGCAAGGATGGTCTCAATTTGATTGATCGATCCTTTTGGTTTTATGAACATCGTAATCAGCTCGGCTCTGGGATGCTGAAAAGGCTACCTAAAACCGGGCCATATCTTGTTAGGCTTCACGAATCTACGACTTTCTGCCGGTTCTTCTGCATATCGGCAGATGGGCACGTTTCTGCTCGTTTTATTTAGTGGCCATATCTATGGTGTACGTTGTACTTGATGGGTCCGGTCGCACCTCTAACCTGCTGTATGTGTATGTATGTAATTATCCCACGGCGAAGTGGATTCCGGACCGTAGCATCTTCCGCCAACACAACGCTACTCCGGTCCCTTCCTTCTTCATCGCCTTCTTCTGTTTCAACTGAACTCCGATTTCGGCACTGGCAAATAGTATTTACGAAGGAGTACTGTTACGAAGTAATTACCTTTATTATTGCCCTACCCCGTGTCGGATAGGCCTTCTACCTTAGGGGATAGGTCCGGAGGTGGAATGATAGCAGCCGAACAGCTGCTGCAGATACTGCTATCTCCAACTGCAGTAAATCCCCTTAAGTTGATTCCGACCTTTGATCAATCAACTGATTACAACCTCTATTTTTGGTTCAAGTTGATCAGTCCAATTATACATTTGTGTGACACCCCGCACACTATCTTACCTGATCCCGTTATCTGGGCAGTCAATAACCTCCGCGTTGGCTATTCGGCTGCTTGGCAAAGTCCTGACCAGGTGTCATAACGAGCTTCCTCCCAGGGTGACGGCAACATGAATACATCCCACATTAACACATGTCCTAGGCTGGTCGATGTAGCTTTGAGGGCAATGGGTGTAGGGGGGACATGGTCTAGTCCTGTGCTTTCCGTGATCTTTGCAGATCGTCTGTAGACAGTGTCTCGTCTCGTGTGGAAGCAATACAGAAATGTGTTGGTTTTTAATTTCAGAGTCTCTATGCATCCGTTGTTGGACATTTCCCTCTCGCTTGGGTCCGACAAATTATACTGGATATGCATGACAGTCTGTGAGCGCTGGAACCAGCACAGGGAAACTCCTGTACCCGAATATTTGCGTGCTCCGCGCTCTTTGGTGGGAAGAAGGGCGTGATCGTCTCGGTTGCCCGCTGGCTCGACGCGCAGGTTTGCGGCCTTGGAAAGGTCTCAAATCAGGATCATGTCCCTTATTCAAATTGGAGCCCGCCCACCGACCCTCGTTCCCGTCGATCCAGGACACTACGGTCATCGCGATTTCGAACGCCGTCTCGGCCGAACTTCAAGGAGTCCTGTCTCGAGGGGTTTGTTCACCCGCTCTATAACTTGTGACCTCGGTGTTAAGCGGGAGAAGGACGTCGGGCTCGTAAAGCTGGTTGCGAAATGAAGAGGTGAAGATCACGATAGCCAAAATTCAGTGTATGAACTTTACAAACGGCGGTAAAACAACGCCAAACCATAAACGAAACCCGGCCAGCCAGTTTAAGATGAGTGGTATCACTTTTATCAACTCTTTTTTTGCTTCCCTTCAGAATGTCTGTCTGTCTTAAGTCCACAGCGAAGTGCGCCCGGCCTTCCTCAGCAAGTATAACAAGTTCCTTTCGCCATAGATCTTATTGACACTTTCCCCCAAATTGACATCTTCTGCCCATCCCTGCCTCATTTACCTTCCCTAGGACTTTTTCAACCCTTTCCACCTCCCACATTCCTCGCTGACTACCTTCGTCCTACCGCTTCTTTATGGTGGATCGAGGTTTGCACTCATCTTGCTGAACAGGATGGAGCATAACCTTGATAGGCAGTTGTTGTGAGTTGCTCTGGAAGCCCTTGCTCCAGTCATAGCCCACGGCATACGCAAAGATAGAACCAGTCTTGTTGAACTTGGTCGCCGTAATGCTGCAGCCTACCTGGGGGTAGCCTTTGAGGCGGTGCTTGGCATCCTTGTCCCAGAAGTGGAAGGAGCCGTCAGAACCGGCTGTGCTGAATGTACCGTGTACAGGGTGGAATGAGATGTCGTTCACGGCGTAAACACTGGTGACATTGCCCGAAGGAGGATCTCGGTGACATTTGAACGAGAAGTTCAGGCTGTTTGGATGTCATTAGTATTGGGCACGGTCTTGGGCGAAGGGCGATACACCGCTTGGCATCGCACGATCGTTGGGAGCCGAATCTTACCTGCTGTCCTTGTCCTCCACATATTGGATGGCACAGCGGCCTTCTATACTACCGATGGCGAAGCCCGAGGCGTCGGCGAAGCAGCTCACGACGCGGGTCTGCCACTTGAGCGGACTCTGCAGCGTCTTGTAAAAAGTCGTTGGGTTCTTGAGGTTGATGATGTTGATGTATCGATCTGCGGTGCCGATAACGAGCAAGTCGTTCTTCACGTCCATTGTATAAACTCGTTCCTGGCATTGCACTGTGGCGACGGCAGTAGGGGACCGCATGTCCCAGTATTTGACAGTCTTATCCCAGGACCCTGACACTACCATGGGGTTGCCACCGGCCTCGAAGAATCGAACAGTTCGGACAGGCTGATCGTGTTCGCCAATCTTGGCATCTTGTTGCGTGCCGAGATCGCAAACTTTGATGGCCTTGTCAGCGCCGGCAGAGACGACTTTGGTCCCGTCCTATATAGGCGAGGATGAAAAGAGTCAGCGTTGGCTTCGGAGGCCAGGGGCTAGCATACAAACCTTTGAGAAGTCGCACATAAAGACTGGCGCGTCGTGGCCGTAAGCATGCCGTCCCTCGCTCTGGCCATTGCTGGTGACTTCATATATCCGGACTTTTTTATCCCAGCTAGACACGGCAAGGAAATCGTTGGCTTGGTTGGTGGCTGGGGAGAAGGAGAGACCGGTGATTGTGTCCTCGGGAGGACTGGTCAGGGCAACGTCTTGTTTGAGGTCTCCGACAGTGTTGGAAGCCGTCGAGGACGACGTGGCTCCAAAGAGGCCGGACATTCTTCGCGGCGGTGACCGTAGCTATTACGACCGATCAATCGTCGAGATATTCGTTCAAGGTGAATGGTAGAGAGGTCTGATCGCGTCAGCGGCGGAGATTGTATGCAGCAAAGTAGTCGGGTGAGGTCGCTCGAGAGTCGTGAAAGGCTGTAGAGTTTGTATTAGAAAGGTCCTGTTGGTCTTCTGGTGCGAAGCTACCTTACCCAAGAGAGACCAAGCAGACAGAAACTACGTACATATGTGCGAAAAGCTTGGCAAGGCTGAGAATGTGGGTCACCACTTTCCACATCATAAAAGTTGTGTACGTTGTACTTCGCGTTGGTACTGATGAGAAGGTACCGTACCAGTGGACGGAGTACGGCCGTACTGATCATCCGCCCCGCCGAGGCGCACGGCCCACCAGTTTTCGGCCTGAAAAGAAAATTTCAAGCGACTCCCAATTCTTTCCCTTCCCTTTCTTCTTCACCCCCTCGCCCAACAAATCGCTATTCGAAGCTCACAAACAGAGATGCGTCCCTGAGGGGGCGCATCTCATGCAAGAGAAGCTTTGGGAGAAAGTCCCCGGACACCTTCTTCCTCTCTGAGGAAGAAGATTGCGGAAACGCGCCGCCATAGAAGCAAAGCGGCTGACCTCCTTCGAACACTGCCCTCGGAGCTTGTCCCCTTCCACCCCGTCTAGCCGCTACATCGGAACGTTCTACCTTGTTTCCAGACCGGCGTTGAACGAGGAACGGCCCGTCGAGACCACATGGACGAAGATATGAGTCCGAGCTCGGCGTGTCGTTCCTCCCAAGGCCCGTATGCTAGGGGCGAGGTAGGCGTCCTCGATGGCTTGATGGCCGTGGTAAGGGATGCACGCCGGGGGCGCGACGGGGTTCGGGAGGATCTTTCGTCGAGATACCATAGGTATGCGATTGCTCGTTGCTGCCAACGAGTTACTCAATGGGGCTTATTCTTGGTGCGAGGGGGCCACAACTTCAGCTCGAGTCATTTTGGGACTGGAAGGGCTAGACTGGAGGACCTTTCTCTTTTTAACACTCTGGGACTTCTCAGGTAGTCTCCCTTCATTGATGATGCCCCTTCCCAGCACCACAAATGCTTTGCTGCCACACAGTTCGATGATGATTACCAAATAGAGTCAAGCACTGATGGTGGAGTCGTCTAAGAACGGCCGCCCCTGTGACGACAGACCAATGCGTTATGGTATCTGATGAACTATGTTTTTCGCGCTTTCTTTACTCCTCTTTTTGCAATTCATTCCTATATAACTCTTTGGGTCGGGTTTTGATGCTTAATGGGGCCGTGGAGCAATGTTTGGTTCCAGGAAACCGAGTGGCAGCAGGAGCATTGGCGCCATAGACTAGCCGGATGAATCAATCCTTTATTCCTAATATTATGAAAAGCTATCGCGGCTTTTCGGTCAGTCAGTTATGGATGTTATTGTGATCTGTATTCCCGAAAAGCGAGGTCAACAAATTCAACGACGCAAATGTACCAACTCTAGTAAAACTCGTCCTCGATAAGTGTAAAGATAACCGGTCATCTCGCCCAGCCCTATTGTCCGATTTACGAAGTAAGTGCATCGACGCTTTATTCTAGTAACACCAGTCCAACCGGATTCCTTAATTTCATCCCTTGCTCGTGGTCGTAACCCAACTCCAAATAACGCAAACGCGATGATACCCAGAACAGTTATATATTACATTAAGCCGCCCAAGACTACTTTGCCAATGTTGGCTATTTCTGTTTTCATATGTGATCGACTCTGTTCTTCGAACTCCTTGATGGTGCCATGGATGATCTTGCGCATTCTTCCGTCGACCTTGGCAAAGAGTTCGGCTACCGGCGCTGTGGCTACGGCTGGCGACGGCATTAAGTTCAGGAGTTTCGTGTATGTGTCGACCAGCACGTCGCAAAGTGTCGCGAAAGTCTCGAAGTAGTCGGGCTCGAACGGCAATGCCGGCGTCAAGAGGAGAGTGTATTCTTCGCCGGGAAGCAAGTCCGATTCGCTGTGGGCGAAGTTGACAACGTTGGCGTTGGGGGTGCCCGTTGTGCGGCCGTTTAGCGCGTCGTCCATGGGGAGGCCAATGTCGTTGGCGTTGCTGTTGCTACGACGCGACTTGCCCGGGCCGCGGCGAAACATCTGGGGCAGGCGGGCGCGCGAGAGGGAACTCGAAGACGAGCCGGACTCGCCATGGAGCTGCTGGAACGCCTCGAATTCTTGAAGGAGGGTGCTTAGGCTGCGGAGAAACTCGAAGGGGCTGGTGGAATTCAAGTCGGCGACGATGGGGAGGGAGAGTCCGAGGAGAAAATAATTGGTGGCGCGGCGGGCGAGCTTGCGAGGGTCGAAATAAGGGAAGCGTTGGATATCGGATCTGTCGAAGTGGACAGTGTTGAACCAATAGACATGCGATTCATGCCTGTTGCAGGACACGGGAGGTCGTGGTCAGTCGGAGCTGTTTAGGCAAGAAAAGAAAAAAAGAAGAAGAAAAAAGGAAATAAAAGAAAGCCCCGGACGAAGGCCACGAGAGCAAAGATAAGGGAGGTTGGGGGATGAAGACGAGCGACGAGGGAGAGCAGCCACTCACACTTTGCGAAGGTATTCAATAGTAGATATTCGTTTGTTGGCAATCTCCTGGATTTGTAGATGAACCACGGCTGCCTCACTACCCATGTACGCCCCTGCACTGGCGGATGTCGAGCTCGCGAGCCTATCGCTCATGCTCTGACCGGTCTGGGTTCTAGTGAGCATCTTGCTGGAGCTGTCGGCACTGGCTGGAGGGGTTTGTACGGCATCGGGGTCCCTCGTGATCTTGGCGGCGGCAGCCAGAGCGAAATCTGGCAGGGCGGGCGGCGCTTTGCTGTCGGTGACTATGACATTGGAGCTTGCGCCGGAGCTGTTGGCGCGTCGCTTGGAGGTGGACTTCGAGGGGGAGCTGAAGGAGGTCTTGCGGCCGAAGGAAGATTTGCGATCTTTGGTCAGAAGGTTGGGTTGAGATTGTGTCTGTGGTTGAAGTTGTGGTAGTGGGGGCGGTTGTGAGGGCGGTTGTGAGACGGGGACGGAAGGGGGAGGATCGCGATCGCGATCGCCAGAGGAGGTGCCGGGGCGCGATTTCGAATTGGCGGAGGAGGACGAGGAGGACGAGAAAAAAGAGGTCGCGAAGAAGGTGGAATGAGAGGAGGTTGACGCGATGCCAGACCTCTGCATGACTCTGGATGGGGCCTGGAGTATTCGACTGCTCTGTGGTCCTCTGGACGTGGGGACCGCCCGCCAGGCTGGCAAGCGAAGGGCCTTTGCCTGTGGCTTTCTGGTGAGCTGCAGGTTCGTCCAAGCGAATTGTATCCGTAAGATTAGGACAAGCTCCGCTGAATATTTCCTGGTCCAAATAAGAACGCCGGTGATAATGATTGGAGGAGCAGGTGCTTAATTTTGCGGCGAAGGAGCACCCTAATAGAGAGCGCAATCTGCTCAATGGGCGCTCGGATGCTTGGACCGGACCCGGGAATATCCAAGTAGCTACTTCGTAGTCCGTACGACGGAGAAGGGGGACTCGCTAGTCTGATTATGGAATCTGGAAGAGATGTGATGTAGGAAGCAGAACCAAGTAGGAAAAGGGTATGGAGAAATCTGCAACGTGAGGAGAGGGGAAGGGTGAAGGAAAAGAGACTCAAAACAGTTTTGGTGCCGCCTTTCGTGGGAAATGTACGATGGGGAACGATGGAGTCGAGTCTGGCGCCGTTCCAGGGGAACGCGGACGGAGGATTAGGGGGTTCCACACCTGGTAAGACCCCCTTTTCTTTCCCCCCTCCCACCTCCCCCCAAAAAGTAAAAATTAAAAACAACTGCTTCCAGATCTAATAAACACAAGCGCCGTCAACGAGCACTGCCGAACTTATTTATACTACGAATCAAACTGCTCGGAAACCTTTACCAGAACGTACGTTGTACCCTGGCGTAGATGGCGATTCGATTCAATCATGGCTCGATTGTCGAAGCTTTCCAATGGTCTCATCTCATTAGGGGTCCCCGAAGTGACTAGCTACTCGTTGTGAGCCAATGAGAAGACGATCTTGATTGGGAACCAGGGGCTTTTCTCTGCCGGTGCTCCATTAAGCTCCAAGATAGGTAAGGTACCTAAGGTACCTTACATAACTTCGTACGAAGTACAGTAGGGCACTCATATACGATAGGTACCTTACAATACTTCCTGTGAGAAAATGAGGGGTAGTGCGAACTTTTGCAATAAGTTCCAGGAACACTCGGTTATATTCCAGTCAGTGATGGTTTCTTTGAAACAGGTAATTAACCCCAACTCACCAATCGAAATACTACGGACCTTGAGGCTGGTAAGATGGTAAGGTACCTTAGGTAGGGTATTCGCTTGTTGATGAAGGTACTTTACCTCCAAAACAAAGTCCTTACCCAACCGATGTCTTGGCACTGATTGCACCACTGGTCATCGGAGATCTCTACTCGAGAAAGTGTCGACAAGCCTGCTCCTTTCCCAAGGTAGTCGACTCGACGAGATTATTCTCACAATTATTAGCCCCCTTCTTTTCAACTTCTTTTATCCCGTCCGCGTTCCTTCAGGGTTATACTGGTGTCTTTCCGCTCGAGACTCCAACCAGATACCATGACGGACATTGACCCTAAGGCCCCGCCTGGTGACCCAGCCCCCAAACTCCTTGAGGACCGCATCTGGATTGATGGTTGTTTCGACTTTTTTCACCATGGTGCGTTCATTTATTCATGATACTAACAGGAAAACTGCCGTGCAGCTGGAAGGCAAGTGACTAGGGATATCCAACGACTGATGCACCTCAGGACATGCGGGGGCTATCGTCCAAGCCCGCCAGCTGGGCAACGAGCTCTACATTGGCGTCCACTCAGACGAAGCCATCCTCGAAAACAAGGGACCAACAGTCATGACACTTGAAGAGCGGTGCGTTACTACTATCTCTCGTTCACTACCTAAAACACGGCCGGCACTCTTAGGTCTCTCGTGTTTTTCCTTCTTTGTTTTCTTTCCCTTCTTTCCCCGCCCCCTCCCTGACGTGCCTTCTCCGCAGTCTCGCCGCCGTAGATGCGTGCCGCTGGGTCACCAAGTCCGTGGCTCGAGCCCCCTACGTCACGCAGCTGGAGTGGGTCAGCCACTACGGGTGCAAGTACGTCGTCCACGGCGACGACATCACCTCCGATAGCAGTGGGGAGGACTGTTACCGCTTTGTCAAGGCAGCAGGGCGGTTCAAAGTCGTGAAGCGGACCCCGAGTATCTCGACCACTGACCTCGTCGGTCGCATGTTGCTCTGCACCCGCACCCACTTCATCAAATCGCTGGAGAAGTGTCTCGCCGGCGAAGAGGGCGACGGGCCCGCCGCGGAGGCCCACGCCGAAGGCCGGGCCATGACGGATCGCATGCGCTTATACGCCACTGACGAGACGGGGAAGACGCCGGGCGCCGAGGTGTGGTTCTGGTCGGCCTCCAAAGAGGCCAAGACGGACGCCTCCGTAGAAGAGAAGGGCGACTTCCGCCAGTTCCTCGAGGGCGCCGGCCCGAAACCTGGCCAGCGCGTCGTCTACGTGGATGGCGGGTTTGATCTCTTCTCTAGCGGCCACATTGAATTTCTCCGTCGAGTCCTCGTTGCCGAGGAAGAGCTGGCCCGTAAAGACGGGTGGTATTCGGAACAGTCAGTCAATGAACGGATCGGTAAGGGTGGTGACTACCCTCCCGCCTACGTTGTGGCTGGTGTTCACGACGACGAGGTCATCAACCACTGGAAGGGCGTGAACTACCCTATCATGAACATCTATGAGCGGGGTTTGTGCGTATTGCAGTGCAAGGTAAGCGCGGAGGTCGACTAGCCTTGACGGACTCCTGAAACAAGGCTGACACGTGTGGTCTCGTACTCCAACTGTAGTATGTCAACGCAGTCATCTTCGGGGCTCCCTTCACACCGACCAAGGCCTACTTGACCACCATGCCATGGGGCACACCCGATGCCGTCTACCACGGCTCGACTGCTTTCATGCCTTTGACCAACGACCCGTACACGGCGGCCCGGGAGATGGGCATCATGAAGCTGGTTGGGCCGCACCATTTCTCGGACGTCAACGCGGGGACCATTGTGCAGCGGATCCTGAAGAGCCGCGACATCTACGAGGAACGACAGCGCAAAAAGGGGGTCAAGGCAGAGGCGGAGGCGGCAGCCAAGCGGCGTGAAGCTCTGGAAGAGGAGCAGCAGAAAATACTAGCTGAGAGGGCTGCCGAGGCGTGAGTGATAGGGTTTCCTTTTACGACCATATAGAGAAAGGAAGGGAAGGAGGGATTACGTGACCAAGCATGCGGGACGGTATCCCAAATCGGAGTTCTGGGGGTTCAGTACCTATGCATACAACTCAGGCGTCCCGGCGGCAAGATATCCTTGGAGATTCAACATTGGAATGGGGCTTTCAAGGCCTTCAACAGGTTTCATGTGCCCCGGGGGTCACAGGGGCTAGATGACAAGAAAAGGGGAGAGGCCTTCAAGGCTTCAGCAACGAGAGAAACTGACGTTGAACTGAATGAAATACAGCAGTATTTGGGCGGTGGATGCAACACAACATTTTGTTCTCCGCTCATGTCATCTGCATCAAATAGACCTAGGTGAAAAGAAGAAAGAAGGGATGCACCTTACCGATGCAATGCGGGTGGCTAGGCTCGGCCTGCAAATGCAATAGCTTCTCCGAATCTCGGGATGGGTCAAAGATCGACCGGCTTTTAAGAGGCAATTCGTTACACAGTAAGTGTAGTCCGGCCCGCCTGGCGGACACTTTTTATCATTCACGAGGTCATGTAGCGGGATCGGATCTCTGCTCCACATCCCCTCCGCATACGGTCGGCTATCAACGGGCAAAGATGTACAACGTACGCAACGGACAAGATTCCGTCCGGGCGGGGAACGAATGGGGCACCTACCGGCCGAAACTCGGCTTGGCGCCGCCTCGAATCTTCCACGCGAACCCCGTCCCACACCGCTCCGTTATCTACGAAATGACATCCCCCCCTCTCAACTCTTTTCGTACATCATCCCCTACTCTCTTGTCTTTCAATTCTCCCACCTTTTTTTTTTTTCCAATTCTTTAGCGAGTAGTCAATGAAATCAACCATTGACTTTCCAGTCGCTAATGTGCAAAGGCATCCCTGTGCTGTTCGGTGACCGCCGCTCGTAACAGGGATCAAAACCCACCCACATGATCTGGATTTTGCCGTGATGCGGGGGCAAGGGTGTAAATAATTGTCAAAACTACGAAGGACAAGATCGTTAGAACTTCCGAGTTGGTGATGGCAAACCGGAAACCGAACTCGTCTAGGTACCTTACAGAATTCATCCCTATTGGAAGTCCCATTGGAATTTCCCAAACAACTCAATCAACTGCATCCTACTCCACCGACTTCGGTCCATGAACCATACCTGCATCCATAATTTGCCATCCGATCTTTCAATGTTTTTTTTGGGGGGAGGGAAATTCCCTTTGTGTGCCATCTGGATATCGGACGCCCTTAGAACGACCCACTTGTCGTCAATTGGGCGCCCCGGTCACCTGCCCCTTCCTGCAAGATGCCGGCATATCCAATGACCGTCGAGTCAAGCGTCCTTCTTGGAAGGTACCTGGGTCTTGGTTATGGTCCATCTATCTCCGATTATAACCAGCCCATCCGGTACGAAGTATAAACTTTGAACGCTGCCGGTGCCACTTCCCTTTTCTTCCGACGTACTTGCTTTCTTTTAGTTTGCTGGTCCTCTTTCGCTCTTACCCTTCCCTCCCCCTTATCTTCCTTCTTCGTCTTCTTCTTCTTCTTCTCCTCCTCCTGCTCCCATCCTTTTAACACTGTCGGGCTAAGCAGCTCCTGGTGCCTTCAACGTCATACTCAACCACCCGCTCAGCCAAGATTCGCATCGTCGCCACTCGAACTACAATGGCTCCCGCTGCCGTTACCAACGGCGCCCCCCAGAGCGCTCAGGATGTCAGCTTGACCACCTCCTCTCTCGAGCAGAAGATCGAGGCCTTGCCTGTCAAGAACGGCAGCGCCAAGGGCACGGCGGTCCCTACTCAGTCACCCGAGTACCAGGAGCTCGATGCGTCCAAACTCACCTTCCACCGCACCACGTCCCCACGTCCCGTCCCCGACGAAGCCACCGCCCACGCCGGCTCCGAGACCATCTGCACCGACCACATGATCACCGCTACCTGGAAGGCCTCGACCGGCTGGTCTGCCCCCGAGCTTAAACCCTACGGCCCGCTATCCCTCATGCCCACCGCCTCTGTCCTCCACTATGCCACCGAGTGCTTCGAGGGCATGAAGGTCTACCGAGGCCACGACGGCCGCCTCCGCCTCTTCCGCCCAGATCTCAACGCCGCTCGCATGCTCATGTCCTCCCTCCGCATCTCCCTGCCCAGCTTCCCGCCCCGCGAGCTCGAACGCCTCCTGCACGCCCTCCTCGCCATCGACGGCCCTCGCTGGCTACCCCGCGACCGCCAGGGCTCCTTCCTCTACATCCGCCCCACCATGATCGGCACCCAGCCCCAGCTCGGCGTCCAGGCGCCCAGCGAGGCCATGCTCTTCATCATCTGCACCTTCATGCCCCGCATGGACGCTCCTCCCGGCGGTATGCGTCTGCACACCTCTCCCGAGGACATGGTCCGCGCTTGGGTCGGCGGCTTCGGCTACGCCAAGGTCGGTGCCAACTACGGCCCGTCCCTGGCCGCCACCGCCGAGGCCCGCAAGCGGGGATACGGCCAGGTCCTCTGGCTCTACGGTCCGGAGCAGCTCTGCACCGAAGCCGGTGCCAGTAACTTCTTCGTTCTCTGGCGCTCCAAGGAGGACCCGAACCGTGTCGAGCTCCTCACCGCCCCGCTTGATGATCGCCTCATCCTGGACGGCGTCACCCGCCGCAGCGTCCTCGGCCTGGCTCGCGAGCGTCTCGCTGGTCAGCTTGAAGTCGTCGAGCGCCGCTACTCCATCGACGAAGTCACCCAGGCACATGCTGAGGGTCGTCTTATCGAATCTTTCGCTGCCGGCACTGCTGTAAGTGAATCCCCGCAATTCTCTGCCAATTCTTCTTTTCCTTTTATCCGCTCCTTCGTCCCTCTTCCTCTCTACAGGCGCAAGGTGGGCTGTCGCTAATATGCATTGGTACAGTTCTTCGTCTGTCCCGTGTCCCACATCCACCACCGCGGCAGTGATATCCCCATCAGCATGGGCGATACCGGCAAGGGCGGCGACTTCACTCTCAAGTTGAAGGGCTGGATGCATGACATTATGTACGGCAACGAGCAGCATGAGTGGGGCGTTCTCATCGAAGAAGAGAAGCAGTAAATTGTCCAGATCTGGTGAAGTGAGGAGGTGACCTCCACCCAACTTCCTCCATCCCCCGCGAACGGAAATATAGAAAAAGGAAAGAGAGAGGGGACGAAACAAGAAGGAAGAGCAAAGAAGGAGAGGCAAGACTTCGAAATGACCGACATAGACACTGCATACAGAGGCGCGCGCGCACGAGCAAACAATCAAGAAGGGGACGAAAAAGGTAGGAACATGGCCGCGGCGTTTGAATGGGAATTTCTGCGACCAAGAGGCAGTGGTATATCATGCTGCATGAAATTTAGTAATGTCTGATGTACATAGCTTAGAGTTCAAGCTGAATTGTCTTGAAAACATCATATATTGACCTCGTATTCGATCTTTCCACATATTAAGCCCGCCAGTGCCATTATACACACACAGCCAGCAAGGTCGCCTATAAGTGGGCGTGAAACAGCTAACCATGCATAGTATCTTCCCATCCCCTGAAACCGCCGAATAAGTAAAATTAGTGACGCCAATTCCAGAATGCATTCCATAAGGTAGGAAGCCCTGCGCAAAAGGCTGTCTTGCTTGTACCTTCCCTTCGGAGGCCGGCACAACAAATCAGCTTTGAAGCCAAAGTTCTTCCAGGATCTCTCTCTTCTCCTCCTCGAGCTCCTGCGAATATAATCAGCCTGTGGAGATACAGGGCGACACTTGGTTTCTCTGGTGTTTTACGTACCTCTTCGATCTCTTCCAACTTCCTAAGCGCCTCCTTCTTTGACCTGATGGTCTCCTGTTTCAACCTTCCCATCTTCTCGTCAAAGGCCGCATCGCGCTTTGGATCCCCGGACCCCATCAGGATCTTGTTGAACGCTTCATTCTCTGCTGTCTTGGCTGCATCCAACTCTTTCAGATTCCGTTGCAGAAACTCCGCCGTCTCGGCTGCTTCCTTTCTGAGTCTCTCTGCGGCAGTTCCTACCATCTGTTTTTCTCGTGGTTCGCTGTCGGACTTTTTGTACGTGTAGCTTTCTGACAGTGGTTTGTCGAAGTTGGCGCTCAGGTTCTGCACGCTTTCCAAGACTCCCCTATCCTCCGTCACTATAGCAGACAACTTGTCGCAGAGGAGGGTATGAGCACCATCGAGCAGGTCAAAGACTTGCGAGTGCAGCTGTTCGCCTTTCTCAACATATGCAGCTGAACAAAAACATCTCTGTCAGCCACGCGCCCCCTTTCTCAGAGACATGCTCGGGAGATTTACTCTTGATTCGGGCCAGCAGCTGTGCTTCCAACTTATCTGGACGGCGAGGTTCTAACTTCTTAGAGGGTAACTCCATTGCCTCGCGGAGGCCCTTCCACGGCTGTGGGTCGCTTGCACTGCTGGCCCCTGATTCGGGGCCTAACTGACTGTTTGCTACTCGAGAAGATTCCCATGGAAAGACAGAACCAGAATGCCGGGGTAAGTGAGAGGACTGGATTGAGATCGGGTCGGCACGGTACAAGGCAGGATCTTCTCTGCGCAGAGGTTCACCAGGTGCGAAGTCGAGCGGCGACAATGCATGCAAACGCTCTCCCCGAGCCCGGGTCCGATCATGCCCAAGTGATACTGGCCGTGAATAAGGCTGGAATCGGTGTAGGTGAGGGGAAGTGTGGTCACTGGGTCGTATGTCCTTTGGCTTGACTTGATTCTGGATGTCTTTGCCAAAGAGGCGATCGCGGAACGGGGTAGCCGAAGCGGCTTCTCTCTTGGGTCTAGATGGCTGTTCGTCGTCTGTGGGCGTTTTCATGCTGACAGGTTCAAGAGGCGACTGCCCTGAACATCGTAGACGTCGAGACCGCACCAAGTACTCCCAATCCATGTCTCGAAAATATGAGTTACCGAAGACGGCAAAGGGAGTCAGTCTGATATCAGTATGGTCAAGTCAGAAAACTCGGCCTATCCAAAGTCCATGTGATTCCATGATCAAGAATGGATCACAGATATCAAAGTAGGGGACAAGAAGATACTCGATAAATAAGGTAGCTACCTACCTTAGACAGGTACCTTGGATACCAACCAAGGGTGACATGACCGGTACCTTATGGATGAATGATCACGGCCCCGAAAGGACATAGGAGGAAGGAAAAGCCAAGACGGGGCACAGGGTGGTCAGAGTTCTTCCGACTTGCCGAGGAAGGAGGAAGGAGAACACCCGTGGCAACTTCCATGGTTACCAAGGTAGCAACGTCCCAGATATGAAGGCGAGTGACGTTCATTTCATAGCTGGAAGGTAAAGCCTTCTCCTCAGCCTAGACTGCGACGTCCTGCACACAAAACTACCCTTATAGCCCCAAGCAGAGGATGAAGCGACGTACTTCGTACAATGCACACAATAAAGACGCGGATTGATGCTGTAAATGTTATGATCGAAGATGCCAGCTCAAAGCCGGAAGCGAAGGCGCTGGGAATTCGCATGGCAACATGGGAAGGAAGTCGATGGGAACATGACCCGTGCGTCACCTTGCCGCTCCCAGCATTTATTTCGTACTCCGTACGAACTATTACGAAGTTCTGAAGCGCTTCCGCTCTCAAGAGCCGTTTGTTGCCAGTTAAGAAGTCCATGCAGTAGGCGCCGCGCCATAGCTTTAGGGCTGCACGCGCGTAATGAATAAAGAAAAAAAAAAAGAACAAAAGTCGATGCAGCTGCCAGTGCCACAGTTGCCTAGTACCTCGCCGTCCATATTTGGCATTTGGCCCATAGCGCAAGCTGACGGTCTTGGCAACCCCAATCGCCGGGTTCTGTGCAACGACTTCACTTGACAGCTGAAACACAGGATCGAAGTACTTCGTACATACCTAGACCCCCGGCGTCAACTAAGCCCCTCCGAGTGTCCACGTAACTTGCCAGCGCCGTCCCGGGCGCCTGTGCTGCTCTTCGTTGGGTCTTATTTGCCATAAAAGTTCGCAAAAGATATTATATTTCAAGCAGGACATTCCCAGCATACAAAATTATTCGTCTCAGAAACCAGCGAATAGCCGACAAGTTTCTAGTCATCTTTTCCCATCCACCCCCAACAGCAACGTTTCGAGCCACCTGCTTCACGCCTGTGTCTCGCGACTTACAGATATATACCTCGCGCACCAGTCCCCCCGATCTCCTCAAAAGCCCACCAGACGTACGGATACATACCCTTCTTTACGAAGCTTCCTCGTCCCGAAGACAGTTTTAAGAGTCTATTAGGACTCTTACCCCCCCTCAGCCATGTCCGCGACTGAACATACCGGGGCAGCAACCGCGAAGCCTGCGTCGGACAAGGCCAATAATTCTTCAGCTGTCTCCGTGGAAGGGACACCCATGAACGTCACCGATTCTCCCCCACTAGCCCAAACAGCTCAATCAGAACACGACAAGGCAGACAATAACCGACACACACCGATCATTGAGACCCAACCCATCAAGGGTCTAGGTGATGATGCCAAGATCGTCGAGCTTCCTACTGCGCAATCCGACGCAACACACTCACCCAGGGCATCGACCACGCAACGTGCCGAGACTACGAGCCGTGCAACTTCGATTGAAATCGATACTTCTCGGCCCCAAGACTTTGATGGTGCCATTGGCACAACCGACAAGCTGCCCACTCAGGAGATCCTGCGCAAAGTCGACGACTATGTTGTCCTGGACCGCCATGGCAGGACACATACTTTCAAGAGTTTGTACAGCGGACGGAACGTGGCCCGTCGCATGCTCATCATCTTTGTTCGCCATTTCTTTTGTGGCGTAAGACACCAGCTCCTCCGTCCCCTCTCCAGATCACTACGATGGCCATAAGCTGACAAGTACCAGAACTGCCAAGAATACCTCCGCACGCTCTCCGAATCCATCACGACCGATGCCCTCCTTGGCCTGCCCGTCAGCACCTTCATCACTGTCATCGGGTGCGGTGACCCTGCCATGATAGCGGCATATGCCGAAGCAACAAACTGCCCCTTCCCAATCTACACCGACCCGAAACGCTACCTCTATCGCGTCCTCGGCATGACTCGAACATGGGGACTCGGCGAGAAACCAGCATATATCAAGAAAAACTTTGCCGGGCTCGTTGCATCGTCTCTACTCCAGGGACTGAAACAGCTACCCAGTGGGATGGCAACCAAGGGGGGTGACTCTAAACAGGTGGGCGGCGAGTTCCTGTTCGAGCCTACCGACGTTGCCACTCCAATCGCGACGCCTGAGCCAGACACCGTTGGCCGATCTCTCGACGAAGCCATTGCTAGGCAGCAGCAGCGCAAGTCGGCTTCCATCAATGAAGACGAAGACGAGGGTCTGTATGGCACGGAAGAGAAGCACGTTACGTGGTGTCACCGGATGAAGACCACGCGCGACCATGCCGAGATTCCGGAATTGATGGAGGTGCTGGGCTTGGATGGTAACGGCAAGCCAATACGGGATAAGAGGAGGTGGTCAAAGGCACTCAGCGAGCGGAAGGGCACAGGCTTGAGCCTAGCCAGCCAGATGAGCCGATTAAGTGACCGCGAGAGAAGCAGGGACCGGTCGGTATAGCGTGGCTGTGTTTAATCCGAGCTTGGCTTTGCAGGTATTGTTTTACCATATTTGAGTATTTGTCAGATGCCTACAGCCACCTTATCGGGGTGTGACTTGCGCCATTTCTGTAGACGGATGGGGTACTTCCGACCGATGTATCCACATCAATTTCCCCTCCTTTTACTTCATAGTTAGACATTTACGCAGAGTATCTTTTACTCTTCTTCAATACACACACATATCTTTTACGTACCTTATTTTATGTGCTAACAGTTATAAGCCCGGCGTTCTAATAAATAAAGCTATTTCGATAGATCCTGTAGCTTTAAGGCAGTCAAAATAGCCTTAAGTCTATAGCGGTTAGCTTAGTATTATTAGCTACGTCCGCCTGCTTTATTTTGACCGTTATTCCGTTATTCCCTCTTATTTAAATCGCTTAACTCGCTTAAGTCCTATATCGTTCTATCGCTCCTCGTTTAATCGGTCTATTATAGTCGGTTTCGATAGTTTATTTCCCTGTAGTCCTAGTTAGTCAGACGATGGCCTTAACTACGGCGTTGCCCACGATAGGCTATACGATCCTCACCTTACTAAAAGAATAGCGTTATTAGATCGAGGCTATTATACAGATAACCTACGCTAACTAGGTCTCTAACCTTATTAATCCAGACCTTAAGGAATCCAAACGTCCTTAAAAGCTCGAATCCTCGGAACCTCTAGAGCTAGAAGAAGGTGACGAAGATAATGCCTAGGACCGTAAGTTTAAGCTATAGAACGTAAAAGAGAATAAATATTAGTAACAGTAACGTGGTCTAGCTGCTCTTCACGACTATATCGCGAAGATAGTTAATCCTAACCTTAAAGATTAGTACGCGGGGAAGAAGGAGGTTAAAGATATCCTAATCGCCTTAAAGGACTATCTTAAACCTACTAACGCTGCCCAGAAATCCCTAGTTAAGAAGAGATAGGAAGAATATATATAAAATATACGGAGGATGTCCTATAAGCGTTAGCTTCAGGACTTTATATCGCTATACCGAGATTCGAAGACCTATAGCGTTAGATCTTCTGATACCATAGAGGATTAACTCGACGTGTTTTTCAGGGCTATCGGTACTATAGCTTTAGAGTAGTTAGAGACGTGCTTTATAGAGATTTTAAGAGAAGATAAGGAAGACTAACCTATTATCGAAGAGGTTATAAACGAATATACGGTTTAGTTACGCTATAGGCATCCCTATAGGCTTAATAAGAAGCCTATAACGTTATCGTTTTATACGGCGACGTTCCTAGGAAAGGATAAAGATAGCAGATAGCAGCCTATTAATCAGGAAGGTTAGTAGTAACAGAGAAAGGAGGATTCTTCGGTAAGGGAATTTATCTACGATTACGTTAAGATAGGAAGAGCTAAACGCCACTACTATCCGTGGAGTAGCTGCCTAAACGTTAATCCGACACGCCGCTAAAAGGGCTTTACGCCCTCGAAGGAGGTAGTGGAACGCTATAACCGTGTTATTAAGAGCTAGAGTGCTTCTAAGCAAAAGAAGTTCAGGGAGTATATTAAAAAGAATATCGATAAGGCTAAAAATAAGGTAAAAGAGTCTAAAGCTAAGTTACTAGAGAAAGATTAGTCTAAGGAAGTATTTAATTCCGTTAATAATAGGGAAGAGGATTCTGACGATGGCTCTTACGATATATATTTTACCTCTAATTTCGTGGGAAAAAAGGTAGTATCGTCGACCTCGCTATCGGTTTTCTCGCTCCTATAGACTAAATAGGTGGTTAGTAATAACATATTTAATTAGTTATTAATCGATTCGGGGTCCCTAAGGTATATAACTAATTAACACCACCTGCTCGAGGACTTCTAGCCTGCTACCACTATCGTTAGATTTTAGATAGGTGGCGGCACCTCTAATCCAGTGGAGGGGTACGGCACCCTGCGTCTTTAGGTTAAAGATATAAAAGGACGTCCTTATACTTTTATACTAAAGAATGTAGCGTTTATGGATAGATACCCTATAACGCTGCTAGTAATGCGTAGGTTATAGAAGGATTAGAACGCTGTTTTTATGACCGGCAGAGATATCTTAGTAATGGACCGATGTACCTGCCTGCCGTTAATTAACGTTAACGGCTAATATGCCCTTAAACCGACCGATAGCACGCTACAGCGCTTATAGTAGCAATAGCAGAGCTATTTCAATAGCTCAAGGGAACCAAAGCCTATAAGCGTGGCTAACGCCCGTTTATAGCACGAGAGGCTAGGGCACGCTAACCCTTAAGCACTAGTATAGCTATTAAAAGGGTGCGTAGGAGGTATCGTGGCTTTAAAAGGAAGAGCGGCACCTTTAGTGGTAGACTACGAGGCTTACGCTATTAGTAAGGTAAAAAGGATAGTATCGCGACGTCCACCTACCCATAGGCTAATAAGGCCTTTTTAGAAGATTAACGTGGATCTGTTTTCGATAGATTCTGCCGCTAATAGCGACGATACTATTACCTTATTCTACAATCCCTGCACGTATAAAAACGTGACTAGAACGATGCTAGGGTATAAATATATACTATGCTCGATAGCTAACTTCGAACTCTTCTTATAGAGGAAGTATAGGCTATTTATTAGTGTGATTAGACTCGATGGAGAGAGGGCGCTATAGAAGAAGCTAGATAACTAGTCTTTAGATCGTGGTATCCTGCTAGAAAGATCGGCTCCTTATATAGCCGTATAGAACGCTAACGCCGAACGGTATAGGGGTATTATCTTCGCTATCGCGAGGGTATTAGCAGATGCCTTAGGCTTCTAATAGGATCTATGGCCAGAGATTATTATAGTAGCCACTTACCTATATAACCGGATTCCACGCAGGGATCTAGGCTAGTAAACCTCCAAGGGAGCGTTAAACGCGTGGCTGTAAAAGGAGGGCATCGTTAGCTTTATAACCACTAATCCCTTAATTACGCACCTAAAAAAGTATAGTTATAAGGCGTACGCGTTAACTACTAACTACCTGCGAGAAAGGTATAAGAACGAAAAGCTCGCACCGAGGGTATATATCGGTTATTTAATCGGTTACGAAGGCACTAATATTTTTCGGATTTAGGTGCTAAAATTAGGGAGGATTCTGCGTATAAGGGACGTCGTGTTCGACGAGTCAGTCCTTTACAAAAACAGGGAAGAGGAGCCCAACATGCCTTTAGAGCTGTATAAAGAGCTCAATCTGCCATTAGATCAAGGGCGAATCCACGATCCTTTTAGCGTTATAATAGATATCGTCGATTTCGGTATACTTATAGTAACACAGCAGAACTCCACGATAGAGGCTTTATAAGAGGGAAGGAGGCGTTAATAACAGCCTTAATCGTTAAGATCTAGGGGGGTGGCCGGCGGTGGTGGTAAAGGATTAAAAACCACCACTAACGCAAAAACCACCGAAAACGCCTCTGAAAACTAATAGGTTACTAACTAAGAGGCATTATATGGAACGGCTGCCACGGCTACGGCAGGCACGGTTCCTACCGTTATACCTGCCGTTATTCCTGCCGTTGATTCTTCTTCTTTAACTGCTATTTTACCACCCTCTTTAAGAATAGCACTAATTTTACCCTCTTTAATAGCCTCTTCTTCCTCTTTAAGGCCTGTTTATACGCCATTTTCGCTACCTCCTAACGATCCTATAATTAAACGCAGCGATTAAGAGGAATCAGACGATACTAGCGGATCTTCCTCCACCTTAGAGGAGGCTATAGGCGAGGCCACCGACGATGCCGTCGGAATAGGATTATTGTCACCTGACTAATCCGTTATCAAAGAGGCTATAGCTATTACCGCTACTCCTTAAATAACTAATCTATAAGCAGTAACCCTATCTTCAGCAGCTAAGTCTAATCTCACTGCTACTACTACTGTTCAGGCCTAATAACTAACCTCTTATTCGCCTGCTTTAGCTTTAACGCCTACCCCTATAGGGCGGCCTGCTCGTAATCGCCGACCTCCTTCCAGATACGACGATTATATCTTCCACTTCACCTTTAAGAAGCCGAAAAAGCCGCTATTACGCCGCGAGATACCTAAGGAACTGTTAACTTAGTCTTAGATGCTAAAGAGCCTATATAAGCTGTAATAGCTCAGGGCAGCCATATAAGAGGTGGATACACTTAGGTTAATAGGCATCTTTAAAGCAGTAGAGCTACCCTAGAGAGGGCAACGTGCCTTAGACCTTAAATAGATCTTTAAGTATAAGGTTAACCCGTCGGGGTATATTAGTAAGTTTAAGGTGAGGTTATGCGTGCGAGGCGATTAATAGCCTAAAAACCACCTTAACGCCTACGCCTTTACCCTCGCAGGAAGGACCTTTAGGTTATTAATAGCTATTACTGCCTATTTTGGCCTGGAGACACGTTAGCTTAATGTCGTTAACGCCTTTACTAACGCCACCCTTAACGAAGAGATTTACGTTAAGAATTCACCCGGGTAGCCGCTGCTTGGGGCAGTAAAAGGCACGAAGAGCGACGAGGACCTTAAGGCTATTTTAAAGCTATCGCGACCACCTTCACGCGGTATATAACGCCTGCGCAGGGCGTTCTATAGTCTTCGGCGTTCCCCTAAGCTATAGCACGAATAGCTCTCTTCCGTTTTAGGCAAGTACGACCTAAAGTAACTAACCGAAGACGATTACGTCTTTAAAAGTAAGGAACTAATCGTTTTCTTCTACGTAGACGATATTATTCTAATTTATAGGAAGGAATATTAATCTGCTGCTAATTCTCTTATATAATGGATATAGCAGCACTTTTAAGTAAGGGACCTAGGCCTACTTAAGTGGTTCCTGGGGATTAGAGTGGTTCGAGATCGCTAATAATATCGGCTATAGCTTTCCCTCGAGAACTATATCACCGAAAAGATCAAGGCCTTAGGGATGGATTTCCCCGTTAGTGGGCGTAGGGTTAAAAGCCCTCTTCCTTTTCCTAACGTTTTATAACCTATAACCGAATAAGCCTCTACAGATTTAATCCACCTATATCTACGGAAGGTCGGTTCTATTAATTACGCGGCCTATTAGACCCGGCCTAACGTACCCAAAGCTGCTTTAAGGCTTACCGAGTTTAACACTAACCCGTTAAAACAGCATCACGATACCGCAGACAGGTATTTAAAGTACCTGGCCTTAACTAAGTCCCTATGCCTTTACTTTAGACTACGCGTTAACCACCTATAGCACGCACTTTACTATACTTCCGACGCGGCGTTTAGGGACGACCGTGAGACTCGGTATAGCTCCTAGGGCTATACTATACTGTTATTTAGTGGCCCTATAGACTAGAAGGCAAATAAGCAAATAAACGTCGTGACCTCTAGTACTAAAGCCGAGCTTATAGCACTTTCTGCTACTACTAGGTAGTATATCGCGACGAGGCGTTTAATTAAGGACCTGACCTTGATCTTTAAGGAGGAACCACTAACGATATACTATGATAACGACTAAACGAGGATCCTGTTAGAGGCTCCACGCCCTTAGGTTATATCTAGATTAAAGTATCTAGATATCCACGCCCTTTAGATCCGACAGGTCGTTTAATAGAAGAAGGTCCTGATCGCCTGGATCTCGACCTAAGAGATGGTTAGCGATAGGCTGACTAAAGTACTTCCCCCGCAGAAATATAAGGCGTTTGTATATCTATTAGGGATAGAGGTCCTAAGCCAGGGGGCTTAAGGCAATTTATAAGAGGTGCGGTGCTAAGTTTATAATCTATAGCCTAGATTAACCGTTATTTTTAGTGCCCTTTAGATTATTATTTAGGCACCCGTTTTTAACGTTATTATGAGGTTAATTTAACCACCTGTTTTTACACGTTTTTAACGTTTTTAGGCATAAAAAGAGCGCGCTTTTCAATAAGCCGTTCAACCGTTAGATTAATATCTAGGCCTCTATTTTACCCTAGATTTACGGCTTCAATTAAGCAGAACAGTCAGGATTAATCCTGCAGTTCTGGGGGGGTATATTAGATGCCTATAGCCACCTTATCGGGGTGTGACTTACGCTATTTCTATAGACGGATAGGGTACTTCCGACCGATGTATCCATATTAATTTCCCCTCCTTTTACTTTATAGTTAGATATTTACGCAGAGTATCTTTTACTCTTCTTCAATGCACACACACATCTTTTACGTACCTTATTTTATGTGCTGACAGTATTCGAACGGACATTTGATTAAACGGAGGAGCACGGCGGGGTTCATGTTTCAGTTTGGTGTTAGCAGTGGCAGACAACGGGCTAGAGCATTTGCAGGGTGTTGGGCAGCTTTCGGAATTAACAGGTTATGAAAGCCATGAATTCTCGCATAATGATGTTTCGTCCGACTTCAGGTCCCTCAGAATATGCACCGCCCCCAATACACCCTAGATGTCTTTGGAGATAGGCTGTGGAAAAGTAGAGCGAGGTTCCAGTGTTCAGTTATGGAATAGTGATTTCTGTGATCACCGCTGTTCGAAATAATTACAACGTAATTACTCCGTAGCAGAGAAGTCTGTGCCTGTCTCATGCCCCGCTATTTCCCGCTGCTGCCCGCTCCTTCCCGCTATCGTTTTTAGGACCAGGGGATTACGTAGGTAAGGTAGGTAATAGGAAAATGCTGCTTACGGATCAATGCAGCTACCGGGGACTTCCCCGCGCCCGCATTTCAGAATGCAGAGATACGAACAAAAGTTAAATTCTCATCCCACCAAAACGAACTACACCTTTCACAACCGAACTATTCGCCGAATTCCAAGCCGACCATGGGTGCCCAAGCTCCCACAGAAGCTCTTCAGGAGCTGAGGGGTGTGTGCGACCGGTCAACCGTGTGCCTCGTCTTCGTTTTGCTCTCCATGACTGACCCGTCTGTACAGTGAGCGAGGCCGCCACCTCCAACCAGCAGGCTGACCCGAACGCAAACGGGGCAGCCCACGATAGCGACGATTCCGACGACGACGCCGATGCTCCCGCAGTAGGCGCCGAGGGCGCTGGCGGAGAAGGAGGTGCCAAGAAGAAAAAGAAAAAGAAGAAGAACAAGAAGAAGAAGAAGGCAGCGACCAGCCAATCGGACCCTCCTCGTGTGCCCCTCTATCAACTGTTCCCCAACAAGAACTACCCCGTCGGCGAGGAAGCCGAGTACAGGGATGAGAACGCGTATCGGACGACCAGCGAGGAGAAGCGCCACCTCGACAACCTGAACAGCGACTTCCTGACCGATTACCGCGAGGCAGCCGAGATCCACCGACAGACAAGGCAGTGGGCGCAGAAGTTCATCAGGCCTGGCAAGACGCTGGCGGAAATCGCCGAAGGCATCGAGGACAGCGTCCGCGCCCTCACTGGCCACCCGGGCCTGGAGGAGGGCGATGCGCTCCAGGGCGGCATGGGCTTCCCCTGCGGCCTCAGCATTAACCACTGCGCGGCCCACTACACGCCGAATGCGGGCAATAAGATGGTGCTGCAGCAGGGTGACGTCCTCAAGGTGGACTTTGGCGTGCACGTTAACGGCCGCATCGTCGACAGCGCTTTCACCATGGCTTTTGAGCCGCAGTTCGACAACCTGCTCGAGGCAGTGCGGGAGGCGACCAACGCTGGTATCAAGGAGGCCGGCATTGACGTGCGGGTGGGGGATATTGGCGGCATCATCCAAGAAGTCATGGAGAGCTACGAGGTGGAGATTGGCGGTCAGACATACCCGGTCAAATCGATCCGTAACCTCAACGGCCACAGCATCGAGCGGTGGAGCATCCACGGCTCCAAGAGCGTACCTATCGTGAAGAGCAACGACACGACGAAGATGGAGGAAGGTGATGTCTTCGCCATCGAGACGTTCGGCAGCACCGGCAACGGATACGTCAGGGACGACATGGAGGTGTCCCACTACGCCAAGCGGGGGGACTCTCAAGTGCCTCTGCGCCTCGAGTCGGCCAAGAGGTTGCTGAACGTGATCAACAAGAACTTCGGCACATTGCCGTTCTGCCGTCGGTACCTGGATCGTCTGGGGCAGGACAAGTACCTCCTCGGTGTGCGTGCCCACTCCCCTTCGCTTGGTTCATGACGTGTTTTGCTGTCGGACGAGAACTGACAACGATCTTTCCTGTTCCAGCTGAACAATCTTGTGTCTAATGGTATTGTCGAGGCATACCCGCCGTTGGTTGACAAGAAGGGCTCATACACTGCTCAGTTCGAACATGTAAGTTGTTCACACCGTCAGGCTAGACCATTGCCATTCCCCTCGGCCGCCGGACACGCTAACGCAAGCGGAACTAGACCATTCTCATTCGGCCAACGGTCAAGGAGGTAATTAGCCGCGGAGAGGACTATTAAGCAATCCAGGCTTAAGTATGCGTAGTATGGGCGATGAGATCCAGGTCGGATGGCATATGTACGGACGTCTCTTGAAATGAGTGGTCGATGTTACGACAGTCCTCCGATGGAGGTAATGGGCTTCATGATGTTTCACCCATCAGTAGCTTATAAAAAGATGCCTGTTAACTATGCCGGAGTGAAGCAGGAAGAGAAACTCCATCTTTTTCCGTCCCGGATCTCCACGCGTGCGCGGTATTGCGGCCGAGGAGCGGGAGATGAGGATCTATCGAGTTGCCGCGGGTATATGTATTACATCCCGGGCCCGCATCTCTTCCTTGATAGGCAATGAGGCACGCCGTGGACAATGCCTATATATGTACACTAGGTAATTAGTACAATGGTCCTAGCGTCCAAGTTATGAAAAATGAGCCTTACGCTAAGCCTTTTCGACCGTCCCTTCACGTGCCAGCCAGGGACCTTCGAATAGGTACATATGCGGACTTGTCGTACATAATAAGGTAAGGTACCTTATGGAGGCATATGGAATTTTATGACTGGTTTCCCTCTTTCCTCATAAAAAGGGTCGACGCACATTACACCTTAGGACCCATATGAATTATCATGACTTTGGTGTAGGACTGCAGATTCGCTGGGTTAAGAACCTCACAAGCCAGTAATCAATTCTCGAACAAGATCACCGTGTCTGGAACTTTCGCATACGGTGCGGATATTAAGCCTCTGACACGAATATGTAGAACCCGAAAGTGCGGGACCAATCATAGGTCATGTGCAGTTGGACTTACTCCGATGTGACCCGGGATTACCAAACATATATGTAATAAGTGCGTGTCTGGATGCTATGGACGCTTCCGGTTTAATGTCGCCAAGACCGCCACATTCACGATCGGCTCGTACTGTACATGCACTGTTTACCGGGGTTTGTGAGGCAAGGGGGAAAAAGGTCCTAAAAAGAACTAAGACAAAAAATTAAAGCCTCCCTCCCTCTCGTTGGTCTTCTCCCTCCCGCCCCGAGTAAAAACCGCACTACGACCACCACCCTACACCTTGGGAAGTCTCTCCTTCGATCCGAGGATCATCGGCGCAGTTTGCCACAGGGTCTTTCCTCAATCACAGAGGCGAGGGCGGAATTACAATTACCTTTTAATCAGCGCGGTCCTCTTTTATTTTTAAGTCTTACCTCCTAACCGTGTACGCCCTCTGCGCTGTCAACGAAAGAAGGAGAAATAGATTACCCACGCGAGCGGTACCTTCCACATCTCCGAGTCACACACCAGACATCAACAACTGCCATAGCCGACAAAAAAATCACAATGAAGGTCTTCAGCAACAGTGTCACTTTCAACTATTCGTGGGAGGAGGTTTCCACGGCCAACTGGCGAAAGTACTGCCCATGGAACGACAAGTCAACACACGTGATCGCTGTCGACACGGTCGACCGTCGCGTCGACCCGGCCACCGGCATCCTACGCACCGAACGCCTGATCACTTGCAAGCAAACTGCGCCAGACTGGCTCAAGTCCCTCATGGGTGGCTCTATGGATGTTTCCCATGTCTTCGAGACCTCCTACGTCGACCCCGCCCGCCGCACAGTCACCATGGTCTCCCAGAACCTGACCTGGTCCAATCTCGTCAACGTCCAGGAGACGGTCATCTACAAGCCTCTCAGCCCTACCCAAACGCAGTTCATTCAGGACGCCCAGGTCACTGCCCTCTGCGGTGGCTGGAATCGCATCAAAAACAGCATCGAGGACACCTTGGTGAAGCGCTTCAACGAGAACGCTGTCAAGGGCCGCGAGGGCTTCGAGGCCGTCCTTGCTATGAGCCGCCGTGTCTTCGCCGAAGAACGTGAGCGGGAACAGTTGCTCAAGCAGGGCACTATGAGGGCATAAAGAACATGAATCGGCTACCATGGGGGAGCAAAGACTACCCAAATCACAACTATGAACCAGGCCTACCACCACGGCCGAGAAAAACGAAAAAAGACGACAAGTTCATGCGGCACGCGATAGTACTGGTTTAGAGCGAGCGCGGCGCCCAGAATTTTTCGAAAAGTATACTCCCTCATCTTCACCTCGGAACGACTTGGGCGTTCCGAATGCATATGTTTTCGGCGAACGGCGGCATTATAAAAAGACGGGGTTTCGGGAAAAGGAACAAAAAGGAAACGGTTATTTTATTTTCATTAGAAAGCGCCGGCGTTAGAAAGGCATCATTGCTTTCTTGTTCTGCTTACTGCTGAACGGAGTATCCGTCCAGAAGCGAATGTATATTACGATAGAAAAGTTGGGAGGGAGAATACCCGGGGCGCATTGCATCACGGCCTCTTAGCATCACCAAGACGGTGCCATAGCGATAACCTGGGATTTCCAGGCGGGATACACAAGGTTTGGTCCAGAGCATTCAATACACTCTCCAATCTTGGTATCTACCTGTGCGGCTGTGACAGCTACCCTCTGTGTTTTTGATCAAGCTACCTGACCGATGTGCACTCGTCCATTTCGAGTCTCTCGTCGTGTGTATCTGAGTCGGGCCTCGTGTTCCCGTCTCTGCTTTCCCTGCTTTATTTTCAACTCAAATCTCGTCTCATGAAGGCCCATTCGTCACGACATTCGACATCCTGACACAGTCACCTAGCATATAATTAGAAGACACGTCAATGTGGTAGCTGAATTCGTACAGAAGGTGACATAATGGTCTCTATGAAAAAAAAAAAAAAAATTCTCCCGGGGTAGGCTACTAAGAGCGCTCAAGACGCAGCCGACGTAGGAGCCATCACACCATTGTCCCGTTGCCTCATCCTTTTCAGACATCTCTCTTCATATAGAACAAAGAAATTCCTATGCTCATTGTCCAGCTTCTCTGCGCTCGAATCCAAAATCCTGCGCGCCAGTGTCGCACCCTCAGAGAACCGTCGGAAGAAATACAGCTCCTCGACGGCGTGGAGGAGTTCTTGGGCCTCAGCTTTGGTGGCGACAGCCTGGAGGGGAAGTACACCCTCAGAGATCTTCCAGATCTTGTGCTCTTACGTCAGATGGGGATACTTCCGTCATAGAATTCGACCAGGATGAAAGGTTGTCCGCGCAGGGTCGGCTCGACTCAACTCACTTCTCCGTTTTCGATCTTGGGCTGGTAAGACTTCCTCACGGCCTGAAATTCCTCCTCCGTCTGGCCATCGCGCGGCTTTTTGTTGGCTTGCGAATCGTCTTCGCTGTCGGATACGGCGATGCAAAAAAGCCCGCCGTCCTCGAGGTCTGACATTCTTATATGTAGAGTTTATCGGCTCGATTGGACGAGGCACCTCAGTCTCTGGCAAGAAAAGACGTTTGTTAGTGCCTACCAATTAAGAAAAACTGGTCCAGGGGCCAAATAGCTTAGTCATACCCGGGGCTTTCTAAGGTACCTTATCCCCAGCACCTTATCCGTATCCCGACGACAAGCAACTTTACGTGTACGTGTACCAGCGAAGAAATTGTCCAGTTGGTTCACAGTACGGAGTAATTTGTGGCTACCAGTGCTACTCCGTACGTAAGAGTGATGTAACCAGCGACGATCAACAGGGGTCGCTTCAGCGCCAGTCGAGGGGTATTAAACCGAATGCGGGGAATTTGTGACCTACCCGTACAGCTCCATCCGTCGCGCCGCCCCTCGTATCATCAGTGATTATCCGTCTTTTCAAACCACCGGCTATCATTTCAACACCCACCACTCTGTACGTACAGTTCGTTGTCACTTCATCATTTAAAACCCTTAATATGGATGAACAAGTAGACAGGCTCGTTACCAAAGCGTGGGACAAGCTCAGGGAAACCCCCTCGAATGAGCGTCTACGTGAGACAACTCCCCCCTCCCTTCCCCTCTTTGCACCCACTCAACCGTGCACCACGAGCTCGCACGGGGGACTTACCAGAATGAACGGACTCGACAGTCATCGCAGTCGGCGGCATCCCTGGTTCTGGCAAAACAACCCTCTCCCAGCTCATCGTATCCCGCATCAATGCCTTCGCCCAGATATCCTCCCCGGCCGAACCGAGCCCAGCCGCCTTCGTCCCCATGGACGGCTACCACCTGACCCGAGCCCAGCTCTCCGCCCTTCCAGATCCAGTCGAAGCCCACGCCCGCCGCGGCGCCGCCTTCACGTTCGACGCCCCCGCATACCTCGACCTCGTCCGCCGCCTCCGCGAGCCCCTTGCCCCGGAGTCGCCAACCATCCGCGCCCCAAGCTTCGACCACGCCGTCAAGGACCCCAAATACGACGACATCGCCATCGAGGCCCATCATCGCCTCCTCGTCTTTGAGGGCAACTACGTCGCTCTTGACAAGCCGCTCTGGCGCGACGCCGCCCGCCTCATGGACGAGCTTTGGTTCGTGGAGGTTGACTTCGACGTGGCCCGCCGCCGCCTCATCAAGCGCCACGTCGCTGCCGGCATTGCTTCTGACGAGGCAGACGCCGACAAACGCGCTCGCGAGAACGACCTCGTCAACGGCCAAGAGATTGTGGACTTCCGCCTCAACGTCGATGAGGTCATTGTGAGTCGGGAGGATGAAGGGTGGGCACCACGTGGTTGAGTATACCGCGGCAATATAAGCCCGCATATTCGAGTCAGGGCGAATCATGTCCACCACGAATACGGCCATAAGAGGCGGTGAGCAGCACGGTGTACACACCATACGTCTCAAGATTGAGACTAGAAGTACGCAGAAGAGCCAAGTGCCAACGCAGTCGATGGATAACGGTGCCGGGTCCTTTTTGAACGAGCTGTCATGACATTTGACGTCTTAGATGAGTTTCGCTGATGCTACAGCTCCCCTTCATCACCCTATCCCCATCATGCGGTTTCTTCTTTACACACCAAAGGGGAAAGAATCCGATTCCCAGCTATCTATCTACAGATGAGACGAGATGACTGGTGGTAAATACCAGCACACCCTTCTGGCTGAGAAAGACCTCTCTATTCCGCTTCTGCACATCCATCACTGCCCTTCCGTCTTATTCTTGCCCTCTCGAGAGTAAGAGACCGACCACTCCCTACACCTTGAAGGTGCCAGTAAACCGTCCAGAAGGCTCAAATTTCTGGCAAAGATCGGCGTATTTCGAACTTGCCAGACCCTTCTTTGGACGTTCAGGTTCCGCAGTGTTGGGAGTTGCTGTCGCGATTCCCTCATCGGCAGTTATGGCTTGCTCCAGGAAAGACGTAGTTAACAGCGTCTCGGTGTAGCGCCAGACGGCGAGGGGGGGGGGGCTGGCCTTTGAGCGGATCTCTTGCAGCTGCGTACGGCCATACTGAACTCTGGTAGGCATCGTGGTGGCAGCATCGTTGCGGGAGGCGGAGCCGCCGCTACTTGGCTTCTGCCGGTTGCGCTCTCTCTCGTCTAATTCGAGAATGAAGTGCCTGAGGAAGTCATCTGTGCCAGACCAAACGTCGAGCACCTTTTTCATTGTTGTCACCTGAATCTCCATAAAACGGCAAGTGCCCTCCATGATGTGTGTCTTGACATCTTGGATTTCCTGGGGACTAATATCATTGCGAGGCCTGGGACCACAGCTGTTGGTTGGGTGGTGGTCGTTGCGGCTCGTGGCAGCATGGTTGAGATTGCGGAGCTGTACATCCATTTTAAGGACTGCCCTGAGTGCATTTACCGTCTGGACAAATTCGCTCGCAGTCTCCGCCGATTCGAAGCGTAACACGTAAGTGCGTGTTGATGTGGGGGAGGTCGAAAACACAATTTGGCAGTGTGACGCGATCCGCTTTGAGGAGTCGCATGTAGCTATGTGGTGGCGGTGTTGATGGTAGCCATCAATGCTCCTGGCCAAGAATCCCGGCCTGGCTGTCCCGTCATTTTCTTGGAGAATGACCAGACTTACCCTGGCTGCGAACTGGTCGTCATCCGTGGTCATGAAATAGCATTCCTCCCGGAAACATGTTCCGGCACGCTTGTGGCGGATAGATCCCTGAGCTGGAAAGGGAGATGACTGCTGTGGATGGACTGGAGCGTGAGTAACTTTTCCATTTGCCGTGTTGCTTCCGGCTCGCAAGTGGGGAGCAGCTCGCCCAGGAGTGTTAGCAGAAGATTGAGCTGCAGAAGGGTCTCGCGACTTGGCTCGAGTCTTAGCAGAATTCCCAGATACCAACTCGTTGGGAGCACGCTCTGACAATGGTCCAAGAGCTGGTGGCGAGGCGACAGCGGGACCCGGACCAACATTATTTGCCATAGGCACTGGGCCGCGAGCTCGTACCCTATCCTCAGTCTGGGTGGGGGAGTGGACCTGTTTGGGAGCATTCGGAACGAATACTCTAGTTGGGACGCCATCACGACGCAGACCACCGAAGGGGGTGGTGACTGCGCTAGTCCTGTCCGCACGAGGTTTGATGGCTGGCATCAAGACAGGGGCTCGCAGCTTATAATCCATCTGGGGCATCTGGCCCGCGTTCTCGGCATATCGACGTGCACCACCCAGGTCATCGAGGCTCTTCGCGACTCGACCCTCTTCATCGTCGATGCCGCTAATGACCAATTCTATACTTTGTCAGCTTCTGCCTTGTTTGGGACACTTCTGGACCACTGGATTTGACTTACTCTGCCATTGGGGGCGTACATTTTGTCCTCTGGTCGAGGGAATGGGTTGTCGATGTCGAGGGCGCTCGTGGGGCATGTCTTTGCGATGATGGGTGTTATCCATGGGAAGTTCATCATTGCGATGGATGCCAAGGTCGTCCTACTCTTTGAGGTTAAAAACGGCCCTGGAGGTAGCCACAGTGCTGGAGGGGGGAAAAGAAGGAAAGAAGAGAACCTCCCCCCCCCAAGAAAAAAAAAAAAAAGACGAGCAAGTGGGACGCGGAGATGGATGATATTTTTCGACTCACCATCATGCCTGCTATGGCGCTCACAGGCCAGTCGTTACTACTGGGGCTTGACATCTCTGATAGTCATGTCTCACTAGTTGTCTGGTGCTATGGCGGTTTTCGTTAGTGCTGAACAACACGGTTCCCGCCATGTTCTCACAGGAGATTTGGAGAAGTCGTAATTCGTGCGAGGGATGTTGACCTAAGTGGAGGGTTTTGCTGCGTACCTAAGGCAGGAACTTCAGCTTACTTACAATCAAGAAATGTAACCCGCGAGAGATACGTAGCCGCCCAGATGGGATAGGGTTGGCTCTGGATAGCGATACAAGATCAGTATCGAAAGTCCTGCTGGTGTTTGTTGAAGAAGCCGGGATGGGAGAAGGAGGGAGAGATTATGGTGTGTTTTTATGTTGTTGAGTGCCCTGAAGCGCCTGCCTACTTTATATAAACCAACGTGGCTGGCGAGTGTGGATGAGAGCTTTGGATCGAGCTGTCCAGATGATTCTTTGGGGGTTGCCTTTCATCTCGGGAAAGAACTATACCCTGCCACTTCTATCCAGTGCTTTCCGTCTTATCACACCAGGGTAGGAATGACCCGTGAAAGTATCTTATACCCTTCCTTGCCTTAGACAAATGTTGCAACAGTACAGTATCTAGGTTCTTTCTTCCTGGCAACGCACACCCCTGGGGAACACACCTAAATGTAACCACGATCCAATAATGCTTGCTCCTTCTTATCACGCTACCTACCTGGTACCTGAAGAGGGTCTCCCAGGGGTAGGTTTATTTTTGAGCAGGTAGGCTAAGGTACCTGACCTTCACAGATAGTCGAAGTGAAGACATGGCTTGCGCAGTTCCTTGGGTGTCCTTATTTATTTCCACCGGCTCTTGGGACCGGGGTAAGTCCAGACAAAAGTCGATTTCTCTTTATTAGTCTATCCATCCGTCATTTCCTGCCTGATTTGGACATTCAAACAACTCCAAGAGACGGGTAGTTCCCAGGTATGGGGCCTACATCGCAGAAAGATGTTTTCATACCTGCCAATGAATGCTTTATTCCGAATCAAGACGACTGGGATTCTCGTCTCCTTGTTGTCGCTTCAGGACTTTGGAGGTGGAGAGTATTGGGGAAGGGATTGTGTGGTGACAACAGCTTTGGTATTGCATCAACTTACAACGTCGACAACCAGCTAGTGGATAGTCAATGCAGCCTCCTCGTCCTATCTACAGACAGCCGTTCAAAGCATTCATGTCCCATTTCCGAAGGCCAATGATGAAACCCAAACGCCATTCCGAGTTAATCCGTCATTAGAACCCGTGTTCGCTTATCGGGCCGCAGCATCCTTGGGAGGCTGGTTCAGGTTATCCTTCGCTTGACGGCCGATGCCGCTCATGTCCATGTCACTGCCCTGAGTCGCAGGTTCGCGCAATCCAGCACTGGATTCAGGACCGGTGCCAATGGGACCCTCGGTACGGCCACTTTGGACGTTGACTTTGGTGGCGTCGGCGGATTGCCAGTCAGAAGCAACAGGAGGTTGCTCAGGGAGCGGAAGGTTGGCCTTGGTCTGCTCGATCTTATCGGCCTTGGATTGAGGAGCGTTGGTCATTTCTGGAAAGGCACATTAATATCACATTCCACAATATTGAAGGATCCCTTCTTTCAACCTACTGAAAGCGGGTTGAAATGACGGCGTGAAGTCGTTATGTTTTGGTGTAAGATCGTTGTAGCGCGATTCTCAGGTGTGAGGTTATGAGTTGATGACAGAACTGAAGAACAGCAAGTCCTGTGTGTAACTGGGCCTGATTTATATCTTGTGTGAGCTGTATTATTCATTGTCAAAGGTAAGGTCGGGAGATCGTAGATCGATGAATACCTCACTGTACTTTGGTAGTCAGGTACATTTGTTCTTTCGCGACGTCATTGACGTCAGTACAGTGCTCGGGCCAAACGCCAAACACAATTGTGGGGGGTACTTATAAACGAGGACAACTTCGGTGGAGTACTGTGAGATCACGGCCGCACCGATGTACGAAGTAAAGGACCGGAGAGGGTCGAGAAGGCCCTACTGATCCTTCAGCTTCGAAAAGATGGTTTCACAAGTCCCCGCAATCTGTTGTGTTCTGAGAATGCACCATGTGCTGAATTGGCCCTTGGCTGTCGTCTTCGTCTCATTACCCACCCAAACAGTACAGGATCTGCCCGTTAACGCCGCCCTTTCATGTCCCGCATGAGATGATACCCGAAGATTGTCAGATACAGAATTGTTCCTGTCGGACACGCCCGTTCCCAGTTAAACAAACCTACGCTACCTACTGGTCTCTTGCTCATCCCATTCTCTTGTCCGTTTCTGCTGATGTCGGTTTATCTCCGTTATCGGGGTTGAGGTAGTCGGAATCCTCTGCCGCCTCGTACTCCTCGAGCAGGTCTTGTACCACTTCCCTCGACTCATCGAACTCGTCCAGATTCTCTGCAAAGGGTGCCGTCTTTTTATAACCCTCCATGAAGGCATTCCGCTTGCGCATGCCGTCGAACTGTTTGACGATCCTTTTGAAGAGCTGAGAATCGTTAGCGATATGGGGGAGCTTTTTCTGGTTTGGTGGATAGACTCGATAGGAAGACGTACTGTTGCAATGCTCGTATGATTTGCAAGCATCAGCCCACTGACGCGGTGTGCCATGGGGATATATGGGCTGCGTTTGGTGAGAGCCACCTGGATGCTGGCGGGCCCCCAAGGAATAAATGTCGCCAGCCTCCTTTCCCGAATTCGGAGAAGTGACTTGTGGACGTCGGTCGGGTCGACTTCGCCCTGAATGACATTTAGGATGGAAATATAGCAGCTCTTTTTTCCGGGTTGTGTCGACACCATTCGGTTCTTGGGTTGGAGCAGCCTCCGCATCACATCTAGCACCGTTGTCTTCCGTACAGTCTTCGCTTGCTCGACCTGGTCGCCCGTGAAAGGGGTATAAGATGTCATGAGGAAGTGGCAGCGCGGGGTAGGGATAAGCGATGCTAGGATGCTGACGAGGTCGTTGTGCATGTAACCCGGGTATCGTAGGGTTGTAGTGCTCGCGGACATGACGGTAGAGACCTGCAAAAAGTCAGCTGGCGATCCCCAGCCACGGACAGTGTACGTCCCCGAAACTTACGAGCTGGTTGGTCTGGGCGAACGATGGTTCCTGAACATGGAGCCTGTCGGCAGCAATCCTCGAGAGGGCACCGTTGTCAAGCACAACCACAGAGTCGGCATTTTGTGTCAGCCGTCGCATAGCTAACACGCTGTTGTAGGGGTGTACAACCACGTCCCCGGCGTTGGTCGTGTCGGGGAAGACGGAGTAGGTTTGAATGATCTTTTTCGGGAATCGGTCGTTGAGCCGTTCGAGGAGGAATGACCCCAAGCCCGAGCCTGTGCCGCCGGCAATGGAATGCAACATCATGAAGCCCTAGCGCAACATAGTCACTCTTGGTCAGTCCGTCTCTCAGCCACCAAAGATACAGACGCGAGGGAGTTGTATTGGCAGACCTCAAGCGAGTCACTACCATCCGCTTCCCGATCGATCATCTCCATGATGTCCTCGCAGACCTGTTCGCCTGTTTGATAGCCATCGCCCCAGTTGTTGGCGGCGCCGGCGCCGTCCTTGCCGACGTAGAAGTTCTCGGGGTTGTATATATTCCTGTACGGACCGGTCTGAATGCCGTTAATGACGCGCGGTTCGAGGTCGATCAAGATGGCTCTTGGTATGTATCGGGTATCGTCGCTCTGGTAGTAGAAGACGTCTTTGCGATCACCGCCCTCTGTCGCGAAATCCTCGAGATTTCCATCCTGGTTGATCCCATGCTCCTGGCACAGCTGTTGCCAGAACTGGCTCCCAACTTGGTGTGCGTCAGTCTCTGTTGTGGCCTCAAGCCTATCGTAACATGACCATTATTCTTGGTCCAAAGGGGTATATAGGATCGGATGGGGTCTTCTGGTTGCGGGGCTACTGACTGCTGTTGCCGCACTGGCCGGCCTGGATCGTGATGATTTCTCTGCATAGTTTCTTAGAGACAATCCTCCCCCACACATTCACGAGTTCGTCACGACGTACCTCGGCATCGCGAGAGCTCGGTGGCACGATAATGCGGCTCTAAGAAAATGATTGCAGGCTGTCCGAGTTGGGACTACGAGGACACAAATGTCACGCCCGGATACTTGGTCCACCGAGCGTCGTCTCGTTCCGAAGTAATCGAATGTACCACAGTATACTCCGTAAGGTACCTTAATTAGAGTAAGGCGAGATTAGGCACCTGGTTTGGCGCGTATATGAGAAATCATAATGCGATGGCTCAGTACTAGTACGCTGGCTTTGTGGTCAGAATTTCAGGAACGAGGAGAGACCCTTTCGGCCCTTTTTCTTCTTCTTCTTCTTTTTCTTCTTCTTTTTTTTCTTCTTCTTTTTTTTCTCTCTTAGGTATCTGTAACACCGCTGATGGACCCGTCCCTCCTCCTTTACAGACGCGACACATGGCCCACGACCGCGTATCAAGCACCTTGTACTTCGTACAGTTATCGTACTCCTAGGCACGTTGACAAATCCTAATTAGGTCCTAGGTACCTACCATTACCAATATCCGTAGGTACGTTACTCCGCATTAATACTTCGTACCTTATTTATGTTCCACGTATGAAGTTATACCTGACTGTCACCGAAGTGGGGTCGCGAATCTCCCTGGGAACCACCAGCTCCACAGGTGTAAGTTACGAGGTCCCGCTGCCCAGGTCCCTGTAGTCTGTATCCATAGCCCGCCTGTAGTCCGCCTTGACAGCAAGCAGGCAGAGAATTGCCAGTTGATCTTCGTGATCCTCTCTCTTAACCCCTAACTGGGCCTCTTTGTTTCGCTCCATTTTTATATCGAGCCCTCCTGCTTACCCTAGTCTTCTTTTTTTCGCCTGGAACCAATTTACTTGGCACGTGGACGGCTTATCGACGACCCCTAACGCCTCGCGGCATCCAACTTGCCGAGACCGACAGCTACGCCATTGCCAGCAACATCAGTTGACAAGTTGGGAAACGAGACGGACGCCTATCCATCTTTTCAAGTTTAGGAAACAAGACGGTCTTTCTCTTCGAGTCTCGACGTGTAATCGGGCAGCACATCAAACCTTTTCTGCAGGCTTGTCCTCCGAATCATGCTTCGTAGCATCTGCCTACAACAACTGTCTTCTTCCCGACCTGCTTGCCATGACCTGTGTCCTCAACGAGCTGCATAGAACGTCCATAGCCGTGGCCTACGTACCGATTTCACACTATGCGCGACCAACCCCGACGAGATGAATCCATCTCGCCAGGGTCAACCGGCGTTAGGCCGGAACCTCCATCCATCTCAAGCCAGTTCGGATCACCGACGAATCCCCCTGATCTGACGAACGAAGTCGATGGCATCCCCGAGCCGAATTCGTACCCGACACCCCCAGAAATCCCCGCCACCGTCGAAGAGACACAGGAAGCACTAGATTACATGAACGGCGGTGCCCCTCACCGCCACCACTCCCCCCTCTCTACAGATGGGACTCGACCTCCGATACACTCTGTGGCATGGCCAGCACCAGGTGACGTCGCCGACAAAAGCGAGCAGGCTACGATGGAGCAAGATAATGGAGATAATGCAGAGATGGCGTCACCTCTCGGACGCCGGAGCGTGCAATTTGCCAGGGCTGATGTCGTGTTGGACCCCCCTCTCAACCACTCTCGAAACCCTTCGTGGGATGATGCGGGAAAGTCTCTTAGCTCTGCTTTCATGTCCAAACTGAAGCAAATCACCGGCACTGGAGGCCTGCAGACGCCCAGGGGATCCGATGCCGCAACTCCCAACGACACCGGAGGCCAATCCCTTTCGAACTCGCCCACTGTTGCCCGGGCCGGGTGGAGGATACCGGGGACATTGCACGAAGAGGGCAGCGATGCGGATGCTGATGCCGAGGAAACCGCTGACGAGGGTGCCGTGGCCGATCCAAACAAGGTCAAGAAGAAGAAGAAGAGAATGATGCGCCGCCCAAGGAGACAACTCGCATCCGCCCCGAGCACTCCCGATATTCGACATACCGACCCTGACGGAGTGATGTCACAGGGTCGTTTTGGCTTTAGGAGGCGACTCAGCATGCCTGATGACACAGAACATCAGCATGGCGTCTCGGAGGGCGAGGGCCGTGACCAGTTAATGGCTCCGTCCTGGATGAGGGGCGCTTCCTGGATGGGTAGTGCGTCCAGGTTCCCGCGCGATGGGTCGAGAGATACCGGAAGCCCCTCAACCAGGGGCCCCGGTCACACTCGGCGGATCACTGTGTTTGGCGGCGGGGGTGTCTCTGACGGCGATGCCATGACCCCCAGGCGTACATTTTTTGGTGGTGATAGGGCGACTACGTTTGGCGCCCACAAATGGAAGCAGGTGAAAAACACCTTGAAGCTGCTCCGGCAGAAGAAGGAAGATCGCTTCGACTTTGCCAAGTCTGCTGAATTGATGGCAGAGCTGAGGGCTGGCGCCCCTGCCGCGCTCATGCTAGCAAGCATGATTCAGCGGGACGAGCACGGTAATAAGCGTATCCCGGTTCTCTTGGAGCAAGTGAGGCTCCGGGTTCGAGATAGTGCACCTGAGCCGGATGACGACAGCGAGAGGCACTGGGTGTTCACCATGGACCTGGAATACGGCAGCGGCCCTAGCCGGATGAAGTGGACCGTCATCCGTACGGTAAGGGACATCTACAACCTTCACGTGCGATACAAATTTGCCATGAGCAACGATAAATATTTCCACGGACGGGCCGATGTTGGCTCTCGGCCCAAACAGCCCAAGTTCCCATGGGCCGCCTTCCCCTACCTTCGTGGAGCGCGGTTCAAGGGCGACAGTGAAGAGGACGACGGGGCTAGTACCCCGGGTGAAGAGGCGCCTGAAAGCCATCGGGGACAACGCGCCGCCGGCGACGAGACAGCAGACGAGACCGACGGCCGGCCACACAACCCCAGAAAAAAATCACGGTTGGAGATGTTTGGGATGCGGAGGAGGTCGACCGGCTTCACCGACCCTGGGGAAGCGTCCGCGCTAGAGAACCGCGCGGAAATGATGCAGTCCCGGCGAAGATACGTCGAGAGGCAGCGCAGGGTGCTTGAGAAATACATGCAAGACATGATTCGGTGGCTCATGTTCAGAGCGGACAGCAACAGGCTTTGCAAATTCTTGGAGCTGTCCGCTCTCGGCGTGCGCCTGGCCGCTGAAGGAAGCTATCACGGCAAAGAGTGTTACCTCCACATTCAGTCGTCAAAGGGCCTCGACTTCCGCCGCGTCTTGACACCCAAGAAGGTCATCGCCAGGCATAGTCGGAAGTGGTTTCTCGTCCGATCCAGCTATATCGTCTGCGTCGAGTCTCCGGAGAACATGCTCGTCTACGATGTCTATCTGGTCGACCCCAAATTTCGGATTGTCTCCAAGAAGAGCACCCTTAAGCAGATCGGCTCGAAAGACAAGAAGAAAGTCGACCTGACCAAGGATCCGGCGCCCGATAAGCACCATACCGTGACTCTTCATACCTCGGAGCGGAAAGTCAAACTCTTCTCCCGAAACCAATCCGTCATGAGACAGTTCGAGGATTCCATTGCCGAGATGTTGAAGCAGACCGCATGGCATTACCCCAATCGTTTCGACAGCTTTGCACCAGTCCGGCAGGGTGTTTTCGCCCAGTGGCTCGTGGACGGCCGAGACTACATGTGGAATGTTTCACGGGCCATCAGTATGGCCAGAGACGTGATCTACATCCACGACTGGTGGTTGAGCCCGGAGCTCTACATGAGGCGGCCTCCAGCCATCAGCCAAAAATGGCGGCTGGATCGGTTGTTGCAGCGAAAGGCTCGGGAAGGGGTCAAGGTGTTCATCATCGTCTACCGCAACGTCGAAGCCGCCATCCCCATCGATTCCGAATACACGAAGCACTCGCTGTTGAACCTACACCCCAATATCTTCGTTCAGAGGTCTCCCAATCAATTCAAGAAGAACCAGTTCTTCTTCGCACACCACGAGAAGCTTTGTGTCATTGACCATGATATTGCGTTCGTCGGTGGGATTGATCTCTGCTTCGGCCGTTGGGATTGTCCGCAGCACCCTTGCATCGACGACAAGCCGACTGGCTTCGAGCAAAGTGAACATCCCAAGGACGCACAGCACTGCCAGCTGTTCCCCGGCAAGGACTACTCCAACCCTCGAGTACAGGACTTCTTCAAACTCAGCGAGCCTTACGAGGAGATGTACGACAGGTCGAAAGTACCCAGGATGCCCTGGCATGACATCGGAATGCAAGTGGTTGGCCAGCCGGCCAGAGACCTGACCCGGCATTTCGTCCAGCGGTGGAACTACATTCGGAGAGGCCGCACGACCACACGTCCACTTCCGTTCCTGCTGCCGCCACCCGAGGTGAAGTCGGGCGAAATGGAGAGCCTGGGACTGAATGGTACATGTGAAGTCCAGATCTTGCGGTCGGCCGGCAATTGGTCGCTGGGCCTCGACGAGCCGGAATACAGTATTCAGAACGCCTACATCAAGTTGATCGAGGACTCGGAGCACCTCGTCTACATGGAGAATCAGTTCTTCATTACCAGCACCGAGGTCATGAATACCCAGATCGTCAACCGCATCGGCGACGCCCTTGTCCAACGCATTATCCGCGCCCACGAAAAGGATGAGGACTGGAAAGCCTACATCCTCATCCCCCTGATGCCCGGGTTTCAGAACAGCGTCGACGAGCAAGAGGGCACAAGCGTTCGGCTGATCCTTCAGTGTCAGTATTACAGCATCTGCCGCGGCGAGAACTCCATATTTGGTCGCCTTCGAGCCATGGGTATCGAGCCGGAGGACTACATCCAGTTCTACAGCTTGCGCCAGTGGGGTAAGATGAGCAATGGGAGTTTGGTGACGGAACAGCTTTACATCCACGCAAAGTGCATCATCGTGGACGACCGCGTGGCCCTCATCGGTTCTGCCAACATCAACGAACGGTCAATGCGGGGCGACCGAGACTCCGAGCTGGCGGCTGTTGTTCGAGACACCGACATGATCTGGTCGACCATGGCTGGCAAACCGTACCGTGTGGGCCGATTTGCACATACCCTGCGTCTACGGCTTATGCGCGAGCACCTCGGCCTGGATGTGGACGAGATTTTGGAAGAGGAGAGGCAAGCCGAGCTTGACAGGGAGGCCGAATACCAAGCCGAGATGGAAGAGATCTACCGAGACGGCCATGCCGAACGCGGCAGTCCCTCTGCAGCTGGTCCCAGCGACTTGGAGCCGTCGGCGACAACGCCCATTCAACGCCGACCATTATCACGAACCCGCAGCGTTAACTACGACGCGGAGGCGCCGCTGGCAGAGGTTGACGGCTCCGATGGAGAGCGAAAAGAAGCAGACCCTCGTGTGACCAATAACTCCAAGCATGCCCTGGAGGTTGAGGGGTACGGCCCAGACCATTGGAAAGCAGCTCAGAAAGCAGGACTCGACGTGGGACGCGACTCGATCATCATCAACAACCGAGAGGTCCTCGTGCACGACATCCATGCAGAGGGTAAGGGGACGCTCGAGTCTCCGAAGAGACCGCGTGAGCGGCGGGCCTCCCCGGTGGCCCGTACCGGAGATGAAGATCACGAGTCTGTTCACGACAAACTGCCACCCATGCCACCCCTCGATCGACGCACCACAGATCAGCTTGGGCTTCCTCGTCTCAGTCAACTCCCCAAGCTGCCCAATGCCGACGATACAGATATCGGAGGACCGCCTGTACAGTTTGATGCCACCGGAAGGCCCATTAACGACTTGCCGCACCCTCGAGTGGCGGACATTAGGCCAGCTCACATTGATAAGAACTGCATGCGTGATCCTGTAAACAGCTCCTTCATGGATGAAATTTGGAACCGGGTTGCTGAAAACAACACCAAGATCATGCGTCGGGTGTTCCGCTGCATGCCGGATTCGGAGGTACTCACCTGGACCGACTACCGCGACTATGACGCCTATTCTGCTCGCTTCAGGGCGAGCATGGAGGGGAAGAAATTCGACGAACCGAATGTCGCACCTCACGCGGACGGGCCCCCGTCCTCTGCCGGAGGTGGCGGGGCTGGTATGAGTATCGCAGGGCCTGGCGCTATGACCAAGACGGTGACTGAGAAGGCAGGAGAGAAGACACACGCCGCCAAAGTGTTGGAGCACCTACATGTTCCCAAGACAGCAGCTCAGACGGCGGGACGCGAGTCGGAGATGGATGAGAAGGCGGCCCTGGGCCATACCAGCAGCCACGAGAACGAGAAGACGCGATGTGTCTCGAGTCTCAGCATTGATCCGGAAAAGGCAGCCGGACAGCCGGACCCGATGGAGGCACCGTCCCCGGCGCTTCCGGCGGGCGAAGTCCCCTTCCCGTCGCTCGAAGGTGCGGAACTGTCCGCTTCAGGAACCGTTGGTTCGTCCCCCGAGAAGGCCAAGGACCGGCACGCTACGTTCTCGCCCACGGAACAGGAGCCCCGTACGAGAGACAGGAGCACGTCGGGTCAACAGGCGCAGGCGTACGGGTCGATAAGACGGCGGCGACGGGCCACTACCAAAGGCAGTCGGCGCGGTGGCCCTCCCGAGGACATTTTGCCGGCTGAGGAGGCGGAGGAACTTCTCAGCATGGTCCAGGGGAACTTGGTAAAGTTCCCTTACGACTGGCTGTTGACGGAGGAGCAGAACGGGAACTGGGGCTTCCAGGTGGATGGTGTCGCCCCGTTGCAAATATAGTAAGTCTTAGATGCCTCCCCTCGACTCCTTCGATACTAACGACCTGCTAGCAACTAATTAAACCCGAGTGGTTTCCTCTTTACTTCGCTGGTTCTAGTGCATTGGACTTTTGGGTTGGCACGGCGCACTCCATACATCTGGTTAGGTTGGCTGGAAGTCGGCGGTGCTGAAGGGGTCATCCCTATGGCTACTCCTTTGCGATCGTTTCCTAGATGTCGTCTTCCCAATTAGGTTTTGGTTGCAGGTCTATGGCGCGCATCCTTTCCTATGTATACACCGCCCTGCTAAAGTTCGTTCCCTCTGTTGTACAATACATCTATAATACAGCTTTACTTTTACACCTTTTCACTCACCCAGATGGCGCCTCGACATCCAGCACGGATGACACCTGTCAGCAACCAATGGGGCTCGGCTTTCTGTGCGTCGTGTTCCACGGCATGATCGAGATGCTCCAGCTCCTCGTCCCGTATCCTCCTCAGCGTGCTAATCAGGTCGCGAAGCTCGGGGCCGACCTCATAGCCGTCTGCCTCCCACTCGGCGACCATCTCGAGCAAGGTGCGAATCTGCTCGTTGTAGTGGTCGCCGATCTCGGTCTCTACGGCCTCGGTGCAGGCCATGGCGGCTTCGCGGCCCATGAGCGCCGTGCCCCAGCCCAATCCGGTGGCGAGGACCTGCCATAGCGGGTACAGGGCGGTCGGTCGTACGCGGTGCTTCGCGATGAGGGCGTTGAAGGTGTCGAGGTGTCCGGCTTCCTGGTCGTACATGTGCTTCATGAGGGGGCGTAGGTGAGGGTGGCGCGCTACGACGACAGGTGTCTGGGCCGTGTAGATGAGGGTCGCGGCGAGCTCGCCGGCTTGGTTCACTCGGAGCTGCGGCGCCAGTCATAGTCAGGAACGAGGACCGGGCCGGAAAGGTCTCCTAAAGGAAGGGAGGCAGAGGGGGAAGGGTCAGATGGGTGCATACAGCTGAGGATAGGAAGTCTCGTTGCTCCTTCGTCAGGGGCTTCCGCTTTCCGGGAGGCGGGTGCTGGGTGCTTCTTGTCTCTGTGGTGGCGGCATTGGTCTTCGAACTAGTTGACAGTTGTCGTCGAGAAGAAGTTGGAAGCATCCGAGATGTGAGGTCGCGGACGGGAAGTCTGGGGACCATATTGTGCGACCGAAGGAGGCACCTTGCGGAAGACATTTCTCTGTATCTGCACGCAATAATGAGGTTTAGACTGCAGAATGGAGAACGGAGACGGTAAGGCGTGCTCGTAACGAACGGCTGAATTTGTTGAAGTTGCGCCAGAGTCGAGTTTCAGAGCATCTCGTCTTCACCAAACGCGGTGCATCAAAAGAAGGACGGACATCGAGCGACTAATCAATTATCTTAGGTAATGCGCCACACACTCGAGAAGCGAAGGTACCGAGCCAGACTGGACGGACGGTTCATTGGAATCAAAGTCGGAGAAAACGTCATCCGACACTCCGGGTACCTCAGTACGTACCTCTTGCGCATCTGGGGATAAGATGACATAATACAGTCCAATCAGGAAGGCGACGCTCCATGACCTCCCTACCCCGTACTCCCTACGGCGGCATAACGCATCGCAAAAAAGGTTGGAAGGAGCTGCTCCTTTTGCTCCTGCTACTTCTCAACTTCTAATTCTCTCCTTTCCTTTGACCCGCCATTATCATTCCCTCTTCCCCCCCTTAGGAAACGTGATTTCTATTCCGCTTTTATACTTTGACTAAATAACCATTTCCCCTGATATTTCTAATATCCAGTTGTCTGCGGACGAGCTGAAACTAACCTAAATCCACACTCTGTTCTCTCCTCCATCTACGCGCGGCCGTGTTGGAGCGAAACCTTTTTCACGGTTGGCCATCGCGCACCGTAAGAGGTAAAAAATCAACTATAATCAGGCCAAACCATCTTCACGACCAATAACCATGGCATCGAGTAACATTGATGATGAGCTTTTGGCTCTGGCGGGTGGAAATGATTCCTCAGATGAGGACGAAGTCGCGTCAGAGGATGGAAGTAGGGGCATGAGCACCTCCCCACCACCGGAGAAGAAGTCAGCTTCAAGGAAGACAAGCGCAAAAAAGTCAAAAAGGCCGACCGATAATGACTTGGAGGAAGAGGAAGGTGAGGCGTAAGTGGACGGAACACCCCTGCGCTTTGCTTCTAACCTGCCTTAACAATCACGTTGCTTCCATCTTCACACCCAATTTCTTTCAGCTTCACCATTTGCCCTTGGGCCGTGCAATTGCTTTGTGCTCCTTCCTTCCAGTCACTTTCCCTCTCGACCCTAGCCTCGTCAGTTGGCTACCGCCCACTATTGTCCCTCTCCCACATCAAAACATCACCCATTATTTGCCTATTGTTCTTCCATCGCCTCTATTGACAGAATGGACAGGTTCTCAATGCCTGGTAGCCCGAATTCTATCGGATCTGCGGCTATGGACGAATCCGATTCCGAGGCGGAAGAGCAAGGCGCTTCGACCGAACCGGACGAAACAGAAAAATACCCCGTCGATGGCATGTTCGTGAGCATTGAGGAAAAAGAACACGTCATGAGCCTCAGGGAAGTCGAGCGCGAATCTCTCCTCGCCGACCGGTCCGCCGAAATCGAACGCCAACGCCAGAACCGCATGTTGCGCCAACTCGTGACCAAGCAGGAGAACGAAGAGAAGAAGATGAAGCTTAAGAAGCGCACTGCCGACGTCGCTGAGCTCGATGACGACTACCGCAAGTCATCTCGCTCTCGCACCGACACCAAGACGGGCGCCGCCATCGACAGTCTCAGGCGCGCCCGCGCGGAGAAGAACGACCGCGCGCTGGCTCGTGAGGAGAGGAGTCGCCAGGATCGGCGTTCTCCCCGTGCAGACCGCCGGAGCTCCAGCCGCAGTGTCGCGAGCCGTGATTCGTTCGATCGTCGGCGAGGCTCCGCGTCCCCTGGGAGGCCGTCTCCGCCACGCGAGCTGCCGCCTCCAGGCATCCGCGATTTCGAGCGTATTCGCGTTGGCAGGAGCCGCTTCGCCCAGTACTGTTTCAACCCCGGCTTCGACGAAGCCATCACCGGGTGTTATGTTCGGGTTAGTCTTGGGCCTGATCCCAAGACTGGGATTGACGATTACCGGATGGCCAAGATCAAAGGTATGTTCCATTTTTTTCCCCGTCTCCCTTTTTTTTTAAAAAAAAATCCTCTTTTCCCCCCTACTTGTCACTACCTCCGACCCACCGATGCTGATACATCCTCTCCAGGCCTCAGTTCAGGCAGGCCATACGCGATAAATGGCCCCGGAGGTTCCTTCGTCACGGATCAGTACGTTCTCGCTGCCCATGGCAAGGCCGAGAAGCCATTTGCGTTCATCTTCTGCTCTGACAAAGCATTCACTGAGGTGAGAAGGCCGCAATTCCCTCTATCCCGGATCCCGGGGGATGATCGAGGGCCGTGCCTAACACTTTTTCACAGCGCGAATTCAACCGCTACGTGGCGACCTTCAAAGTTGAGGGCCTGACGTTGCCCAAGACGGAACAACTCATCCGGAAGATTGACGACATCAACAGATTCGTCGAGCGAAGTCTTACTAGTGCCGAGATCGACGAAAAGGTGGAGCGCAAGAAGGCACTACGGGCTAGATTCGACCCCGAACGGCGTGAACGCATCCGGCGCGAGATAGAAGAGGCGTATGCTCTAGGCAAGACCGAACGAGCAAAGGCTCTCGAGGAGGATCTCGAGGAGCTTCTCACCAACCGTCTCGCCTTCCGCACTACTCTCAGCCCGCCTAGGACGGTCAGCGGTGGCGGGGCCCAGCAAGACCGCCTGGCCGACATCAACCGCGAGCGCCGCCGCCAGAACGCCGCTAATGTTGCGAGGGCGCAGCTCAAGGAGAAGGCCGAGGCGCGCAGGCGCGAGGCGGCCCTGGAGCGGGGCGAACTGATGGAGACGGACTTGTCACGGCGCATTCGTACCAAGGCCACGTTTGTGCATGAGAACCGCGAGAAGGAGGCCAGCGAGAGCCAGCAGGCTTCGCGGTCAGAGACGCCGGCTAAGAAGGGCACGCCCAACTCCTCCTCGACGCCGAAAAAGGAAGCCGACGTCTTGCCTCACCTGGCCAAAGCGCTCAAGAAGGCCCGCATGAGTGAACAGAAGAAGGGCATTTCGTCCATCCACCGGCCCATCTGCGACGACGATATAATCGGCCAGATTGACCTCGAGCTCGACGTCGAAATTGAGTAAAATAAGAGAAGGAAGAAAAATGAAGAAAGATAGACGGGCCAGGTGTAACAGGGGATAATGGGGAGCATCACAGAGCCATTGGGACAAGAAGCACGGGGACTCGGTAGCCTGTTCTGAGCGAAAACATTGCCGCGATTTTGTGGCTGTTGACATTGTGATGACGCTGGCGGGGTCATGCATACATTAAGACGGTATCGTGAGACTTTGAGATCGCCAATCATTTAGTCGTGACTGCCACACTTTGTCCATCTAGGTACAAATCTGACCTTCTCCATGTTAGGTACCTTACCTTAGTTAGCAGGGATTGGGCCGCCTGATCGAACAGTCCTAGCAGTACCTGTGTCCCTGGGTAAGGTGCCTACCTACCTTATACTTCGTATTCTGCGGTTTTCTGCCTGAGTGAGATGTAATTCTAGATAAGAACAACTTGTCTGCACGGCACGGCCGACCGGGCAAGGGAAAGTTCCGCTGATCGGACATAGCGGCTTTAAGCGTGCACCGCTGCCGAATCAAAACGGCGGACGAATGTACTTGTACTGATTTCGGGGGTCCCGCCCGCTTCGGAGGTCCGTTAAAAGCCCCTCCTCCCCACCACCTAACCCAGTACATGTGACAAGCAACGGCACCAGCACCGAGGGTCAGGACGGAATATTACAGACGTACATACGTCAGGTGTCCGTCCGTGTGGCTACTGCATGTCAGTGTGAGTGTGATCAATTCCCCTGAGCCTCTCCCCCACTCCTTTCACTTCAATTCCTCCTTCGGTTGTCCCATTCGCCTTCCTACCGTAGGTCTAGAGCTTGTTTTTGATCTGATATTGTCATCATGATTGCTCAGATATTCCCTCATTCTCTCAACTCGCTCCTTTTTGGCGAGGTTCTCGTTCTCTCGTCACCCTCAGTCGCGCCCAGAGCGCGAGGTTCCTCGCATTTTCCCTCCCACCATGACGGTCTCCGACACGGATCCGCTTCTGTTGAAGAGGCCTCACCCTCCCATACAGCCAGGCAAAGCTCCCCTCTCGCCCCTTTTTGACTCGTATTTTTTTCTTCGGTCGTATCTATTCGCCATGACGTTCTGAGCCACTTGCAAGAGTGCAAGCTGCAAAGACCTTCACCGGCTAATCCCCATAACAGCACCATGGACGAAAGCCCACCTTTCCCCCACCCCAGATGATCCGAAGCGTCGTCTCCCGCAGGCCATTGCCCACCGCGGCTTCAAGGCCTTGTACCCGGAGAATACCATGGCCGCTTTCACCGCCGCCGTTGCCGCCGGGACCCACGCCATCGAGACCGACCTTCACCTCTCCTCAGACGGCGTCGTGGTCATCTCACACGACCCGAGCCTGAAACGCTGCTACGGCGTCGACAAGCTCGTCCGCGACTGTTCCTGGCCTATCTCTCTACCCTCCGCACCCTCCGCAAGCCGCACGAGCCCATCCCCCGATTCGTCCATCTCCTCAACTTCCTGGCCCGACCCGAATATGCCCACGTTTGGCTTCTTCTGGACCTGAAGTTGACCAACACCGCCGACGAACTCTTTGCGGCCATGTCCCGCGATCTTGAGGCCGTGTCTCCGCCAAAGGACATGCCCTGGGACAAGCGCGTCGTCATGGGGTGCTGGAACGTATGTTACCTCTTGGGGGGGGTTTTTTTTTCTCTTTCTTCAGCAGTACCTGAAATTTTCCCCGTCTACTCTCCTTAAATGAAATACTAATAAATAGAATCGAATGCGTCCCAATAAATAGCAACCCTTCCTCAACGCTTCGCTCTCAGTCCTACCCACTTACTCAACAGCACACATCTCCTTCTCGCCCCTGGACTCATCCCGCTTTCTGCGCGACCCAGCCTACGCCGGTCTCTCCTTCGCCCTCCTCCAGCCCACCCTCGTCGGGCCCTGGGCCAGCCGCTTCCTCCGCGCCGTCCGCGCCGCCCCGGACGCCCACAGCCGCCAGTTCTTCGTCTGGACCGTCAACGAAGTCGAGTGGATGGACTGGGCCATCCGCACGGGTGTTGACGGCGTCATCACTGACGACCCGGCGACCTTCCTGCAAGTCCGGAGCCGGTACGAAGTCGACGGTCGAGCGAACGCGACACGGCGGCAACAGGTGACAGACGATAGCCCAGAATCCTTCCTTGCTGTCGTCCCTCCACCGACGAGCTGGGGGCGCTGGGCGAGGTTGTATCTTCGGGTTGTCACCGTCCAGTTGCTGTTCACCGTCTTGGCGCCGTTCTTTCTGCGGTCGAAGCGTTTCAAGTTCACCAAGATGGGGAATTGATTCTGTGTTTTCCGCGCCACCCTGTCGCAAAACGAAGTATAATGGCATGGTCTGAATGTTTGTTTGCATTCTCTTTCTCCTTTTTATGCGGTTTTCTTGTCTCTGTCGCACCAGCTTAAGAGACACAGCTATTTTAGCTGGCACCCCTATTCACATAGAAAAGACACAAGGGGTTCAATAATGACCACAGGCGTTGAACATACTCGGGCAAAGCCAAGCCTATCGCATTACAGGCATGAGAGACCCTGACAAAATGGGTTGAAATCAGTTTCCATCACACGAGACATATCTGGAAGATAAGACCCAATTCGATATGTACAAGCAACAGGCAAGTAAATGTATCAAGGACGAAATAGAATCATATAGGTGAACCCTCAAAATAAAGGAGGAATACGTGCCAGGAACTCCCGGTACACGACAACTCACTCCTCCCACTCCATATACAGATAGAACCTGACCTGACCCATTGGCCTTGAGCTTCCGTGCGTGAAAATGCAAAGAAATACTTCGAAAAGCCCCCAAGCTCCGTCATCGCCCAGAGGTAGCTTTCCTGCCGACCTACCGTCCATTCCCTGTCCTCTCGTGTGATACACGAGACCGATCGTGAGATTCCAAAATTTGTAAAGGTGTCAAGATAGAATTGCATGTATCGAACGATTGCCGGTAACAAAAGAAAAAAAAAATTAGATAAGCCGCCGGCCTGCTCCGTCACATTGTGTAAGAATTATCCGGGGGGTTCAGTATGAATCCGTCGTTGTTGTTACATGACGCGAGCAACGCATTGCGATACTCCAAGGTGCTGACGCCAGTGTTGTTGTTACTTTCGCTGGGAACCGAGAGGTCGTCGCCCGAGCTGAGACTCTCCTCGCTCAGTGTGCTCGGCGGGGCAGCGGCGCCGGGGTTGCAGTCGCCAATGCTAAAGTGCGTCAGGTCCCAGGAATCGGGCGACCATCCGTTCAAGTTGGTTGAAGGCGGTGTCCCTTCATTCAATGCCAACGGGGGCCCGCCGTAGATAGCATCGTATACGTTGTTGAAGCCGCCGTCCATAGAACCGAGCAGAGCCTCCCATTCCGAAGGCGATACGCCGGCTGCTTTTTGTGGCTGTTGTGGAGACGAATAACTCTGCGCGAGAGGATGGCGAGTCTGCGACATGATATGCTGTTGCCGAAGGCGAGCCTGCCGATCCGAGGACGGCGCTGACCTGCCCGACGGTTTAGAGAGCGACAGATAATCCAAATTCTGTCTCGGTGTTGGAGGCGTCCCATGGTGTCGGTCAGTCGGTGCCTGTGATAACGAGTGGCGCTGGTCGTGTCTTGCCGCCGTAACATCTCGAGGCTGCAAGTCATCGAACGATGGCCGAGACCGGGAACGGTGGAGGTCGGGGCGCTGCTGCGTACTAGGCATGGTCATACGGCGCAACCGTTCCTGATGGCGAAGGAGGTCGGATTCACTAGAGGATGCGCCCTGAAGCCGACGAAGAGCATCTTGAGCAGGAGGGGAGTTCTGGTTGGAGGGAGACACTGGCGGTGAGGCACGCTGCAAGGTGGGAAGCTCGTTGGCGCCTGGCGAGTCTCGGGTTGTTGGAGGAGCCGCCAAGGAGGAGGGTTCGTCCAGATGAATCAGCTTGCCGGAAACTAGTGCGAAGTCAATGCACCCTGGCGCCTTTGCTGTCATAACGGTCTTCACAACGCCGTTGACCAGGCGTTCGGCGTCCTTCATCATCTTGCTGTCTTTCTTCAGACCCACGATCTGATACAGAAGCGACATGCCACACAGCATAAGAGTATCTGCCTTGTTGAGACAGAAGGAGAACGACATGCCACGCTCCTCGAGCAGCTGGACGATCTGGATGATGTGCTTGCTTGAGTCGCTGACGGACATAAGCGCCGGGGCCGCCTTCTGCCCCAGGGACGACCCAACGGCAGGGCGGTAAATGAGGATCCTAGTGAAATAGTAGGCGAGGGCCAGAAGAGGCGACCTGCTTCCCGTCACGTCCGTCGAAGGCTTATCTTGCACGAAATTAAGCTTCAGGTGGGCCGGGAGGGATTCCAGCCAGCCGTTGAGCTCAGCCTCCAAGGCGGACATCTGCTGGAGGGACAGCTCGTGAGAGGTTGCGGCAGGGTAGTTCTTCTCTAGAACCTTGGCGAGGATTCGGGAGAAGCGGAAGAGGGCAAGAGCGCTGGAGAGTTTGGTGTATTCTCCTGGGAGAGTCGGCTGAAACCCCTTCTCCGTCACATACTCATCGTCGGTGTCGGAAGGATACTCGGCGTGGATATCGTCCTCCTTGAGAAGCTTGGGAAGGCCAAGCACAGATCCAGAGAAACTGAGTATGTCAGCACAACAACTTCGGCAAGCCTAAAAGAAACACATTCTACTCACCAGTCAAGAGTGTACAAGGTCCAAAAGACCTTCTTACGGGTTTCGATGGTCAGGGCACCAAATGAGAAGCGTTTCTGGCTTTGGTGGAGACCCAGGCGATGAGATAGGCCGACGGCGACGCCCTTGTAATGCTGCAAGCGCTTGTAGTCCGCTCTCGCGGTGCAGTACATGAGCGCTAGGACTAGACACTGTAGAGTTGCCATGGTGTTCTCCATCAGGATGGCGTCGATGGCGCGCTGCCATCGACGTTCACAAGAGGCGAGCTGCTCCACGTCGGGCGAGCTGCTGGAGAGAGTGGCGATGGCAAAGACGAGGTAGATCTGCGCAACCTTGTGATTGCTCTTGATCTTCTCAGGATCCGAGACGAAATCCTCGTAGATGCGGAGGAAGGTAGGTTTATGGAGAACAGGAAATAGCGGAGCCCACTCCTGGAAGTAGACGTTGACACAGCGATCTGAGAAGAGCCGCGGTGGCACCCTCATGGTGTCTCTCACAGCATCTTGTGTCAGGGGTGGACAGCCCTGGATGTGCAGGAACGCCTCGGCGTTGAAATCGGAGCAGGTTTTCCCGCTTTCTTGCAATCTCCGCTTGAATGCCTCTGGGGAAAAGGGGACGGATGAGCTGAATTGAATCCACCGGTGGGGTGTTGGGGTGTTGGGGGGTGGGGCGGGGGTCAAAAAAACAACTTACCAATAAAGCTGCGGCCACTCGAAGGGCCCATGAAATATGAATCGGAATTTTCAACACCAAGAAGAAGCGGTGATGCTTGTACTTTGAAGGTATCCTCTTTAGTAGGAGGTAGGGACTCCTTGCGTGGCTCCGAAGTCGGAGAGCTACCGGGTGAGCCCATGGAGGGGGCAGAGCGGCGGCCATTTCCGTGCATCTTGGACAGCATATCAATCTTCTCGTCCTTCTCATCCAGCAGATCCTTCAACTCGTGGACTTCGGATTCAAGCTGGCGGACACGCTCCTCTAACGACTCGGTGTACCCACGGGGGAAAGCACGACGGCTAAGTTTGTCGCTGGTTCGGCACTCGAAGCCGACGTTGGCACATTGTGAACAGGTCGGCCTGATCCCGTCGCAGCGGATCTTTTTACTTCGGCAGCGGTCACAGGCTTGTGCTATGCGGCTCTGTGAGCTGCTGCCGACCTTTATGACTTTCATAGGTAATATACCCGGCATCGTGGCGGTCTCCTTTCCCAAAATCACCGGGGGGGAAGATTCCGCAAAACCACCAAGAGTCCGTTAGAAATGTCGAATCGATAATTCGGTATGTACGGGTGTTCCCAATGTATCCAAAACGGGCGCGTCGAAGAATGGTGCCTGCCAAGGGCGGCGATTCTGTGGCAAATGATGAAGCCGGAATCAATCCCAGTTCTTAGTTGTATCGTCCTGGTTTTTGTTTCTCGACAACTACTCGGTATCCATGTACGCCCTGATTCGTGGTCGTTCGTGTCGAGTCTAGGCGAGGTCTGGCAGGCTGCTTCCAAAAGGCGGATTTCCGATGCGTAACAAGAGACGAATAAAAAGATAATAAAGTGCAGAACCGAACCTAAAATAAAAAGAGAGAAAGAAGGAACCAAAAGCAGCAAGGGGTGGAGTGGAGAGTGTCTATCAAATGTCGACTGGAGCCGTTGATATGTAAGGTATATACGGCGTAGGAAGTATGTGTTGAGGGAAAAAAGGAGGGGAGACGAAGAGAATGGATGGAAGAGTGAAGGAACGAACGGTGGGCGTGGTGGAGTAGAAGAACTTCCGGATTGGTCACTGGGAAGGGACGTGCATTACCGGTCCCTTCAGCAATCTCATCACATCCTGCAGCCCTTGTACCGTTTCTGTCAACGGGTGCAGGGGTTGAAATCTGGGGGGCACCACTAGGTATAACGTACCTTTAGGTACCTTAACTACCTATTAGAGGACCGGAGAACACGAATGGGGGGTTTGCCGGGATAACGTTTATCATTTTCCAGCACTGTGATTGGCCATTTCTTGTTTTTCGTCTCTCCACTCCCCTTCCCCGCCGTTTTCTGTAAGGTTCTTTATCTGGCTTTTGTCGGAACTACTTCGTAATACAAGACACTTGAACGCACTTCCGAGTACACGGACGGAGTAATTAGAAGTACGGAGTACATTGTACCTCAATTAAAGCCCGTATCTGCCGGTTGAGTTAAGCACTTCTTCTGAATCCAGGTAGGTATTTAGTTTCACAGTTTATAATATATTACCCAGGGTAGGTATATCAGTCCAACCTGAACATGCTCCATCTCTGCAAGTATGTAATACCTACTACGTGTACCGATGCACCATCGGTTATGCCCGTCTCTGTTTTAGCTCGTGGCCAGAGTCGGAGCCTTTCGCGTGACTACCTACGTATGGCGTAATGAGATTATGACCTTTGAACGACACGCTTCCCCTTATCGTCTCTTCGGTCTGGTTCGATGAGATGAGGGTGTGGCCACTGTACCAAGCAGTCGGCCTGACGCTGACTCGAATGTCTCCACCAGCCTTGAGAATTTTCATTCTTAATCCCATTCTTCCTCTTTCCCCAGGTTTTCCCCCAGCTCTTGGCCACGAAACTGAGGTGGCAATATTTGAGGATTGGATCTCATCAAAGTTGTGCATAGGGACTACACGTAGAACGGACCAATACGGAGTGCCGTCACCGAGGAAATGGTAGACGTGGTTCCAGAATAGGCGCGCCATCTTGCCCCAACTCGAAGGGGGGGGCCCAATGTTGGCCGACGCAGTTACCTACGACCTTGCCTGCAAGACCTCTCACGGCCAAGACGACACATTCCCTGCAAAGTTCAGAGGCGCGGTGTCGACGATCCTACACTGTTTCTCGTCACCCTCACCATGCCCGCATCAATTGAGTAAGGGAAATTAGGTGTGACACAAGCATGGCACTGCACTCTGGGCAACCCGGATGATCCCCACGCATCATCTTCCCGTCATTCCAATACCAGGAGTAATTAGCGATCTCGATTCAGAGGCCCGGGATACCCAAGACAAAACGTACGCGATGCCTCGATCTCTTCCCTAAAAGCTGCCCAGATCCTGCCATCACGAAGAGACAGAGGAAACCGGATGACACGAGCGTCTGCCGCTCTGGAGTACTGATTATACCCTGTTTGGCGTACTTTAGTAATCACTTTGTACAACATCGCGATTCTGACGCGACTGCATTCCGATTTCACTTCTTCTCCGTCGCCTCCATCACCCCCTCAACTGCCGTTCGTACGTTCGTGCCAGGGTGACGCTACTTCAAGATGCACGTTAATCATCATCTTCCCTACTTCGTATGTGTTAATGAACGACCAGAAACGAAAGAAAAAAAACAGGCGGGGGTTACGGAGTGCGCTCCGTAGTGCGTGGGCATGCCCTTGGCAGGAATAAACAGCCTGTGCCATGATTCCCCGCGAAATCTTCCCTAAAAAGAGGGAGAGGCAGGGGTTTGGCATAAACAGACTTGGCAACGATCTGACTTTGCGGGGACATATCCACCTCGCATTCATTTGCGTCATCGGTCTCGAAAAGCGGACCTGTGTCACATATGTGTATGAGAGCTCAACAACGAACAAGACACATGGCCTTGTTGCGCCGGATGAAGTCGTTCGTACACGGCTGTCGTCTGATGCTCGTGGAGGCAGTAGCACCTACCTAGCTAGCACTGGGACGTCGACAGCGCCTCAAGCTAACACTTGCTTCTTGGCAGCAATCCCCTGTCTCCAAGCCCTCGCTATCTGTACCTCCAATCTTCCAACGGCTTATTATTATGGAGTAATCCTCCTCATCAAAACGTGACCAAGATGGGACGTGGCGTTGGGATTTTCCACACACATTCTGTCTTTGTTGACTTTTATTTATTTCCTTGTTCTTATTATCGTGGTTTTCCGTTTTGGTTTAACCAGCCGAAGAACAACTTCATTTTATCTTCAGTAGGAGCTATTCGTACGTTGTAAGAAGAAGTTGACCCTTTAACCAGCAAGGAAGTTATAGAGGTGAGAAGAACCGCTTGCCGGAACGGCCAATTTGCCCGGTCGCGGGTCATCTTCCCCCAAGCTTTGTCCTGGTCTAAAAGCCACATGGCTCCCCATAACTCTCAACTGAAATCATCACTCTGATTGGACGCAGTATCTCCCGCTTGTTCGCTTTGGGAAACTTCCATCGATCCGAGATATGCCACCACCGTCTTAGCCGCGAGGAGCTGGGATTTCTGCCGGGTTGAGCGGTCAACCCCGCAAATCGTCAGCCCAGTCGTGGTAGTTGTTTCTTTAAATGAACGAGCCGCAGGGTAGTACGGTGTAATCAGAAGCCTCCCCAGACAAATGGCATGGAAGGTCAGAAGACATAAACACTAACACCTGTAATCAAAGCATTGCAGGAGGAGGGAATGTAGAAATGGGACGACAGGACGCACCTGTTTTTCCAATGTTCGGACCGCTGCCTCCAGAACGCTAGCCTCTTGCCCTCTTAAAGCATTTGCTGCCTCGAGGCATTCAGCGCGAATACCTTCCCTCTCCACCCGCGAAGCCTCAGTCAGGTTCTCATCGTCCGGAGGGAAGAAGTCAGTTTGCACTCGCTCTAACTGGGCAGATACCCGCTCCTCCAATACAGTAACGACACGGAGTTTAAAGACATCGTAGAGCGGGTGACTGCTGGCGAGCTCCTCCAGGGCCTCGATCCGGCCAGTCACGTCTTCGTCCTGCCAGAGGACCCTTAACTCCCGATTTCCCCCGGTGTCCTGTAGGATTCGAAATGCCAGGCCATCTTCCTCGTTGAGGCAAAGTAGCCAAGCGAAAGGGCTCTCCCAGGTCACCTCGCTGTGGCTGCCGGTCGTCCGGCCAAGCTGCACCGTACGCGGCCCGTCGAAGACGTGTACTTTGGCCATCCCCAGGGGGTCGTCTTCCAACGGCATCAGCGGTAGCGTGACATAGTTCGTTGATCGTGTGGGGTCGAAAAATCCATAGCTGAACAGCATCTCTGCCCCGGCTTTTCCTTCCCCATACGAGATCGTCACTTCCTCCCCAGCCGAAATGCTCACCCCTGGTCGCAAGAGAAGTTTGACCCCAGCCGACTGCTCATCGCAATCCTCGTCGTAATAGGCGTTGGGAGCGGAAGAATGATTCGCCAGGTCCAGCACGGGCACCATGCATACTCCCAGGTACGGCAATTCCAGGCTCCGAGACCGGTACCAGGTGTCGACGAGAAACCAGTCCGCTCGGGTTACCCTGTTGTCGTCCCAAAAGAGAGCATTCCAAAACGGGAGGTCGGACGACGCAGTACGGAGTCTATCGAATTCGTCCGTCAACGTCTCAATCTTGGCGGTCAGGGCGGCCTGTAGGTTGCGCGTGTTAAGGTTCACCTCGTCTAGGTAATAAAAGTCGGTGAAGCAGTCGCTCAGAAGCAACTCAAAATATATCGTCGGCATCGGACATTAGGGGAATAGGAACATACCTCGAGAGAGGTGCCACGTAAGAGCTGGCGTTCGGCGTCCGACCACATCGTGGGAACAGGCACATGGCCTGGCAAGAACCTTGTGTACTCAGCCCACGGCGTGTGGACAGGCCCGGTGCTGGTCTCAGAGCCGGGCGGGGGCCGAGAATGGGTGCCTAGCACCCACTGGGCGAGGAGAAAAAGACAAGCATCAATCCTGGCGGACTAGAGTTGCCGTTCGATGTTATCACAACTTGATCAAAACTTTTCGTGGTACGAAGTAGTGGTAGTAGTCGTCGTCTTCTTTATTCCTTATACCCATCCGGAAATGAGAGGGGCATGAACGCACCTTGCGCCCAGCAGCATCCAGCAACTCTCGAAAGTGCCCGTCGACCTTGGTAAACTCTTCCACTGACTGGTGAGAGAGAACCAGATCACGGGGAATTCTCGCCAGAGCCGGCGACAATCCTGTATTATCGTGAGTCAGGTCCCTCTCAGCCACGAGGCCAGCTCCCCGTTGTGGTACATGCCGCGGAGTCACATTGATGAGGACGACATTATTGAGACGGTTCCAGACTGGCAACGCAGCTTCGACATCAAGCTGGGGGTTTTGCATCTCCAGTCAAGTAGTATAATAGGTTTGGTGGACGTGGTGCGCAGCGATACGATGTACATTGGGTGTTGAATGACATGCCACGAACTGTTTCAATGGAGAAGAGAGAACATTTGCCGATTCGCTTTGTTCAGATAATTTAGTCGGCGGACGACCGACTACCATTGATTAGTCATTTTGAGAACTCTGTACCAAAGTAAGTTGAGTCGAACAAATTACTTTGACAAAGGAGACCAAGAAGAAACGTTATGGGGGAAAAACGTATGGAGAGAAACCAAGACCTATGGATGAACCAGATGAAAATTCTAAAGCGGTGGTAACGGTAATGCATTTTTGGGGAGAGAAGAGAAGGGAAACATGGAAATGAGAATGAGGGAAGTGTGCAAAAAAAGGAAATAGAAGGTAGAGCAAAAGAAATATGTGGAGATAGCGCGGATCGAACGCACGACCTTCTGTAAGCTTGCAGACAATGCAAAACAGAAATCATACCACTAGACCATATCCCCATGTCACTCGTTACAAGGCAGCGGTGAAGAACATATATACTTAGTACCAAGTACAAGCCACCACTTGAATTAGTATTATGTGAACCCCACCACGAGCCAAGTTTCCTCTCGATGCTTTCGCCCCTCAACTGCGCGGAGATAGCGCCTGGGACCTCGTCGCGACAAAGCATGGATAGGAGCCCTCACAGCGCACTGGCCCCATGAGCCGTGCCGCCGGAGGAATCGCGGTCTGCTCTGAACCAAACCTGATCCGTTCTTTCTATTAGACCTCGCCTACATCCTGGATCATGGGTCGAGATCCTCTTATCGGCCTTGTGGGCAAGCCGTCCGCTGGCAAGAGCACAATGCTCAACAGCCTGACGGATGCCACATCCAAAGTCGGTCGGTTGCCCGCCTTTTCGTTTACAATCGTCTCTCCGGAACACGGCGCGCTGATGGATCTCTATATTGCATGCTCATAGGAAATTTCCCGTATGCTCCCCTTCTCCATACCGATAAGTAGAAAAGGGATTTTGGTACGCCAATTGGGAGGCCAAAAATAAGGAGGGAAAAAAAGGACAAAAAAGGGGCGAGGGGGAAGGAGAGAACCACAGATTTTCTGACGTACTGACTCTGGTGTGCTCTGCGTCGCAGCTTCACAACGATCGACCCCCAGCGCGCCATCGGCTACCTTCACATCCCGTGCGCCTGCGCGCGCCATGGCGTCTCCGACCGCTGCAAACCCAACTACGGATCATGCGTGGACGGCGTACGGTCGGTACCCATTGAACTCCTAGACGTAGCTGGGCTCGTGCCCGGCGCGCACCAGGGCAGGGGACTGGGAAACAAGTTTTTGGATGACCTACGGCACGCAGATGCGCTGATTCACGTGGTGGACGCCTCGGGAACCGTCGACGCCGAGGGCAAGGAGACGCGTGGATACGACCCTTCCGTGGACATCGCGTGGCTTCGGAGTGAGATCGTGGCGTGGATCAAGGGCAACCTCTGGGAGAAGTGGGGCTCGATCAAGAGGCGGCACATCGCCGTCAAAGCGACGCCGGTGGAAACGTTGCAGAACCAGTTCTCGGGGTACGGCTCGACCGCCAAGGTGGTTGCGCGTGCGCTCGACCGGCTCGGCGTCAAAGAGCCGTTGGAAGAGTGGGACGAGGCCACGGTGGACCGGGTCGTGGAGGCCTTCACCGACGAGAAATTCCCGACAGTCATCGCGCTCAATAAGATCGACCACCCGGACGCCGACAAGAACATCAGCAAGATCGCCAAGATGCAAGATCCCAACACTATCGTCCTGTGCTCGGCCATCTCCGAGATCTTCCTAAGGAAGATGGCCAAGCAGAGGTACATCAAGTACACCGAGGGCAGCGAGTTCGTGGATACCCGGGAGGACCTGATCGAGCAGGGCGACCCCGACGGTGGCGGACTGAGGGAACTGGATGAGAAGAACCGGAACCGCATCGAGAATCTCAAAGACATGGTGCTGTACCGTTTCGGCTCGACGGGGGTTGTGCAGGTGCTGTCCAGGGCAGCCGACTTGCTGGGTCTCGTGCCCGTATTCCCCGTACGGAACACAGCAACTTTCGCATCGGGCGCTTCGGAGTCCAAGGTCGTGTTTCGGGACTGTGTGCTGGTGAAGAAGAACTCCACAGTCGGCGATGTCGCGCGAAAAGTCATGGGCGATGCGCCAATAGCGTATGTAGAGGGGGTAGGGGGTACCCGCGTTTCGGAGGACGGTGTTGTGGCAGTTGGGAAACACGATGTAAGTGACGCCAAAGTGACAAGCGGACGTTACGGGCGAGTTGCTAACCAATGTCTACCCTACGGATACAGATCCTATCATTCAAAGTCGGCAAGTGATAATACAAAATACATTCTTGCAGGTTCTCCGCCGTGGGTTTCTACGTAGGAGTGCATGATATTCCTTACGATGGGAGCTCTGGGGTGAAACACCAGGTACTGGGATGTTCTCATCAAAGCCATGCATACATATGATATGGTAAGCAGCCACACGTCTTATTGGGACCCTGGTTTAATCTGCCACTGTCCGTCCACCTGGCCGTGCGAGTCCCCTAATAAGCCCCCTCTCTCCCTTAACCATGAACTAAGCCTGTGTCCTCCGTGAGCGTCAGTTGGTGATGGCATGCTCTTGAAGAGGATTTCTCGGCGTGAGTTTTGGATATGGCCGTCGCATCCCCTCAGCCAATTATAGATTTCAACGCACCCATGCCCCAGCATCTGCAGCACCCGGGTCGCATACGTTGTACATGAACCTAGTTGCGTGTCAGCACTAATGACCGTCAGTACTTTCAGGCGAGGCCTCCCGAAGAGACCCAGACTCAACAAAGAAGTCCGAGGGTTGGATTACATCACGAGATATTAGCAAAATAAAATGAGCGCCTGGCTGGAATGACACTGAGCAACGTCTAGAGGCGCCTTTTGTCCCATGGTTGGGGAATTGATCTCGGTCGCTAGGGATGACATCATTTGTCAACAAACCATCAATTGCAACAAGTTACGGATACTTCGTAATTAATTACTCGTCGGTGCATCTGAGGATCTACTTCGTAGGCGCTGGAATAATTACACTCTACGAGTCCAAGCCACAACAACTTTCACTTGCCCTCAGTGGGCGGCAGGGGCTAGAGTAAATGAGTAAAAAATGGGTATCGATTGATTAGATGAAGAAGAGAAGAACCGGTACCCGACGTAATTGCTTCCCTCCAGTTTCTTGAACGTCCGTCGCAGCCAGAAAAGAAACTGCGAATTAATGCAACAGGAGACAGCAGACAACAGGAACGAAAACAGGCCGTCGCCATGATGTGTGAAGAGAAACGCATTGCTGGGGTGATTACAGGGGAGTACTGAGACCGCCAAGAGAGACGGTGGGGCCCCGGGACATTGCCGATGGCAGACGGGCAGGATTTGGTTGGGCGGTTGGATGGGGTGTGGGTTCTGGCGTTGCTGGTGGTGTGCGCGTCCTCGTAATGCACCGAAGGCCGGCCAGGTCACGGGTCGTCGTCAGGCATGGTGGCTTTCGCTTTCGGTCTTGAGTGGGTTTGGTTTGCGAAAATCGGTACGACAGTCGGAACTCGTAGCAAGCAGGCAATTGAAGTTGACGATTTGCGACGCAGTCGACCAAGCATACCGCGACAGTGAAGACGAGTCGCCCGCTTAGTACTTCAAAATGATGTACAGGGCGTGGATGATACCAGGGAGGTAACCTGAGTTGGGAGTGTCAGTCTAATTGTGTGACTGGATGAGAGGCGAAGGCCAGGACCAGGGCCTCCTGAGCAATAATAGATAGGCCTGGGAAACTTACCAAGAACGGTGAGGAGGATGTTGATGAGCAGGTCAGCACCGCAGCCACGCTCGAGGAGAACACCCAGAGGGGGGAGGATGACGGCAAGAATGATCTTGCAAATATCGCTGTATAACAGGAGCGATAAAGGTTAGTCTATCTGTGACACCACGCCATGGTAGACATTCGCAAATGCGTGTTCTCCTTTTCGATGAGTCGCTTCTTACCTCGCGGTGAAAGCCATTGTGCTTGTTGGAAAAGACGAAACGTAGGGGAATTTTTAGGTGATAGATTAAAGCGTTGTGCGTTGTAGTCCTGTGTGGGAGGTAGGCAAGTATGGAATCGACTGTTGACAATGAATGCGGAAGATACAATGGGAATAGAGCTTTGGGGGGGAAACGGGGAGAGTTTTGACTTAAATAACAAGGCCGAGCCCGCACGCTGGGTGAGGTAGCCAGCCTGTGACCAACAACTCTTGGAAACTAGGGTGGGGGCGAAGAAGTGAGCTGGTAAAGCTGGGCAAATTACGGAGCGCCTGGAAAGCAGTATGTCAGCTTCTTTCGATATTTGCTACAGAATTTGCACCATAATAAGCACCGCACTCCAACACGTTCCTGTATCATCCAAGCCTTCCAAGCCTTCCAATCCTTGCACACATTGCACCTTGCATCTCTCGTCGTCCTAAATTGCTCTAGTACCTACGAAGCGCAGAGGCTACCACACACAGTACACATCCGTATATGGGCTGAGCCTGCGTCATCGACTCATTACCGGCCGGACTTGGCCCTATGGTACCTTGATACCTCATATGTGTACTAAGGTGAGGTACCTAGGTGCCTTATGGCTTCTCACCTTCGACCACAGCATTCCACCCAACCCAGGTACATGCCATTCAGTAATTATTGAGCTTCCAAAGAGCTACTCCGTAGGTCCCCTGTCCGCGAACTCAGGGAACTACCTCCAATATGAACGAGCGGTTGAGCTACTGGACTGGTAGGAGAACCTCGGAAGAAAACCAAACCAAAAAAGGACGAAGAAAAAAAAGGAGGCTTGCTCTCATTACATTACACGTACCCTCCCCACTCAAAATATCAAGTTGGTCCAATCAGTTTTCGCCAACCCGGCTCCGGTGACCGTATTGCGCGTCCCCCAGCCGTCTTGTTCGTCACAGACCAACCATGCGTGCGTCGTTGTGTGAGCCTAATGACATACCTAGGTACCGCCGTCTCCAAACCTAGCCCACATTTGCCGACGTCACCGCCCAGCCTTTCTCGGCAACCCACAAGACCCTGAGTGGTCTGGGCGAATCGCTGACATCCATGTTGCGTCTTTCTGTGGCTAAGTTTGGATTGTCGTGGCGGTGTATGATCTGTGTGCCACATCTCACCGCCACATTCTACTGAACCACACACCTATTTTTGTTTCACGGCTGGGATGACTTATAAATAGGTTACTAGATGCTTTCGGAGCCGAACTAATTAACTCGTGTACGTGTACATCTACATGTTTAACTTGAGCTTCCAGTATACTTTGCTGAAGTACTGGCACCGACAGCTAATGAATGAACTTCATAGACGCTTCGCTCAAGAGTAGCGTAACGCGACCCATGTGGGCGGCTTTGTCGCCGCCAAGGAAGGTAGAGACGAGGAAAGCGAATACAAACCCCTGAGTGTTTAACTGCGTGTATGCTCGTCCTCCGTATATCACTCAGTGGATGCCTGACGGAACAATGTCGATTAGAGCTCCTGATGTCATACTTGCAAGACGTCACCTGTGGCGGGAGCATCGGGACGGCATATTTGAAGAATGCCACCGTACCAAGACCTAAGTAACAGGCGACCCTGTGTATCTACACGTGTAGTACAGACTTTAGGAGCAGTGATCTCTTTGGGCCGCTGTGAAGTAAATAAGACTTCGGACGTCAAACGAGCGCAACCGCATCGGTATTAAAGGTACCACGGACTTTGGAACAACACCTAAACGCATCATGATCTTATTGCTTTGAATTCGAAGGACCTCTCCATAAACGGGGTTCCTAATCTTCCTTAACCGCGTTGGTAACCATCCTCTTGCCCAAGAGAACCGAACCTCCTAGAACCTTACCCAACGCGTAGCCGGCATACAGACCGCATACGATCGTGATAGGCCACTTCTGCCACTCTCGATCCCAATCCAACGGTATCGGTATGGCACCAAGCCAAGCGCCCAACAGGGCACCAGCGCAGCCGCCGAACGTCTCGTCGAAGGGGGCCATCGCGCCGCCGATGGCGCGCCATGCTCCAGAGTCGACGCCGTGGGCGTAGAAAAGTGGAAATAGCGCGAGAAGAGACAGATGAGCAGAGAGGAGGAGGTTCTGCGGAATGTGTGTGAGAAACGGCGCACCGAATAGGACAAACGCCAGGTGGACAGCGGGCGTCACCAGTGTGGTCAGAACGAGAGAGAGGAAGAGAGCCTAGGGATATTGGGTGTTTTTTTTCATATTAGAAAAGCCGTGTCTCGACGTTTGGTCCCAACCACGCAATTGACCTGACCAGGTACTCACAACGTATGGGTTCGGCCCCATGTGCTCCTGCTTCCTCTTCTCGCCCGGCCTCAGTTTCCTCGCGGCTCTGGTGGCCTGAGAGCCAGCTACGGGAAGACAGGCCGAGGCGTAGGTGACCTGAATGACGGCAACTAGTGGTAGTGTGTTCTGGAGAGTGCGAACGGGGTCCTCGACTAGAGAGCTGAACTGGCTGGCAAATAGGCCCAGGAGCACAAGCAGATGCAGGTATCGTCCTGCTTGTGCCACTGGTGTTGTATGGATGAGGACTGGCTGCAGCAAAGCATGCGAATCCTTTCCCTTGGCCGGCTGCGTTGGGTTCGGTTTTGACGGCGGGCCAGCCATTGTCACGGTGTTGTTTAATGTCATCGTGGTCGTTGAATCAATTATTTCGTAACAGACAAGCTATCCGTAGCTTGGGAATGATTGCTACAAAGCGCCCAGCTTCAGTTGATCACGTGGCGATAGCGATAGCAGCCTCAAAGTCCACCTAGGTAGGTAGGGACGCCTCGCTGATCACATGCCTTGCACTTTTTGTATGGATTTCATCTAATGCAATACGAAGGGGGCTTGCCCATTACGTATTGGGCTGGGTATACGGACCACAGACGCCTATCGGACATACCTGCTTCTCGATGTAAATATCTCTGTTCAGTTTCATTTTCCCCTTCCAGCTTGTTAGGTACCTAGTCAACATACGGAATGCCGTAAATACGTCCTATCCTTCTAAGAGAGCGTTTTGTAAGCGTGGCTTTCAATCAGAGGGACTAGGAGCTCTGCCATTGGCTACATGCACCGGCTCAATAAATTGCCGTTGGCCAATAGAGACTGGACAACGCGGACGTCTCCGATCGCACCACAACATCGTGCCACCCTGAGAGGGTACACCACGGTAGAACAGACCATCCACGGGTGGTCTTCGTCAGATGCTTCCACCCAGATGGTTTTCTTCACGAGGAATGACGGCTCATTTTATGGTATCGATTGATGCCTCCGCCACATAATATTGCCTTTTTGGGGTCGTATGACGGGCAGGGCCTCAATATAGGCCGTTTCCAGGCATGCACAACAATTTCTCGGGCGAAGTCGCCCAACATCTGCCCATCGACCGTTCGTCAGAGGCACCCGGTTGTCTCGAGATGGCCTTATCTATTTCTCACCGTAGGCCTAGCCAAACTGCTTCATATCTCAGTGGTATAAGAGCTGCGCACTCCCCAGTTCAGTGTAACCTTTTTGACCATGATCACCAGACCGCATCAGCAACAAACCATTATCTCCTCAACTCATCCCGGACCGACAACTTTATATCCCGAGATCTCTCCTCTACACCTGATATCTCACTCCTCTTGAAAGCAACCAACACAAAACCTCCTCTTCCCAAGCCAGAAACCTCTCAACGACTATATCAAAAATGACTGGTTACATTGCTCGCACTGCCGTCCGCGCCGCTCAACGCAGGCAATTCTCCATCCTCAACACCGTGCGGAAGGCGGCCCGCAGCTTTGAGCCGCATCCCTACGAGAGGATGACCGTCTCCGAATCAGCCGCGCCCAACTATAGCAAGATGATCAAGGACCGTCTCACCACGGCGACAATGTGAGCCGCCCCATCCCCTTTTTTAATCCCGTTCTGCTGGCGTCTTCTTATTCCTCCTGGTTGTACGTGTATATTGTGACTCTGGGCTAACTGGGTTGGTGGTATATAGGTTTGTTCCAATTGCATCGGTTCTTTTGGGCTGGCCTATCTTCGCCCAAAAGCTCTTCGGCACCCACGTTTAAAAAATTACTCCGTCTCTTCACGTGGGATCGTCTGCATGTTATATTCATGGAGTTATCAATGGAACATCGGCAGGTACTTTGGGTACTGTTGATAGACATAGACCGGCATCGGAAACTGGCTATACAACACATTGTCGCATTGGAGGACGGCGTCAGGGGACTTCTCGCTACTATTCTTTTTTCACGGTGGCGTCAACGTACTAGTAGTTTCTTTGTAACCAAATATTCAAATTTGGCAGAGCTCAATTCATACATCACTTCGATGCTTACCACCTATTATTCCTCTTTTGGAGCTATGGATACTACTGAAAGAACTGGCTGCTCGACGTATTGGCCTGTTTTGTTGAGCTACCTTAGTCTACTGGGCTGAACCACCGTCGTGTTGCATCTAGTCGGTTCATAGACTGCTGGTTACTTTATAACATACTTTATGACAGACAACGAGGGATGGCACGACACTGGATATCGAAGGACTTTGGTGATCTGACCCCAACCAACCGCGTAAGGGGCAGAGATTATCCCCCCTTCTCACCCCTGTTTCTTTTACCCTATTATTACCCCATCAATTGCTCTGGAGCCGCAGCACGTATGCAGGGGAGAGAGGAACCAGAAGGCTGCCCCTCAGCTCGGTGAGACGGGAGACTCGAAATCCTACATTCTCAACCTGTAAGAATGGCACATGACTTGTAATACTGCGCTGGATCATCGCCTCATACCGCCCTACATATCTACCTACCCACATGGTTTTACGTGAATCGGCATTTTCGTCGTGGGGGCATGTTGGCGTATTCCCATCACACATATTATACAACCAAACCCTTTCTTGTATTGGAAGTAGGTCCTCAATAGTAATCATGACCTTGTGAGTCTATAAGAACACCGGATTTTCCACACTCCACACTGATCCTGAACAGGTACGTAGGTATAAGATATACCGACCTGTTTACAATCGATTACACACATTCATTAACGAGTTTGACCCTCATTCTCGGTACCAGTGAGCCACAACATACACGTGTATAGCCCAACTGGTCATACATATCACCACTTCTAAGCTGGGCAGAATAATAATAAAAAAAGCGCAACAACACACACACGTCCCTCCCACAATGCCCTCTGATCTTTTCATCACAAATCCCCGTCCCACCGCCGCGCCGAACGCATACAAACATACTGGCCGAGGCGGCGCAGGCAATACCATCCGCGTCCGCCCCAAAGACACCGCCGTCAAGACCTTGTCACCGACCACGCCACCGGCACCGACACCCACTCCCGCCGCGCCCGCTGCTTTGTCGTGTGCATGTAATACAGACCGTACACCAGGCAGGTTTCACACTGGCGTGGGCGGCGCGGGGAATGTGCATGCCGCAGGAGAGCGGGCTCCGAATGTCAGCTTGGACGAGGAGATACTGCGCGCTAGGGTCAGGGAGCTGTCTGGTGTTGGACATCCTCATCACGTCGGAGTTGGCGGCGCAGGGAATGTGGTTCATCGGGAGGAGAAAGCAGGGTGGAGGAAGGGGGCCAGTTCAGCTTGGGATTTCATACTCAAGCCTCAGTAAGCCTTAAAAGACTTTTTTGCTGGATATAATATGGGCTGGGCTTGTGAGGGTAAGGTGCCTACCTAAGGTACTTAAAATGCCTCTAGAGCGAGCGAACTTGACAGGTCCGTTCGTCCAGTTGTACACGGCTTCGAGAGCCGCCTGTGGATCGTCATTCAGAACAACACAACCCCCATGAAACGTAGCACGACGATGGGCTGACGGAGGACAACAGATAGGGGTATCATTTCAACTTGTAGAGCTGACCATTACCTCATATGCCGCCTCTGTCCAAGGCGTACTCATTCGTCTGGATCCTCGTCCACGTCCATCTCCTCTCAGTCATTGTCACAACACTTTCTTTCTCCTCTATCCCTCGAGACGTCGTTGTTGGGAAAGGAAGCGGACCATTTCTCTCCTTCCTATCCTCTCTCTATCTTCGTGGCATATCACTGTCAAAATGGTGACAGAACGAACGGTATACTCCCGGCCTCAAGCCAAAATGTACCCATCATGGAGAGATACCGATTTTCTGCATGAACCTCCAGGATTGACACACAACCACCGTTAATCGGTACGCAAGCTTGCCGGACTCGCTCGCGAATCGCTGTTATATCCCAAGAAGTCATGTCGCTTATGTAAATTTGGTATGGATTATGTCCGGATTCTCGTGCCAGTCGTCGATGCTCACCCACATCTAAAGCCCAGAACATGTTAGCAGCTACTTGATCTCGACAGAAGCCCCGACTGACGACTTGCCTTTCGGAATGTGCTGAGTCCAGCCAAAATGCTGCCTCCGATCCACGTCGAGTATTTGCGCTCCGGGGGCGCGAAAATCTTTATCCTCATGTCTTTGACCGCCAGCCGCTGAAGCTCCGTCAGGAGACGGTCGCCGAACCCCTTGGTCAGCGTGCTGCCGCCGGACAGCACAATGTTGCTGTACAGTGATTTGCGGAGGTCGAGGTCCGTGCGGCTGATGGCGTCCACCACGATCTGGTGCACACCGGGATACTCGAGGCCGATGATTTCGGGGTCGAAGAGGATTTCTGGTGCCCGGAACCGCTCGGCGCCAATCTGCATCGATACATGGTAAGCCCCCATGCTTGGCTGCTTTGGGGTTTTGGGGTGGCGGGGGGAGCTTGTAACAAAAGGGAGAGAAACATGGCCGCAAGCCTCACCTTCATTTTGTGCCCGTCAGGCAATACGTATTCGACAGTCTTCCCCTGGTCTCCCGACCGCTGCATCCATTCCTTCTCTTCGCGGCGCGGATCTTGCGCAACGTAGGTGACCGACTCCTTGATCAGACGAACGACTTCCTTCTCGGCACTGGTGTGGAACACGTAGCCGCTCTTGCGTAGCAGGGTCTGCAGGTATTCGGTGACGTCGCGACCGGCCACGTCGATGCGACGGATGCTGCTGGGCATGGCGAACCCTTCGTACACAGGCACGGCGTGTGAGACGCCGTCGCCCGAGTCGAGGACAATGCCGGTCGTGCGGCCAGACGCGTAGAGTGAGAGGACGGCTTGGATCGAGGTGTGAAGGGCGGGCACGTTGAACGTCTCGAAAAGGATCTGCGCCGCAATGTCGCGGTTGCTCCGGGGATTCAAAGGAGGTTCGGTAAGGAGGACGGGATGCTAGAAATCCAGGCAGAATGTTTGTGTTAGCATAACCGGTGTCCCATAAAGGTGAGGGCTGGGAAAAGGGGTGGGGAAAAGGGGTGGCCGAGGCGGTAGGTGTGTGTGTGTGTGTGTGTATGAGAGAAAGATGGCCTATGTAAAGATGATGCCGCACCTCCTCGCTGAGCGTCTTGAGTCCTTCGCCGTATACGTATTCCCAGATTTTCTCCATATCATCCCAGTCCGTAACGATGCCATGTTCTAACGGATACCGGATCTTTAGCAGGCCACGTAGCTCCGTCGCCGCCTTCTGCCCGATGAAGACCTCCCCCTCCAGCGCACCGGCGAGTACCCTGAGATGTTTGGGTCTTCCTACGAATGAAGGGAAGTAGCATTTTGGTAGGTCGTCGCCCGCGAATCCTGCTCGAATCGTGCCAGAGCCATTGTCGAGGACAATGGGAGCGTTGTGAAGAGAGTCTGCCATGGTGCGCAAGGCATACGAGACGCCCGACTCCTTCGCCCGTTTTTCAAAAGTCCTTCTCGCGCAGTCTACCTTGTCGTCGTGTTCGTTTTCGGATCGTCAAATCTTGAGAGGCTCGGGCTTTGGCAGCACGGTGGGTTGGTATAGAAGAGCGACGTTCGTCGGCTACCGAGACAAGAGACGAGATGGTCACAAAGTTGTTGTTGTGGTTTGTTTGTTCGTTTTGTATGTTTGTTTGTTTGTTTTAACTGGGACGTCGTAATTGGCGATACTCTTGAAGCTTTCGTCTCGCAAAGTTGAGCCACCTTCATTTCCAGGGGAGCTTCTCAAGAACAGCAAGAACCTCAAGACGCGGTCAAGGATCGGCTTGGGCCTCAGGAGCTGCAGGGGCGCGAGGCGCTAAACTAAACCGGGAGAGCCACCCAGAGTAACGTAATCAGGCACGGCCGTTTTAGCTTTGTACCTTACTGGGCTTATAACTAGTTATTGGAATATAAATAAGGTACGCGGATTTATATATATATTTATGTAAGTGAAGTTCGTGGTACTTTTACGGGGATATCTAACTATTAGGAAAAATAAAGGGAAATAAGTATAGATATATAGGACCGAGATACCCTATAAGTCTAATGTGATATAGTTTATTATACCTTAATAAGGAGGCTATGGGTATCTGATAGTAGATATAGGATAGAAGGAGGAGTTAATATATTAATAAAGCATAAGAGAAATTCCGTTCGTATTCCCTTCTCTATTTACTGTTTTTATCAGAATCTCTCCTACTATTATTATCTTATACTACTAGGAGTGCTGCTGCTACGGACAGGGGAACAAGGAGACGGAGAGAGTATATCATCTCCCTACCGCCGGCACCATACTACGCGGAACACTCAAGATCAGAATACCACCAAATATCCGCCCATCTTCCCTCATCGTTCCTCATCCATCCTCACTCTTCCTAACCATCACCGCCACCGCCTCTGCCTTGACCTGTCCCCTTATACCACCGCTTCGTACCGAGAACACCTCCCCCCTGACCTGGCTAGAGCAAGAATGCTCCTAATCCCACCACCTCTCGCCGCCTCGATGCAGAATAAAAAGAACGCAAAGCAAACCTCTGGTGAAACAGGAAAAAAGAAGGTCGCTGAAAGCAAGCACCAAGTTGTAAAAAGTTGTTGGGTCATGCCATCGTAAGATATGTCGTATCCACTTCCTGGACTTTCCAAACGCGTCTTGCTCTTCACCTCTGCGCTCAGCCGACTCGATCATGCATTTCCCCCCCTCCCCCTCCTCCTCCGAATCCCAATAGGCAGAGTTGACATCCAGAAGATATAAACCAAGCTTCCGTGGAGCCGTCTGTAACAGCTACAAAAGTCGGCATGTGCTGCTCTCATGATACTGCCCAGCTTGGGACTGTGCCAGCGTTATACCAAGGCGAATCGACTTCCCCCGAGCGTCAAGGGAAATACATCAGGGTCGTCAACTGAACTGGTTCACCCCCCTCGGCTCACAGCCATGTTTGTTTTTTTCTTTTTCTTTTTTTCTGTTCCCCCTTCTCCTTTGCTGCGTTTTCAAAAGGTATCCGTCTCGTTGCTCGCAACTGTTCCAAAGGTATCTGCGGCTACTTATCAGTCTTCTGCCCCCCAAAAGAAGTCAATTTCTCTCGCCCCTAACCACATTTACTCACCTCGCTTCCGTCGACGCTCTTCCCGAGCAGCCTCCTCCTCGGGACTCTTGGGAGTCATGGCCCGAGGTCCGCTAGGTCGGCGAGTCGGCACTTGAAGCGCCCCGCTCAGGTTGCGGTTCTCCAGCTTGGGGCTGCTTGTGTAGTTGTTGCGTTCCGTCCCGTAGTCGGGTTCCATGCTCTGGTACGCCAACGGGCTGCCCTTCTGCAGCCTCGAGACCCTGCTAGATCTGCCCGGCGTTTGCGCCCCGTTGTTGTCGAGAGGCTCCTTGGGTGGCCGGGGCGGTGCGCTGGTGGTTGCGGCGGGCGAACTCCAATATTCTCCCGCACCTGCGGCTCCCCCTGCCGACCCGCCACTGTAGCGGTTGCTTGTCTGCGCCGGAAACCGGTTCAAACTGGTGGCCGAGCCCGCCCAGTCGGCTGACCTGGGCGACAGAGGTGAATCGTACTCGTGCGCCTGCGACTCGAGCGCCGCCTTGAACCGTTCCGTCTGCCCTTGTCGTGGCTGAGGGTGCTGCAAGTTGAGCGAGTTGCGGTGTGCCTTGTACTTAGGGTCTTCCGGCGTCATGTAAGTGGCAGGCGGGGGTGGGACCTCCTCCGCCGCCTCGTTCGTGCCCGCGCCTACCAGATTGGTCTGGGAAAAGCCTGTGTGTAGGTGGTCATCGCCATACGGGTCGCTATGGTACTGGCCATCGTCATACTGGGCAACATCTGAGGCGGAACGAGACGTTGGCCTGTCGCCGTACTCGTCGTCGTTTCCTCGTTTGCTAGACATACCGCTGCCGCGCAACGCTCTGCCCACGCTCGTTGCCGTGGATTCCGACCAACGAGAGATCTTGGGGAACCAGCTCGACGAGCCTTTGGACTTGTGTTTCTTGCTCCTATCCGTCTTGGGCGTGTTTTCGTTGCTGACCGAGACGTTGTGGGATGTGCTGGGCCGTGGAGGGGTACCCAGAGGTACGGAGCTCCCACGTTGAATGTCTTCTTGACGTCCTCCTGGGCTCAGCGTATCTTGACGTGCCTGGGCGTATGGCCCTCCTGGGGCGTAGTCCTCTTCGTTATCTTCATGGACGGTGCTGATACGGTGGTCCGAGACCTTCCGCTCGTACCCGCCGAGCTTCGTGGATGGTACCCTGGGGTGCGAGATGGGAATCGAGAGGTGACCAGATTGACTGGCGTGGCTGGCCGTTGACGTGCCGGCGTGCCCTTCCGGTTCATAGCCGCGGTCTTGTTCGTACCGCATCTCGGGTGGCAGGTTCTCAAACGACTGCCCTGGGCCGCTGGACACGGCAGGCCTTGCAGTTTGCGCCTTCAGTGTATCCACCTCGGCTAGGAGCTGATTCAGCATGTCTTCGATGCGGCTGAGGTCGTTCGTATCTTTAGCTCCGAAGCTTCTGAAGAGAGCCCTGCGGAACAAGCTCTTCTTGGGATTGTCCTCCGACGCTGTTCCATCCTGTGACTGGGACGTGCCGCTCATGCCCTTGACTGACCGAGGTGCGCTGCCAGGATAAGGGCGCGGTCCGCCGATGACGTTCTTCACTGTCTCCTCGGTGTTTTCCTTGACCTCGTTGATAATGGTGTCCTCGGTCTCCGCCAGAAGCTTCTTCACGCCCTCAAACGAGTTTCGCATTTCGGCTGCTGAGCGTACGAGCGTGACGAGAATCTCCGTGTCTCGTGCTGTGCGTTGGGCATCACGAACCATGAGCTGAAGAAAAGGGGGGGGAGAAATTAGCATGTCAACTGTAACTCATCTCAATCGAATTTGTGTGACTTACATGTTGCATCAGGGCAATTATGTCCTTCGACTCGATGCGCTCGATGCCCGCGCCAGTGGCCGCGTCATAAATCGGGGAGACCATTCCCTGTGACATGCCGCTAAGGTGTCGTGTGTGATCCTTTGGTCCGTAAAACGGGTCTTCCACGCCAGCATCCGGAAGGCCCATCAAGGCCTTACTTTCGGGTTGAATACTTGGAGATTGCACAGGGCCCTGAGAGATGTATCCCTCATCAAAGTTCTTCTGGCCCGTGGGGCTGGCCACATGGTACCCAGCACCGAACCCATCCGGATCGAGACCTCGCCCGGCGAGTAGGTCAGGATTCGCCAGGGGACTTGCGCCATCGTAGGGGTTTGTGACCAGAGTGTCTCGTTTCCGTTCTGCCGACGTCCGTTGCCACTCGTCATCTGGTTCCTGGCTCGGTTGACGACTGTGGGCTGCGGCCCCGGCGACAGCCCCAGCAGCAGCAGCCACCCCCGTTGCGGCCGCCAAACCAAGGCCCCGGCTCTGCTCATCCTGTCGCGGAGTCGTCTCCGTAACCCAGTTGTCGTCACCACGCGGAGTAGGAGTACGGTCCATTTCCTCCCGCTGCAGAGAGGGATTTGTCGACAGAGCATCGTCAACGTAGCCAAGTTCCGGCATGGGATCATCCCATGCCGGCATAGCACTGGCGCCCATCTTGGGTTGATCCTCATAGTCAAGGCGGTCGACGCTGTGCGCTGGCGTGTGAGCTGGTTCGCGGCCTTCCAGGGTCCGCTGCTTGAACGATTTGTTCCTAAACACGCCCTCGGGGACGAACTCCTCGTTGACTTCCTCGACGGTCGGCTGCTTCGACCGGTCCTTGGCGGCTTTCAAGGCTGCGGCAGCCGCACCTACGGCCCCAAGAGCAATGGCTTTCTCCGATTCTGTGGGGGAATGGCGCGAGGTGGACGGTGAATTATGGTACCTCGCGAGGGGGGCCACTTTGCGTCCGTACTCGTCAAGGTGGTACTCTCCCGCAAACTCCCGAGACCGATTGTGGTGGCTGGACGAGGGTGTCCCGGCGCCATCGCGTTCAGCCAGGTCATCCTGCTGGCTCCTCACGGATCGTTTGTCGGGACTCAGGCCACGTTGTGCGGTTGGAGCGGTGTACTGCTCGCCGTAAGACAAATCGGAGTCGCGGTTGTGCGACAGAAAAGAGTCGCGGTTGCCGTAGTCTGTGCCGGACAGTCCAGATCCGCCGCCGGTGAGAATGGACTGATCGAGCATTGAACCATCCACAAGTGACGCCACGTTTGATTCGACGCCCACGGGGACATCCACGATGTTAGGGTTGGCGCCAACGCCGCGGAGCGGTTGGCCCGGTTCCAACTCAGAGCTTCGAATGCTGCGGTCGTCGAGAGATCTGTCGTCGAAAGTCGCACCGACCACTTTGCCGGGAGCCGAGCCAGGAGAATACAAAGAACCGGGCTGCGGCGATTTATCCGGAGATGCGCTGTCATTTGTCGTCCTCGAGTCGCGTTGCCCCGCAGCCTCGCTGCCACCTTCAGTGTACCCCGAGACGCTGTAGATTGGGCTGAGTCCACGTTGGTCGGGATGGTACGGGACATAGTTAAGAGGCGGAGGGACATGCTGGGTGTTGTAGTAGTCCGCGGCAAAGCCCGCGTCAGGATCATACTCCCCTGGATCAACGCCAAGGCCGCGGTCGCCGGTCTCATACTCTTCGTCGTCATAATCTTGAGGCGTGTTCTGCAATCTTCCGTCCTCATACTCGCCGGTGCGTTTCTGCGGCAGTTCGCGCAAGTCGCCGTGGGAAATGTTGGCATGCTTGGTTCCCAGAGTCTGCCGAAACGTGATGGCGTCAGGAGCAGATGAAGTGGGGTGGTCAGAGGCCCCCATAGTGTCCCGAGACACGCCCCTAACCGGTGAGGTCCTCTCTTCCATGGCAGAATGCGGGCGGTCCGACTCGACAGATAGAATTGATGTACGCGTAAGCTCGGATGGGTTGATTTCGCTCATCAGAGGCATTGGCGGAGCCGGCGGCTCTTCGTCCTCATACTCCTCAGCGTACCTGTCGCGTCCAAGGCTGCGGCTCCGGGTAGAAGCATCGGCCGGTCGCCGACGCCTTTGCCTCCTGTCGTCTGGGGACGGTGATATGGGGTCCAACACAGCCGCTGCAAGGCCGGCGGCGGCAGCACCGGCAGCCGCGGCTTTGACAGCGCTGTTTGAAGCTCTGTGACTGTCTTCTGCGACTTCGTGGACGGACAGGTCGTCGACGGAATCCGCATCGATTCCATACTGGCTGTCGGCATAATCATGCCTTGCCTCCCGGTCTCTCCGCTCACGATACCGACTGCTGTCTCGATCTCCTCTCCCTGAAGACCTGCGTCGATCCGTGGCAGTAAGGTCCTCTCTAGAGGCCGACGTGCCGGTGGCGGTGGATGTGAAGGAATCGCGGCGGCTCTCGCGTTTGCTTTGCTCCCGTTTTAAGGCGCTGAGCTCTGGCAGGATCAGTCTCCGGATCGCATCCTCGACTGTCTCAAGAAGCTTCGGATTGTTGATGGACGATTTGGGGGCGCCTGAGCGTACGGAATACTGATCGGCAGACCGATGGCTGGGCGAGATGCTTGAAGAAAGAATACTGGAATCGGCAGCCGAGACGGCCGAGTCGGCGTGGCTTCGGCTCGACCTCCGTCGGGGGGAGCGTGTCCCATCAGCTGGCTTCTCGCTTAGGCTACTCGTACGACTTCTGCTGGAGCGGTGCTTCCGTTCCTTTTCCCGGGATCTGTCGGATGACTTGGGCAGTACAGCTCGTTCCTTGCCCTCGCTTCTGATCTTGGCGTTCTTCACCTTTTCAGCCAAAGCAGCACCAGCGACAGCGCCAACCACACCGGCAGCGAAATGACCACTACGGGAGGGGCTTCTGTTTCTCTTGGTATCAACGTCTCGCGAGGTCAGATTGGTCGGCCCCGAGCCGTCGAGGAAGCTGTCTGACGGAATGGCCGAGATGTCCGACATGTTCGGAGGCTGATAGGCGACCGGCTTGGCTTCTGGATCGGGAATCAACGGACTCGCTGGCCGACGTCGACGTGAACCTCGATCGATCTCTATATCGATGGGATTCCTCGAGACGTTGGACTCTTCGGTGGCGGAAGCATAGGAGCGCATGCTCTCAGTGTCGCCTGTTTCGGGGCCTTCGGGTTCAAGGCGGGTGGTCGCAGTGGAGGACAATGGAATGCGGCGAGTCAGGGAGGTCTTTCGCGAGCCCTTGGTCTCTGTAATCTGGATGTGGTGGTCGTCCCTGTGTTTCTTGGAGGGCGTCAGACGCACACGAACGCTGGGCTTCCGTTCAGTACCCGACGCGCCTGATTTTCCGCCCTCGAAGTACTCGATGAGGAGGGAGGTTTGGGAGCGATTTGCGCGGTGACCACGAGTCCGTATGGTGACAGGGCTACCGTCGTCGGGTAGAGAATAATGAGAGGCCTCGTCGGGAAGCTTGGCAAGGTCGTCGTTGGTCAATTCGGTCGGAGTGGGAGAGTCGGTCTCTGTTGGGGCGGGAAGGGGAGGGGCTTTCTTGGTCTCGACTCCCATTGTGCTCTTTTTTGACGGATGTATTTCTGAACCGCAGATGATTAAGTCAAAAGGTGGCCGAGAATGAACACCCCGTCAATTGTTGCCCTGCGTTTCTTTCTCTCTCGACGATTGGGCCGAGAAGAGTGAAGGAGGCTTGTCGGCGGTACTGATGAGCACCTTTTTCTTTCCTTTCTTTTCCCAGCTAGGATGGCATCTGTGTCAAGGCCATCGAGGGATAATGTACGTCCAAGATTGTCGCAGAAGAGAGAAGAGGAGAAGAGGGAGAGATCTAAAGCCCTCTCAGAAGAACAAGGCGAAGTAAAAGTTGCTTCTCAGGCCGTGGGGGGGGGGGGGGGGGGGGGGGGGGGGGGGGGGGGGGGGGATAGATCGCTGTAGCGGGCGGAGCAGGATGGCGAAAGACCCAGGCGATGGCAAACCGACATAGGCTAGTTCGCCGGTTGGTCTGCAGAACACTACTGCAGTGAAGGATCGGAAAAATGTTTAGCGACTGTCGACGATTCGCTGGTTCGAGTCGAGGTCGACGAAGACAAATGATGAGAGGGACGCACCGAAAGAGGCGATTCTTTGTGTCGTGCAGTTGAATGAATTGCGCAGCCCCCACAGAAAGGATTAAAAAAAGAAATAAACAAAAGGCAGAGCGCAAACTGAAATTTCCCTTCTGCCTAGGACGTATGTCCCGAAGCGTTGACAGAAGACAAGATATGGTTTGCCCGGAGGTTGGTGGTGATGAATGGTGTGAGTGCAGAGTTCCCGGAGTGGCGGTAGTGTGTGGTTTTAGTGGGCTGGTTGTTCGGCCGTTGCTTGGTGACAGTTAGGGAGGGGGGTGAATGAAGAACCGGGGTTTGGGTTATCGAGCTCCGTCTTTAAACTAGCAGCGGCCTAAATAAATGACAATTAGAATACGTTCGATAATTTCTTTTTTTCTTCTTTTTCAGTATTCGTTCCTTTTTGCTAGAGTTGATAAAGCGCTGTGATGAATGGCAAGTCGATTTATCGTTCCTGGACGTGAGTCGGCTGTCGGATTTCCATAGGCCGAGGAAGAGGCAGAATGGAGGAGGTTGGTTGGTGGTGGCTGAGAAAAACCGCAACGACAACGGTGAGGCGGCAACAAATGATGAAATGGGAAAATCATCCGTATAAAAGCAAGGGAAAAAAAAAGAAAAGGTCTCACACACCGAGCTTCAAGGCAACATGACAATTCTGCCCTCTGCCCTCTGATTCCGTACAGTAAGTACTTACGGAAACAGGTACACGGGTCAAGAGGAAGAAGGACATAGAGATGAGGGCGAAGGCGAACGGTGAAGCTTTGTTTTCGGTCCCGTTGAAGTCTTGGGGAACCTGTCCAGTTCCTGTCCTCGGTGGTCGTCCTGGGCAATGGTGTTGGGAAGTAAAAAAAAGTGGGGGGGTCAAAATGGGGGATGGGGGGCTTAGAGAGTTGATGAGTTGGCGTTGCGGCCCGCTCCTACTTCCACTGACAGCCAATCCCCAGTCAGAGGTCCTAAAAGGCCAGGGGCGATGGGGGTTCTACCTGCCACCTGCCACCTGCCTAGGGGCTTTGCCCAGGAAGCTCTTCCCAGTCTGGTGTCGTTCAATGGTTTGGACTATTTCGCCCCACATGACCTGCTGTATTCGTACAGACCTACTAAACCGAAAATACTCATCGTAATAAATCCTGCCCGTTACCGGTAATCACTTACACTTACCAAGTAATTACGTTTCCTTCACCGTCTCTTTTCTCCCTTTCCTAGTTACGGCACCTCAAGTGCATACGTATATCTATACGGAGTGAGTACGAAGGATCCTCTGGATTCTATTCGTCTGTTTGTCTCTGTGGAAGCTCCAGGTCTTCCATTCAGAAGTGATTCTTCTGGTCAGAGTGGAGAGAGGGTGTTTTCCTTTTTCTTTTTTTCCTTCGCATTTTCCGTTGACCCCTGTCCCGTCCAGTCCACCACGATCATCATCACTATCACACATTTCACCCTGGCAACGCAGACGCTTGCCCAGCGCTCTGACCAAAAGGAAAGTGGCCCCAGCGCTCCGCCGAGATAACCACGCAAGGTCCAGGTCGATCAACACTGCTCCTGGCCCAAGCTCCCAAAGTGGAAAATGCGCTCTGACCCGCTCATGTATGTACCACGGACAAAGTTGCACGAAGACAGTACATAGTGCCAAATGTGACCACAGGAAGAAAACAAGTTCAATTTCAGCCGTTACACCATCACCATGACCGCCATGTCCATTTCGCACCATGAACTGAAGTCCAACCAACCTCAAAACACATCCCGAGACAGTGTCTCGGTAAAGGACATCCAGCATCCGGCCATTAAGTTAAGCTTACTCGTCGTTGAGACAACCGGACCGTCCACCCTCGTGCCATTCCGCCTCCACGACCCGCTCTTCGCATTCCAACACACCCGTGCTCATGAACCTTCCAATGTGCTGCTCATTCGGCTGGTTCTTCTAAAAAGCAAGCTCCCCGGGTAGGCTTGCAATATCGGACACCATGTTCTTCGCTGTTCGCTGGCGATTCAGCTTCAGATATTGCGCTGCCATCTTTCGCGGTTCACATTTCCGGATGCTTGTGTCTTCATTACGAACACAAAGTCTTGGGAACAATCCCCGCTCCCGACAATCTTCCTCCTGCCACTCTACCCGCCGCTTCACCTCGTGTCGACGGGTGGTTGTATAGAGAGACTTTCAGGAGAGCAAGATCATAGCTGCACTTAGTCCTCTGAATCAATATCGAGTTAACGTAGGTTAGGGCTGATGTGCGGACACGCCACATTCCGCCCGCCTGATCCTCATAAACGATAGCATATGGTTTGAAAGCATTCTAGCTTTAGAACCTGTGCCGAAGATCTGCCGCTGTGTGAAATGAACGAAAATGGAAACCTCAAGAATAAAATTACAGCTCGTGTACATGCCTCGCGACGGACCATTTCACAAATACGGGAAGAAGAAAAAGGAGAGTGTATGGAGAAAGAGAGCAAGGAAGAGAGAGAGAGAGAGAGAGAGAGAGAGAGAGAGGCAGGGCATAAAAAGGTCCCTAGCTCCAAGCCTCTACCTCGTTGTCATCGTCTGTTCTTCTTGCTGCGTGCTCCTGTTTCTCCGGAATGCGAGTTGGAAGTCGACTGCTCCATTTCAGGACTGCCCAAAAGGTCCGCCACAGTAGGATTGTCGGTAAAGTGAACGGAAAACCCGCCTCCAAGAACGTTGCGGACCGTTTCGATCCTCGCCAGCAGCGACCACGAGTCGACGACCACGACAGTGTCCCCGATGCGCAGCTTTTCGCGGTACCCAAACTCGCTCATTTCTTGGTCATGCTCGACCTTCGTACCACCAGTGTGTGGGTTGGAGGCCGGCCGACCAGATGTCGAGTACCCGGGGCCCTTTCCGTGCTCCAAGGACGTGACGATGCTTGCAAAATGTTTCCGCAAATGCCGGCGGTCTTTCCTTGACATCTGCCTGACCGCCGGCTTGGATATCTGCGCCATGCGGCTGACCAACCTCTTGGGGTCGTATTGCAGCCTCAGGGGCTCCCCCGTCTCTTCTTCTTCGTCGCGTGCTGCCTCGAAGATGAAAGCGATGTTGAATCCCGCGCTCGTTTGGACTTCGACGTCTGTGCTGTCGAGCTGTTCCACGAAGGCCTCCATCGCATCATAGACCTGCGCGGCGATGTCGTCCATCTGACTCGCAACAAATGCCCACGATTGCAGAGCTGCCGTAACTACGGGTCCACTGTCTACTGCGCTGACCGCTTCGCCGTCGGAGTCAACAATGCTGATCAGGAAATCGAGAAACTCCTCGGCCGCAGCCTCAGACCCGCCGGCGAACAGGGCGGCCATGGCCATAGCCAGTACGGCGGCAGCCTTGACGTCGCTATCCTCTTCATCTTCACACGCCGTCTGTAGGGGGGTATATAAATCTTCAAACAAGGCTTCTGACGGACATGTGAGAAGCGTCGCTTGGACCGCCTTCAATGCCAACAACTTCTCCGCCGAGCTGCCGCCGGATCGAACGCTCCGCATAAGGGCCGAGAGAATGTCGGCCGCGGAGCTGCCAATTTCGCGGCCAGCATAGTGCTGCTTTATAAGGTTAAGGTAAGACGCGATGGTCGTCTCGCGGCCCTTGACGTTGCTGCGCTTTCGGTCCTGCAGCTCAGCGATCCGGTCCTGTAGGAGAGACTCCCAAGTTGAGGCCTGGGTCTCGTCGGAAACGAATTCCGAACCGTTGGAAAGTGTGCTGCACGTCAAGCTGTCGTCGTATTCGTTGTCGTCGGATATTTCCTCCTCGGAGGCGTATCGGCTCCCTGCGCGCGAGACTGCCGGAGAGCCGATGGGAGAGTTCCTGGCGGAGCCTTGCGTAGACTCGGGTCGTGAACGCGCCTTTCGCGATACAGTTTTGCCGCTCTCGCGGAGCACCTTAAGACGAAGGTCGCGCATAGTGGGCGGGCTGCGAAGTGTACTGTCCCAGCTATCTGGTTTGTGGTGTATCGAGATTTGAGACCTCGAGCTCGTCGGGAATCCAAAGAACACAAGGTCAGACTTCACACGTCTAACGACAGTCGTGTTCTCTTGTCAGACGGGCGCGTTGTTGGTTCTACTTAGACAAGTTCGAATGGTGCTCCGGCTGTGTTGGGTAACAAAATCGTCCCTGCGCGGCATTCCGGTATGGGTAAGTAGCTGTGGTGGCGATGAACTCGGCGTAGCGAGAGCTTCTGTAGAATCTGTAGAATATTGGAACAGGGTAGAACGGCTACCGGCCGGGGCAGAGTTAGTGGTAGGTCATAGGGAACGACTATTTGTAGGTAGGGCGGTAAGGCAGAAAGTAAGTGTATGAAGTACGAAGTGATAGGAAATTACGAGGGGTGTCGGGTACCATACCTAGTGTTGTTAGGTGGCAAGGAATGAATAATAAAAACCACGAGACAGGGAGGGTTGTGGGAGCAGAAAACCGGGCCCAACAAGAAACCAGTGGGGAACAAACTCGGGAAAACGGCTCGAGTCTTACAAAGTATTAGTACACGTGTAAATAGCAGGCTACCTGGCTTTGACGCCCCTAAGGTTGTTGTACGAAGTGGGAAGCAATAATGTGTACATGTGGGCCTATAGCCCCGATCCACATCCCAAAGTTCGCACGCCTCCGTAGAGTGTCAGCTGGGTAACCAAATCACTGATCTATCCATATGGCTGATATAGATAAGCGACGTGATTGTTACTACGGAAGAGGACCTGATGTCCTGAGGTTGTGATTTCGACAAGTCATAAAGGCTCATCGATGCCCAGGGCCTTTAAGAGTAAGGTACGTAAGCAGCAAGGCTTGAAAGCGGAACAATTTTTTTGCTTTCCTTCTTGGAACCGCACATCAGTGAGCTGGCAACCTGCTTTACAACCTGGAATACACTATATTTCGTACCTGATTGCTCAATGTCAAGAATGGGGTGATTACCGTAGGGAGTTTCCGACGCCTGATGCTCATACGTTGTACTCATTCGTCTGAGATGGAGAGAGAATGATGCAATCACTGTCAGATAGCGGGGTAAATTCCCCACAACTCTACCCTGAGATCCCTGCCTGCAGACTGACAGTAAATGTATGACAAGGGCTACTAGGAGTACACTTAATATGTACATCATACGTAACTGTTATGCGGGGTTGATTGGGTTGAGGGCTTTGGGTACCTGGTAGGTACAGACCAGCTTATCGAGCGACAATAAGATAAGGACCATGTCAGCCTGGACCTGCCTAGCACAGGCGTGGCGCGTACCAGATCACAGCAAACACCTTGTCGGGCATTGTGATCTGAACCCGACAGTCTAAGATGCGTCCTATCAAGGTCAAGTTCCGCCCTCCTGAGACAGATTATGCATTACGGAGTATCTCGGCGTATTCGATAATAAAATGAATTAGTAGATTTCCGTGCAGAGTACAATCGAATTGCAAGGTAGGTACATTCGCCCAGGGTACCTTCCCCAAAGGCCAAGGCAGCTACCCAAATTAGAAAGAGGTACCTAATCATCAGGCAACACCTGACGCCTTATCTTCTGCTGACTGCCTGTGAATCTTGATATTCCTTGGATACTATTCTGTGAACCTGTCTGGTCGTCGGATGGTTTCATAAGGTAAGGTAATCTCAGGACCATTTCCGCTTGACGAATATCCAGGGCCGCTACCTACCTAGGTACAGGCTACGCGGATATTTCACCAGCTGTACTTTCCATGGTCTGCCATATTCGAAGCGGGTAGGGCCAACCCCGTCTGTGACAGTGTACCTTACCTTCAAGTACCTTCCCTGCTAAGGCATCAAAGGTGCTTCTTGCCTAGGTACCTAGGTATATCTTTATCTGCATCTCTTCCTGCCTTACCTAAATAAAAGTGGGCAAGAGTTGTTTTAAGGTGGTAAGAAGGTCGTCGCTGCTGCTTGAACGCTGGCCTCCATGCCCCACTTCAGTTTCCCCTCCTTGCGCAGCGTCCCCAAGTCCGTCAATGGTCTACAGAGGTAAGATCTCGTTCGTCCGTGCCCTTTTATAGCTCTCTTCACCTTATTCTTACCCATCTTCGTCGATTCAACTGTTTCTCCAGTTACCTGCCGGTATTCTTCCTTTCCCGACGTATCTTATCTTCTATTCCTCACTGAGGCATGGGATACGAACATGCAAGGTATCTACTCCGTGTCTGACTGACCACAAGTCTTCCCAAGATCCAGGCGCTATAGTTGAGACCATTCCTCGTTCTCATTGCATCTGGGCTGCCGTCTCCTCTCCTGCGGCTGTCAACTTGAACCTTAATCAGCCCCACGTATCTAAGGTCGACGCACACACTTTCGTGCTTCTCCTTTTTCTACGTATTCGGACTTCTCTGCCACTTTTATTATCTGTCGCCTGGATCCGGCTTGGTCGTGGAGGCGATCTACGAGAAGTCGAGTCGTCAGCTTACTCCATACTCTCTCCAGCAATCACTCCACGTATATTATAAAGTCGAGAGGGTGTCATCCACTCCAGGAGGAATCGCCAATATGGTAGCTCAGGACGACTCGTCCTTCAACACCGGTATCCATACTTTTCCAGCCTTTCCCCCTGTGTGTGTTTTCTCCGGGCCAGACGTTGGCTGACTACCTTATGGCTTGTCAACTAGTTCGCATACATCTGTCCTTTCAGTTCCCGCAGTCCGATGATCCCTTCCCCGAGCGCCGTATTGTTCTCACCCGAAACAATCCCTGCGCGAAGGTAGGGAGGACGAGCAAGAGCAAACCGAACCTGTCCGCTGCTATGGACAACTGCCTCCTGGATAATCCGGTTATTAGCCGTGACCATGCTGAGATATTCGCAGAGTTCGATAGTGAGGTAAGGAAGCTTCGATAAGACCGCACCTTTACCCTTAACCCTATCTGATCGCGCTCCCCTGATCCCTGGCCTGACAGCCTTGAAGATGTTGCTAACTGTTCTTGCAGGCCGTATATGTGCGGGACCAGGGGTCTCGCCATGGTACATTCCTGAATCGCGAGCGTGTTCAGCCCAATCAACCCCAACTTCTCGCATCGGGGAACACCCTTCGCTTCGGCACAGATATTCAACGTGACTCGGATCTCTACCCCCCACCCGCAGCCGTGGTTAACATCGAGTTTGATGGTGAAGTCGACGAGACCCAACCTACCAGTTGGCCGTCGCAGCCCTCCGTCGGCTATAGAGCTCCTGATCCTTTGGGGGACAGTGACGGCGACTCAAGCGACGAAGAAGATATTGCGGCCGTGCGTCACGCTGTGAGGACGCTGCGTGAGGCGGGCTTTCATCGAACCGCTGAGATTCCGACCCAGCGGCCCAATGCCGAAGTTGATGTTGAGCATTCCACCAACTTCAGTAAACCCATCATCATTGACCTCGAGGGTGACACAAGCAAGACTGGTCGCAGCGAAGTCATCGACCTCACCGGCACTGGTGAGTCCCAGAACAATACGCACACCTTGGCCCAGCCCGAGAACACCCCTGGGTCTCCCGTGGTCAGTAGCTCGAGAGAAAGGGACGAAGACGAGTATATCGGCGCTTCGGAGGGCCGTGTTAACGGCCAGAGATACACTCCAATCCAGGCTAACATTGACCAATCTGCGGATATCTCAATCGATGAGTCTGGCGAGGAGGACAATTCGGTGTTTCGGCTTGATGAAATTACCGGTAACTGGCCTGAGACCGAGGACTCGGACCAGGAGGTCGCAGACATGAACGAGGGCTCAGAGTACGACCTCGAACCCACTGATTTTAGGGAGGATTGGGAGAGCGGCTGTTCCTCTGTCATGCGGCAACTACATCGGAGCTTTGAACAGAGTCGACATGGACCCGATGGCGCCCTTCCCGACCTAAGACTAGGTCGTACTCCAGAACATCGTACACCGGATTTTCCCAGACTGGGTGTTATGTCCAGTCAAGGCCTCTTACAGGAGCCACGTCCAACCCCGCTTCCAATCCTCCCTTCTCTGACCCAGGTGACGTCGGAATTGCCGCCGGGCCTTGATAAATATGTCGAGCTTCCGCCCATCCTGAGATTGAAAAGCCGTTCGGATTCCTCTTTCTTCCCTGCTTCTGAGTCAAGATGGTCTTCCGAGCCCGGCGGCGCCGTTGATTCGGTGAGTGAAGCGTTGAATCAAGCCAAGATACCACCTTGGCGAGACCCCGTAAGAGTTCTTACCCAGAATTTCGGGTGTCACAAATAAACGGTTAACTGACACTCATGATGTTATTAGAATCACGAGTCTAGGAAGATGCTGGGTGTGCACCAGGATTCTACAGAGGTGCCAGATTCGACGGCAACTTGGCCGGCCTCTGCCATTGAGACAGTCCCGTCGACGCAACACGAAGATACAATGGAAAGCATTCTACCCTCGCATCAGGTCCCTTCAGCTATGCCCGACGCACAGCGTTCGACCGATGGTATGTCGCTTGTGTCGGACACTCGGTTTATTTCACCCCGACCCGCTGAGACTGCTGAGCCGGTTGACACTGCTGTCGCAGAAGCTGAGGCTTCGGACGAACCGCGCGAGGATAGTTTTGAAACCGGGTCAATGAAGCGGAAAGCCGACCACATCTCCGACCTCACCACGGCTGAAGTCATGGCTGAAGTCATCACTGAAGTCCCAGCGGCTGAAGACACCCAGGAACCTATGGAAAGCCTAGCAATGGCATCAGAAGTTCCTCGGCACAGGCCCTATAAACGGCTTCGGTCTGTTGCTCAGGCAGCTGGGTATGTTGCTCTTGGTGGTGCAGCGGCTAGCGTTGCCTTTGTTACCACATTGATTGCCACTGCCCCGAGTCTGACATAGGCAGGGTGCGGTTGGGCACATCCCAGTGCCTACATCGCACTGCCTGTATGGTCCTCGTCTTGTCTATTTTCTAGAGGCAGTGAAGGGTCAAGACAAAGGTTTTGGGAGGCTCTGGCAATGACAATTGCATTGGCGTCTACATCGGTTGGACAAATGATTGCTTAAAGGGAGTTTCGGGTTTAGTAGGTGATGTTAGGCTGGTTGATATTATTCCAGGACATCCATTTCTCTGTGCAGCCGTGCAGCGGCGAACGAAAGGAAGGTTAGGTCACGGTCCCGCGGTCCGGTGGATTAGGTAGGCAGGCGCAGGGCGTTTACTAGTATTTGGAGGCAGCAGTTCCCATATCGCCGTTAACTGTGCCATTATTTGTCGCTGCTGGCTGTGCATTAATAAAACTTACACTCTACTTGAAGAACCGGGGCGATCTGTAGAAGCGCCCGCTTCATGAAGATGAGAGGAATGTGACCTCCTGAAACCTGCGCTAGGGATGTCTCACAGGGCGGGCATAGGAGTAGCCTACGTACTACGTGGCGTGCATCATATCATCTACATGTCACGAGTATATATAAGGCATTTGGCGATTACCAGTATCCTGGAACTGGTCTCTGCGTTGGGGACGCCAAGGCGGTGATGTTTCCAATAAGACCTTCTCTTCATTCTAATATTTTTTTCTCCTTCTTTTACCGGCCAGAACAAAGCTTGGAAGGGAATCACCACGGAAGTCATGTGGTAAGGTGCTGCGTTGTTAGATTTGTTTCTCGATGAGAAATAGGGCGGGGAAGAGAACATTTTGGGGGAGTGTATGCCCGGCGATTTACCTTGCCGCACATGCATGTCGGCTGGCTCTCTGGACCCCTTTGGAGATGCTGTCGCAAAGGAAAGGAGGGCAGGGAGTGGATAGGGAACACAAGGGGGTAATTTTTAGGCGGTCGTGGCGGGTCATCAGCTAGTTGTGCATATGTCGGGAGAAAGAATCTCCAGAGGAGAGCCAGGGGGGGGTTATGATGATGGATTACTCGCTGACGTTGACGAATATCGGCGGTTACACGAGGTCGAGATGAGATGTTTGGAGCCCAACAAGACAGGACGCATCACCGGTGCAAGGAATGACAAAGAATATTTTCGATTCGCGCCCGGGACAGAGAGTAAGACGCGATCGCTTTGAGGAGGGAGGGGAACGTTGTTCGTGTATGTTGGTGTAAGAGTAAGAGTGAGATAGAGAAAACCAGAGACACGAAAACAGGAGAGACGACGGGAGCCCGAAGATACCCTTCTCCTTAACTTCTTCTAACCGGGCCTCGCGAAGCTAATGGAAAGAACAGTGCGGAACGTGAGTGTGACAAGCTTGTTAGCTTCGTGCCATCGCAACAAGGACGTCTCTCATCGGTGTGTCCGGTGAGGCTGCAGCCTACGTGCTCGGATTTATGATCGGAATCTCGGGGTTCGTTGGGAAATGGGAGCCTAATTCCCTCATTGACAAGAATCAGTCAGAAGGGGAGTAGATGGCCCGAGGCAAGGGAGGGTGATGCTCCGTAGATGCGCAACAAGGTAGGTAGTCAAGTGTGAGCAGGTTGCGTGGAAGATGTGATTGGGGCAAGTTCGAGCCACGCAACGAATATGGTATGGTTTTCTGGATGGCGTACAAGGCGTCCCAACCAACAAGAGGGGTAGAAGGATGCTCGTCTGGTGGAAAGGATGGGCGCGTGTCGGCGTGAGACTTCAGAGGGGCATATCCTGTCCTGGAATTGTCGTCGTTTGTAGCAATGGTCGACGTCCCTCGGGAGAGCGCCAGGTGGGTTTAGATTGTAATATGATAGATGTTCAAGGTGCAGGGGAGAGAGAGAATGAGAGAGCCTTCGGAAATGGAAATCGCCAACTTTAGAAACGTCTCAGTTGTTGGGCGTCTTTCCACTGCAGTGTGCAGATCTTCCTTGCCTATAATCACATCGAGGACTCTGGCTTCAGGTCGAGACATCCGATCAAGTCGTACAGATGAACACAGGGGAAATATCCTTCAGCCTACCATGTTCTGCACGCCAAGATGTCTCGTGATATCAGAACATGGGCTTTTACTGGCGACTTAGACCCCGGTGAGCCCTGATGATAACACCGACGCAATAATAGGGTAACTGGGGGGAAACAAGGGGGGGGAGGGGCGGGAGCAAGGGGCGGTGGGGGATGATATTCAGAGATCAGGACACCGGGGGTGCCCGATTACTCTGCCGTTCATGATTTTCGGGTTTGGTGTGACCGCCTGATATTAGTCTTTTATGTTCCGTGATGGGTACCAATACCCTTTGCGGTGTTATCGTGATGGGTCATCCGACTGGGCTCTGTCGCAGTCATGGGTGCAGCGAAAAGCGCGAAATTCCAAGACCTTCAACACCCGCCGGTCAGTTCTAACTAAACTCCCTTGTCCTCACTATCCCATCTGGTCTCCTATTTTTCAAGGCGCATACGGCGGCAAAGAATCATTATGAAACTCTCCGACGTGATACCGCTTGCCCACCTCAAAAGCATTTCTACTATACTTCGATGTCCCCGAGGCCTGACTCAAAATGCCAGCCAACAGCTGACCATGATGTCCTAAGAGCAGAGCGTTGTCATCGGTTCGTCCGGCCGTCCCTGCGATGCGGCATGGACAAGTACCGAGTTAGCCGACATCGATCTTTATCCTATGTCATCTCACAGCTAGACACTGCCGAAAGAAGGGAGTCATTGTCTCGGGAAATATTCGCCCCCATAAACCCAACGCGCCTCCTTTGACTCTCGTACTGCGTTACAGACGGTCAGTCCCGCTTCTTTTCGGACAAGGCAAAGAAAATATGAATGGTTGGTTGGTCGGATGTTGGACCTTCTGTAGACGGCCACGTTGCTGTCGACTTCGGCGACAGCGCTGATATCGAGGGCACTACCCGACAATGTGGTTCCGATCAAGGCATCGTTCAAGAAGTGATCTTCTCCGTGTCCCTTGTTTCTTTCTCTTTCTTAGTCCAATGACGCGTAATTTTTCATACATACCGGCCTGCAAAACAGAGCACAGCGGTACGGAGCAAAACGCAGCAGGGATGATCAGAACGGGGAAAAGGCCGCAGGCACTACTGAGTACAGACGGTGGTCCCATGAGAAAGTCTGTCGGCCCAGCGTTCGGAACTCAGTAAACCAAGATGGTGTTAGCTGACCATACTGGGAACTCAATGCCCCAGGGGCAGGCCCCCTCTCAGCCCATTCGAGTCGGGGTTAACGGTCAAGAAATAATGCAAGTACCCGTAGGTAGATGCAACCAGCCGCTGTGCCGTGCCTTGGCATCGCATGGGAGTCTTTGATCTCAGAACTCGAACTGGAGTGGAAGGAGATTGAAAGGACAAAAGCGAACAGCACTGTTCATCCACATTGTTCGGTTCCGAGACGGCTACCTGCAGCTATATGCATGATCACTTAAGCCTCCTTAAGTTGACCGACCGTGGGGGCGGCGGGGCTGTTGAACTGGGGGTTGACCGCCCATCGAAACCGTCCGACTCGTTCGGACGAGGCACCACACACTTCAACAGTCCAACCAAGATAGCCGAGGGCCCGGTGAGGACGATCAGATGAGCCCGAGTCGCAGGTAAACGATGAGGTGAGACAAGAACCGACCGGAGGGACGGGTTGAGATTGACAACCCAAACCGAGTGACGGGACAAGACCGTTGTCTTGTCACAGCTGGTGCAGGACAAGACCAAGAAACCCAGCTTGACCGGGGAGTCATTCGGCGGTCGAGATTGCACGCGTTCCACCGCCGTTCTTCTCATCTGACGTGATGCAAAGCTTCTCCCGCCTGAAAGGGTAACGTAACAAGCTGTTTCGAGTCTTCCGCTCGCCTCCAACTGGCTGGAACGAGACAACCTCTCCCGACACCAACAAAATCCGCTCACAGTCACAAGACCGCGGACTATCCCTTCAACCCCCCTGGCTATATTGGCTCCTGTGGGTGAATGTGCTCGTTTAAGGGCGCCCAGAGTTGTCGGAAGCGTGAGGGGGCTGCTTGTGTTCTGCCGGATTAACATACCATGCCAAGTAGTCAAGACCTGAGGAGCCTGCCGACCTTGTTCGACGACTATATAAAGTCCAGGGTGGGAAGCCTCGACGGTGGGGGTGAGGCCTTCAACCCATCCTCATAACGGACTCTTCGTTCTCCGGTCTCTGTTCTCTGTTCTCCGCCTTCCGCCTGGACGTTTACCAAACTCGAATTCCCCTTCTTCAACCTCGTCTACTCACTCTGAGAAGAGTTCACGACAGTCTTCAACACTCGATTCTCGTTGTCATACACGCCATCATCACTTTCGACTGTCTCAATAATGACTCGCGTATCAGATGATGAGGTCTGCGGATGCATCCAAGGATTTGGAACGCCGGCACCTTGTCCTGACTGCACCCCGTTTGGAAAGATGTACCAACATCCGTATGTCAGACAGAGAGACCCAGACACCTCTATCCAAGCTAACCAGGATGGTACTGAATCTGGGGGCGACAGGTCCACAAGATGCCGTTCCTGCGGCGGGCTGAGCATCGTCTTCTATAATCCTCACATTCCCAATTCCATGCCGGGTGGCAGTGCCCAGACTCAGAGCCCCCCATCCGGTAGCGGAAATAGTCAGACTTCACAGTCTGGTGGCAGCAATGGCGGAGCAGGGTCCTCCAGAGGTGGAGCTTGAGGACGCCATCAGTCATATCCTTTTATATCAGGAACGTGAAATAGACCACGACTTCATCTGACGTTTCTCGGTGTCTTGTGAACGGTCGATACGGGGTCTCCTGCGTGCTTATAACGGCATTGTCGTCCTAATAGCCCTTGGGAGCACTTCGGAGCACTTGTACAGGCTGTATCGAAAACTGGGTTCGATCCCAAAGTCGTCCTAGGCTCCCAGCTGAACCCTTGTGCGCCGCGCAGGGGAAAACATTGGACTTGTATAACATCGTGGCAACCGCTCGAATTCCAAGTCAACCTATCCATATACTGTATCGGTTAGAGTACCCTAGGATGGCTCCCTAGGGTTCCATATAGCGTCGAGGAAACCAGAGTGGCTTGAAGGGCAAAGCGAGGTGATTTTGACATCGAGTCCCCCTATTTGCTGGGTTACTAAATTGTGTCAACAAGGAAGGAAATGTGATATGGAGCACTGCCAGGTAAGATGGATGAGTTGAAAGTGAGTTTGGTCGAGTTCAGTACGGAGAGGTGAGGTGAGGCGTAGTACGGAGTAGGAGTGTGCAAATGTAACTTCAAGGAAGGTGTGTAAATAATCATTTCATACGGTGTTGATGACTAATTTATAGCCCCACACGCCGAAATTCAATGTCCAAGCTCCCCTCGCAGGTACTTCATCCTTTGTACCGAATCTATACATTCTCTGGTGGGGTTTGACTGGGAAGCTCTCACCTTCATACTGCCATCGCCAATTCCCCCCAGCTACGGTTTACGAGACATCACCTAAAGTCCAATGCGACCACTTGTGCTACTGCGCTCAACCACGACAGCCATACTCCAATCGCATTCTTTATCGCATTTTTTATCGGAATTTTGACGTGTACTATGCGACGGTCAAGACGTGGATCTTGTGCACTCTAACAGCCCACCATGTCTGTAATCCTTTGCACGGGTAAGTTTTGTCGATCCAGTTTCCTGTTCGCCCATGGCCCCCGTTCGCGGTTACTTCAGGCTACCAGCGAAGGAATGTCATTGCTAACTGATACTAGCGGGATATGACCACACAATTCGGTATGAGAACGATCGTTGTCCTCCTTGAAACTCTTGTTGCGAAGCTCGTCCCTATCCTAACCGAACCACGCTGGTGACAGGTTCTGGGAAGCCCTCTCCGGCATCTGCTCCCGAACAATCCAACACCCGGACTCGCAGGTCAATCGCCTCTGCATTTCCCCAGACAAGCGCTTCCTCGCTGCCGCCGGCCACCACACGGTCAAGCTCTTCGACATCAAATCGACCAACCCTAACCCGCTGCTAACCTTCGAGGGCCACACGGGGAATATCACAGGCGTCGCCTTCCACTGCGAGGGCAAATGGATGGTCACGAGTTCCGAGGATGGCACTGTCAAGATTTGGGAAACACGTTCCGGCCAGGTACAACGCAGCTACAACCACGGCTCGCCCGCCAACGACGTCGTCATCCACCCCAACCAGGGCGAGATCATTAGCTGCGACCGCATGGGCAGCGTCCGCGTCTGGGACCTCGCAGAGAACACTTGCTCCCACCAGCTGATCCCCGAGGAGGACGTGTCCGTATCAAGCGTCACCGTCGCGAGCGACGGCTCACTCCTCTGCGCCGCCAACAACGCTGTATGTACATTGAAATGCCCTTTAGTTCTCTCCTCCTCCCCCTCCCCTTGTCTCCTTTTTACCCCTTTCTCCCCTTGTCCGTCCCCTCGCACTCGACATGGCTGACCAAGGGTAACCCCCCCCACCTGCAGGGAAACGTATTCGTCTGGCACCTAGTCCAGTCCATGGAGCGCACCCAGCTCGTCCCCGTCACCCACTTCAGCGCCCACAAAGAATACATCACCCGCATCCTCCTCTCCCCAGACGGCAAGAAGCTCGCCACCTGCAGCGCCGACCACACCGCCAAGATTTGGGAAGTCACTGACCTCGACCCCGCTACCGAAGACGATGGCCCGCGCCCTTACCCGCTCGAGGCCACCCTTACCGGCCATCAGCGCTGGGTCTGGGACTGCGCCTTCAGCGCCGATTCTGCCTACCTCGTCACCGCCTGCTCTGACCACTACGCCCGCCTCTGGGAATTGCACAGCCAGCAGATCATCCGCCAGTACAATGGTCACCATCGCGGTGCCGTCTGCGTTGCCCTAAACGACTACTCCGAGACTAGGTGAACGGTGCATGCGTCATTGGTGACGGTGGATACGTGGAGAATTCTTTATAGTTGGTGTAATTACGGACCTTCTGGCAGTGAAGGAAGAGAGTATGGGGCTTGGGGTATTGGATGGAACGGTGAGCTAGTGTCAGCTCCCAATTTTTCTTCTGGTCCTCTTATTCCGGGTATTTGCCTCACTACGCCTTTGATCTTCTATTGTCAGTCATTCTTGGGTTTGCTTGGTTTGGTTCAGGATCTGGGATATCAGGGCGAAACGGCATGGCGTCTGGAAATCCATAGCAAGGAGCTCAGTTTTTCATCAAGCCCTGGTAAGGGGTGTCATTATTGACGATATCGACGTTCCGCTTTCTATCCTGATCAACGACTTCCAACGCAACATGATGGTATCCTAGTTTTCGAAGAAGGCTGCCTGTCCTGCAAACCCCCACCATGGGTTTGCCCAGCTTACATGAATCTCTCCCCTGCCATCCATACAACCCTACAGCCTGGACGGTTATTTCTCCGTCATGCACGACTGCTCTGCTGCTCTCTCACCATCCATCCCCCCAGCCACCATCGTCTTCGCCCGTATCCTTCGGCTTCATGTCGATCTTCTTGGGGACGACAGGTTTGGAGACTGGCTTAGCGACCGCCGACTTTTTCGTTGTTGTACTTGTGGAGGCGGAGGACTTGGTCAACCCCCTGGGCAAAGGCTTTTTCGTCCCGCTCTTCTTCTGGGCCTGCGCCGCCAGCCAGCCCGCAAAGTCGGGCTCAGCCCCATCATCAAGTGGTGTCGCAGTGGCCGGGGTGGCTTTGGAAGACGAAGAGGAGGTCGGTCTCGCCGTGGCGGGCTGGGTCGACGCGTCAAAGTAGTTGTCTTCATCGTCCATTTCGCCCCATGCGTCCGCATCGTTGGCGCCGGTGTCTTCGAAGAAGGCATCTGCGGAAGAAGCCTGGGTTGGCGCGGTGTGCGAGCTGGCCGGTGGAGGCGACTTGAGGGCTTGCCTATGCAGTGAAGACGCCGATGATGTCGGTTTCCTCGCGTCGGGAACGGGAGATGTTGCTTGGCGAGGAGTGGAACCCCCGGAAGCAGTACCATTGGTCTGCATTTCTCCTGCTGCCGAAGAGAGTTTATTGGTGAACGAGGATATTGCCCATCCAGCCCAGGAAGAGCCTTCGCTGGGCTGAGGTGTGCTCATCCGCGGTGCGCCTGCCACGTCCGTGTTGTTCGGCGGAAGAGCTGTATCAGGCATACTGGCGGCTGCCTTTCGAATTCTTTGCATGTAGACCTCCATCGTGGTAGCAGCTTGATCCCGAACAAGTTTCTCCTTATCGACGAGCAGCGGGCACACGGCCGGCATAATACGGGTGGCAATGTCCTCTGTCGTGAAGTGCTCGTTCGTGGCCGCCAAGGCCATGAGGGCAGCGTTCCGCGCATGATTAAACGGATCCCGCAGAGACCGCGTGAAGGCAGCGATCAGCACCTTCGCCCTCGTAGACGACCCAAGATTCTTGGCAATCTTTCCAAGGCAGATGGTGGTGTTGGTCCGGAGACCGGGTTGGTCGTCGTTGGCCGTCTTGGCCAGATGCCTCAAGAGCTCGCCGTTGATGGTGCGATCCGACAATTTTGTGACGAAAACAAGGACGGATTTGACCGTCTGCTCGCGGACTATTGGTGCGGCATCTGAAAATCCGGTGACAATCTGGGGGAAAATTTTGTCGTTGACGGCCTTCTGCGGCAACCGGTCTATCAGGTGTTGCAGGTTGTCGAGGAGGCACACGCGAATGGCGCGATCTGGGTTCGAGAAAAGTCGGATGATGGCCGGCATCACCTTGGCTTCGAAGTCATCTTTCGAGAGTTGCCCCGTGATCTTCATGACAATACCCAGCGCCTTCGGGCCGCCTCCGCCATATTCAACCGACTTGAGCAGCTCGGGAAGCACCTTCATCTTGAAGAAGTCCTCCGGGAAATCCTCCGACATCATCTGGTCAAGGTTCCTGTCTCGGTTAGTGGGTGCGATTTTGAACCAGAGGGAATACGCGACGAGGTCGAGTCGACTTACTCCAAGAACATTTCCCGTTCTGTCTCCGACTTGACGCCAAGATTATCGAGTCCGTCTGTCAGCTTGATCAGAGGGCTGTCAAAGAAGCCACCGGCGCGCGAGCCCTGGTCTAAGAAATGCGCAATGCTGAGGCGGGCCTTGGGGTTCGCATTCACGAGCCGTTTATAGCTCGCATGCATGGACGGGGGGATATTTTTGGTCTGGCCTGCTCGATCCGAGCTCGTGAAGTCGCCGTTGAAGGCTTCGAAAATGAGGCACCCTAATCCAAACGAATCCACAGCCGAATGAGGGCTCTTCTTGATCGCACCCCAACCATCGCGAGCAAGTTCCGGGGGCGCATAGCGGGCCGCCTCGGGGACGAGACTGCCATGTGTCTTGGGTCCGGTTAGCACGACTCCCTCTCCCAAACGTGTGCTATTAAAAACCAAACCGTACGTAAATGACAGCTTCATCGTCTTTGATATTGCTCAATAGCTCAAACCCCCCTAGCTTCCACTCGCCGCTTTCCGATGTGTACACAGAGCCGACTCGAACGCTACCGTGTATGGAGGCGGCCTCGTCATTGATGAACTTGAGAGTCCTCTAGGGTCACGTTGTTCATCAGTAAGGAAGCTCGTAGACGCTGATTCGAAGAATAAACCCACCGCAATACTGTGTAGACCCCATTTTATTGTCTCCGGATTCAGACTTTTCCTCCTCACATGCCATCGCAGCGGCACCAGCCTTTCGGTCGCTATGTAGAGATGGGTGTCGGTCTAGAGTACCCAGCGGATCAGAGATGGGTAAACCGGGCAGTGACGCCTCTCGAGGGTGGGGAATCATACCTCCACGGTATCCAACACCTTGATGACGCCGGGGTGTCGCAAGGTTCTTAGCTTTCGCAGGGCATTCTTGGCCAGTGGCAGTCGAGACTTGTTGGCAGCGATATCGAAAGAGAAAATGCTGCAGTTGGATCCGTCCTCCTAGATGAGAGAGAGAGAGAGAGAGAGAGAGAGAGAGAGGTGTCAGCTGCTATGTTGGACAAGCCGTTGAATATCGACAGGAGAGGACACACGAACCTTCTTGGTGCCGTTATGAAGCGTCCATATAGACTGCTCAACATCAACCCTGTCGCCGATAGTGTAGGGCAACGGTGGCCCTTGGGAGATGGCCGATGCTACAGCGGAGAAGAAATTCATGGTGGAGGGCAGCTGGTGGGAAGACGAGGATAGGGAAGGGCGGGAAGAAGGCGCATCCGGGCGCTGTCGCAATTCGTAATTTTCGGTGATAGCGCAGTCTACTCGAGTCGTTGCTACCGGCACAAAAGACGAGCCCTCCTTGGTGAAGGAATCCCGGAGATAATTCCACGGTGAGAGGATCGTTGATGGTTAACGGTTAATGGTTGATGGTGCGCGTGCCTGCGTGTCCAGATGCTGGTACTGTACCAGGCCAATATCCGGAGTAGCCCCCTACACGTATTTCGTACTTGCCTTGTACGGAGTACGAATATGAACTATTAAGGTATTGATCACTTCGTAAGGTACTTTACCTAAGGTAGGTATGGGTTGACGGTACCGAGTCCAAAGTGACGTGCGGTGCCAATGAACCCCCTGGTAGGTCTATGAGGTACGTACGAGGCTGGCAGCCGCATCCCCGCGCTAAACCGTTCTGATCTTGGTCCAGGTTGATTGATTGGAGGGGTGGATAATTACCTACGGAGTACGAAGTACACGTACATTGTACCTACCTTTAGGTCCAGCGGCTTGGCTCAGTCGCACCTGCGCTTGTCGCGAGCTGCTTCTTCACGTTCTCCTTCTTCACACATCGCTTTCTCGCTTCTTCTTCTTCTTCTTCTTCCCCGCGCCATATTTTTCACCTATTTCAATGATTTTGGGATGAAGATGCGGAAAGCCCTGCACCATCGAGAGTTCCGGAGACAAAAGGACAGCCTGGATTGGGTTCTTATCCTTGCTTCGACTTTGATAGCCCACTCGCACTCGCGGATGGCTCGAAGCTTTCCCCATCCCCAACGTCGCGAAACCTCCCCAACCTCTCACCTGGCCTAACTTGGCTTCTACCCAGCTGCACCGAGGCTCTGATATAAGGCTTCGTACGAAACCTTCTTACTTGTCTCGGAATTGACGCGTTTCTCATGCATGTCCTTTCACGCGACGGAAGCAACTCGATGCTGGTACTTTCACCGTAGTGAGAGCCGGGACGATTATGCCTTATTCCAGGTAAGCCTTTTTCAGCTACATTATTCGTCCTCCGTACTGTCTCTATATCATTCTCTCTGCCATGCTTTGCTGCTGTGATGACCATTGGTAAAAGGTCCGACAACTTGGGACCCTTCTGGGGTTGCTTTTCTTCACTCTTGCGCCAGCCTTGTCCATTACCTCGCCACACGGCTTGCTCGTGTCATGGTTCACCATGGACCCCGTCAAACATACGGGTATTCTATCAAGAACTTGGAGGTCACATCACCAAAGCGCGTCCTCTTTTGGACTGCGCTGCCGCTTTATGGAGTTCAGCTTTCCGATGTGCTCCACGAAGCTGAACCAAAGGCTGCGGCGAACAGGTTGGGAGGAGTTCTCGGACTCGGCTCCGTTGGATGAGAACTGCAAAACCGCTGTGGTCCCCAGAGTGAGGATACATAAAAGAAACTGAAAAGATCTGAGCACAAAGCAACGGCTCCCTCCCCTCTTCTCTCTGTCTCTTTATCCCCCCCCCCCCCCCCTTTCATGAAGGAGAGGGAGAAAAAATACAGAAAGAAACAGAAACGACGTCCCCGAGTCATCCGCCTCCATATGACGGAAAGCGCCTTATATACTACATGGGAATGACTAACTCGTGCTTCTAAAGGGCCGACGACCAGGGAGTATTTGTTTTTAGTTAGATGCTCGCTTTGCGACACCCGAAACGGATATCCGACCTTCGAACCTCTTCCAAAATTTCCAGTTTAGACCTAAGAAGTCAGTGCGGGAACGAGGTGATAGTACTAATCTGCGGCAGCGGCAGCAGCAGCAGCAGCAGCAGCAGAGCCCGACTTACCCGACGTTACTTCACCGTTCAATAGTGGTGAAGGCACGTTATGACTAGTTCCTTGTCAACTCATTTCCACTAGTCCGATCCCTCCCCTGTCCTCCTTCCCTTACACGACATCGGGGTTGATTGAGAGCCCGTTTCGCCTTCAGAGGCGCAAGATGGTTTCGGATGCTCTCAAACCAGTCGTGGGGAGACAGTGTCTTTATCCAGGCTGCTCTTCCATGCTGATAACGTCGCAACGGTACTGCCTTCAGCATCAAGACTCGCATATCAACAGGCACGACCAGCAGCAAGCTGGTCATGGCCGATCGGTCGGAGGACACTCTTTAGCCGAGGAGGGCTTCCTTCGCAGCCCTGAGCGGCAACATGGTCGGCCCCGTATGGCCCCCGATTCTTACCCCACCGAGCCTGGTCCCTCCATGCATCCGAGACAGTTTGGTCAAACTGGACCCGGCCTTCCTGTCAACTCCCGGCTAGACTCTGAATTCGCCCAACAAGCCACCAAGACAGCTAAAAAGACGGCAAAGACTTCATCAGTTAGCCGGATGTACATGGCACCCTCCCCCCGGATGGTGAGAACTCAGCCTCCGTCCTCCAGGGAATCCTTTGAAGTGGATTCCGCTCGCTTTGAACACCAGTCGCTTGGCGGCCAGCGGATTTCCGATGCTACAACCAGGACCGCCCTATTCAGTCTTCATCCTAGCAAGGGCGCAGGATCGCAGTCCTTCTCCCATCTCCGTACCCCAACCGAGCCAGGCTTTGTTAAACACAATGGACCTCAGACGGCCAAACGAGGGACGGAACTCACAGCACCAACTACGGCACCGCCCAAGGGCCCTTCTAGCGTCAAAGAGGATAAAATGGGTCCCTCAGATTCTCGGGTCAACCGGGGAGACGCGCAGTCGCCATCTTCCACTCCCACGACGGGAAATGTACCGAGCTTTTGCGGGTTCTCGTCTACGAGATTTGCACCTCTCGATATTCCCATCCAAGGTACCGACGAAGGGTTGAGGACAAGTACAAACTCGTTGTCAAACGGACAAGACACATCGAGGTTGAGCTCTTCAATACGCCACCCGATCAGTCGCCCCCCACCAGCACCACCTAACAGATCACTGAATAGTAAGAGCTTCCAGAGGAAGAGATTAAAGATCCCGGCTGCCGTTAAACGAGTACCTTCTGGGCTCCCCCCTCGGCCACTCCGCGCTGCCGTCAAGAGGGTACCTGCTGGGCTTCCACCTGTGCTAATTCCCGACGATGACGGTACGTCGGATGAGTCCGAATCATCCCAATCACCCCAGCGCCCTCAGAAGACGAGAAGGATTCATACGCCGGAACCATCGCTCCCATCGCTCCCATCGGCCAATGGCAATCCCACATCTAGTACTACGATACAACAAGCTCCCCCGATAAGCCAACCTGCAGCCTCTCTTAATCTGCAACATCTCGGTCTTCCGCCGCACCAGAAACCTGCTAATGATTCCTCTCGAGGATCAGTTGCCTCGTCGGTTGAGCGACAACAGCCAGCGCCCTCTACCGTCGAGGATCCTCTTCGCTCCGTAAATACACCCAGTCAGACTGAGGACTGCTTCTCCTTCGTTGGAGAGGAGGAGAGAATCCTGGGTAAGCACAACGGCGGCCAAACACCTTCGCCTCCAGGCGCGACATCGCATGTCTCTCAGGAAGCGCATCGTCTACGGAAGGCCGCGACTTTCGACCAAGCAAAGTTCGATGCAGTGTTTTATGGCCAGGAATTAGCTGGGCCGCCTCCGTCCGGCGTGACGGTACCACCGGCTAAGCAGAAGCGTGCTCCGCCGCCCGGAGAAGATGGCAAGCTTTACCTCAATATCGACCCGCGCATTCACTGGCCTCGTAGATGGACAGATGAGTGGTATGAAAATAAGATGAAGGAGATTCGGGCGCGCGGCGGGCGGAAAGCAAACTGGGGTCGAGCTGCCCAGCGCATGCGTGAGCAGCGGTTGGGTGAAAAGGCCCAGAGCCAAGTGGAAGCAGACGCTGTGGCACCAGCGCAGGCGTCAACGCCACGCTTGCGGGAGCCCGAGCCGTGGATGCACCATCGCCGGATCGACTTTGAGGATCTGTCAGAAGACGAACTGCCCGACTACGTACTGGAAAACCCAGCTTGGGCGCGTGCATGTGCTTGGATGCGTTCGAATGCGGAGGAGCGCCGCCAACGTGCGAAGACATCAGCTGGTGAGGCACTTCGGCGCATTCTCTCCCATACAACGTGACAAACGTATTCGTAGAGGGAGACAGAGAGTGTGTGAGGAGAAGAAACGTTGGGGGGGGGGAAGGGGCATAAGGGGCATAAGGGGCATATGCCCACCAATGACTCCTTGCTTTGTATAATTTATACTCAGGGTAGAGTGAAGTGCACCTGCAACTCCATATATTCGCGGCAATGGACTGACGGATGAGTTGATGGATTTGAATCATTGCCTGTACGAGATGGATCCAGGGATAGATTCTCGAATCACGTTTGCTTCCGCCAACTGAAGGAGCCATAAGCGTCGATATCTCTGGTATAGGCTTCTCTGCTCCCTAACCTGCCCTGGCTAGATTGCTAAAGCACGCGATCTCGCCCGAGGCCTTCTAAACGTACACATACAGAGGGGGTCTGTTCTGCCCTGGAAAATGCATGGAGACAAGGCATGCATGCAGGAGATCTGCAACGTAAACAACACATCGCTATGAGACATTCAAACACCCTCTTTCCCTTTTCCTTCCTCTTTTTTTTTTTCCCGCTCGAAACAAAGGAAACGAGGCAAACAGCGCTTCTTTCTTCCAACTCCCCTTAAAACGAAACGAATCGACGGCAACGCCAAAGTCCGCTAGGCCTGGGTCTGTGCCCTCTTGGCAAGCATGCTCAGGGCACTACCGGCGAGGATGAAACCAGCCTGGTCTTCGCTGACGGCGTGCTTGGTGGGGACGAGGAACTCGCCGGAGCCGTCAGCCTTGCGGACGCGGAGAGAAACATCGCCGCGACCGCCGGCGCGGAGCATATCGTAGAGGCCGACGGTGGAGACGTCGTCGCCGGCGGCGATGCGGTCGTAGTCGGCCTCGTTGACGAAGGTGAGGGGCACGACGCCCTGTTTCTTGAGGTTGGTCTCGTGGATGCGGGCGAAGCTCTTGCAGAGCACGACGCGGGCGCCGAGGAAGCGAGGCTGCAGGGCGGCGTGTTCGCGGGCGCTGCCCTCGCCGTAGTTGTGCTCGGCGACCACCAGCCAGGGCTGGCCGCGGGCCTTCCACTTGAAGGCGAGGTCCGGGATGGTGTGGCGCGAGCCGTCCACGTCGTAGGCGGCGTTGACCTCGCCCGTCTCGGCGTTGACGGCGGTGTGGAGGGTGTTGGCGCTAATGTTGGCCAGGTGGCCCTTGTATTTGAGCCAGGGCCCGGCGGCCGAGATGGTGTCGGTGGTGCACTTGCCTGTTACCTTGACGAGCACCTTGAGACCCTCGAGGTCACCCTCGGGGAAGGCCTCGAAGGGCTCGAGGAGGGCCAGGCGCTCCGAGGTCGGGGAAATGGCGACCTCCACGCCCGGGTTGGGCCCGTCTGGCGAGAGGGCCTGGAGGGACTCGACGCCGGAGACGAAGGGGGTCCTGGGACCTTCGAGACCCTGGGGCGGCGCAAAGCGGAACGACTTGCCGCCCCCGGGGGTGGTGAGTTCATCGGTCACGGGGTTGAAGGTGGTGGAGCCGGCGTAGGCCATGGCGGTGACGATCTCGGGGGAGGCGAGGAAGTTCATGGTGCCCGGGTTGCCGTCGTTGCGACCTCGAAAGTTGCGGTTGTAGGAAGTGAAGATGGCGTTGGGGGTGCCCTTCTTGACATCGTCTTGGCGCTTCCATTGGCCAATGCAAGGGCCGCACGCATTGGACAGGACGATACCGCCGGCACCCTCGAGGGTCTGGAGGGTGCCGTCGCGCTCCAGGGTGGCCCGGATCTGTTCGCTCCCCGGCGTGATATAGAAGGGTGCCTTGGGCCGCAAGCCGGCCTTCTCGGCCTGTGTCACCATGCTCTCGACCTTGGTCATGTCCTCGTACGAGCTGTTGGTGCAGCTGCCGATCAGACCGGCGGAGAGGGTGGTAGGCCACTCCTCTTGGGCCACTGTGGTTGCGAATGCCGACAGAGGGGTGGAAAGGTCGGGGGTGAAAGGTCCGTTGATATGCGGCTCCAGGTCGGAGAGGTTGATCTCGATCACATCGTCGTACTGCGCGCCCTCGTCGGGGCGGAAATCGAAGCTGCCCCAGCTCCTGAAAGACGCAAGCGCCTTGTGCTGCTCGGCTCTCCTGGTCTGCAGCAGGTAGCGCTCCGACGCCTTGGTGTAAGGGAAGATGGAGGTGGTGGCGCCGACCTCGGCACCCATGTTACAGATGGTGGCCATGCCCGTGGCGCTCAGCGACTCGACACCCTCGCCGAAGTACTCGACGATGTAGCCGGTGCCACCACGAACGGTGAGCTTGCCGGCCAGGGCCAGGATGATGTCCTTCGGGGCAGCCCATCCGTTGAGCTGACCGGTCAGCTTCACGCCGAGAATGCGCGGGGCCTTGAGCTCCCAGGGGGCGCCGACGAGGGCTTCGACGGCGTCAGCACCGCCGACGCCGATGGTGATGGTCGACAGACCGCCGGCGTTGGGGCTGTGGCTGTCGGTGCCCAGCATCATCAGGCCCGGGAGGGCGTAGACCTCGAGGACGGTCTGGTGGATGATGCCGGCGCCGGGGGGCCAGAAGTCCATGCCGTACCTCCTGGCGGCGGACTCGAGGAAGTCGAAGACCTCCTTGTTTGTGCTGATGCCCTCGGACAGATCGCTCTCGGCGCCCTTCTCGCCGACGATGAGGTGGTCGCAGTGGATACTGGCCGGGATGGCGGGCTGGTCGAGGTTGCAGGACATGAACTGCAGCAGGGCCATCTGGGCCGAGGCGTCCTGCATGTTGACGCGGTCCGGGTTGAGCTTGAGGTTGGCGCTGCCGCGGATGCTGCGGCCGTTGTCGGTGTTGGTCAGCAGGGACTGTTCGACATCGTCCAGGTGGCTGTAAAGGATCTTCTCGGCGAGCGTCAGGGGTTGGTTGCCGAGCGTGCGGCGGACCTCGAGGAGCTTGCCGTGCAGCTTGCGGTAGGTGTCGGGCTTGATCGACTTGGGGAGGGAAGGACGCAGGGCGGCGTCAAGCTGGTCGATGTTCATGTTCCCGGCGACGGCGGCAAAGTGCCTTGTGTGAGGACGACATGTTAACCGGGATAAGCCCAGTTGCCCGGGTCGGGAACGTGTGAAGATGCCCTGTTTACAGCCAACCCCATGTCTTGTTAGAATGCATGGTAATTCTGTTGCATGTTGCTCGCACTTTTTCTGCCTTCGACTAAAGGATACGATACATTCCTTCCCATGAGGTCCAGAAACATATTACATACCTTTGCAATGCCCCCAGACCGGGTGGCAAGCTCAATTGGCGTCATTGTCGCTACAACAAGCACCCTCCCAAAATGCCGTGAGCGGATGACTGGCTGTACCTCAAAACTTGTCGCGAGAAGTTGTTGGCGGGGGCGGGAATGTGTTTTGGGGAAAGAATTTCGAAATTCTTTTGGAAATGGGCGATGTCGGATTGGTCTGTTTCCTGGTTGCTCGCGTGCTCTAAGGTACCCATGCGGGGAGTTTTAGGTACAACGTACACGTACAGCGCTTTGTTCCGGTGTTCCGGTTGGTTCCCCCTAAGATATCGGCTTAGCACTCTTTTGTGGGACTGGTCCCCCATTTCCCCGGGTCTCTCTGGAGCATTAGAGGAGGTAATTACGTTGTATCCGTACAGCCACGGTACAACGCACAACTGTGTGTCCGTAAAACCTACAAAGTCCGATCTCGGCTCTCAGTTCCTCACCGAGCGAGTAGATTGTCCTCACCGAACCTGCTCACATCATGTTCCCTTCTTGGACCTCTCTCTCAAAGAAAAGACATCATATTTCGTGCTATACATCTAAAAGGATGCACGAGAAGCCCCCAGGAAACCTGATAACTCCCCCTCTTTATATTCACAACATAAAACGTCCCTATCTCCCTTCCTTCATGGTCCATGAACAAAATTCATCCTCTCAGTCGTCGTGTTCCTCCTTCTCGTTACCGATAAGTCCCTGGCTTCGCTCCTGCCTCTTGCCCCAAACCTCCTTGGCCCACTCTGACATCCTGTAGCCCCAGTGCCCGGCCACGACAACGCCGCTGAGGACGTTGACGACCTTGAGCAGGAACTGCATCATCCCGGGCCGCGTCTCCTCGATCAGAAGCAGGATGGGCTCAATGTCGTACTTGAAGAAGATGCCGGGGACGCTCTGATGGTTGACCTCCTTGCTCTGCTCGGTCACGGCAAACTGGTTCGTGTACAGCGTCCTGGACGTCCGGCTGATCGAGTACATCGTGGGCACGACGGAGAGGTAGTACTGGAACTTGTGGAAGCCGGTCTTGGCCGTGTTGACCGTCTGGTCAAGCGGGTTCACCAGCGATGGGTAAAAGGCCCCGAACGAGAATTCGTTGATGACGTGTGAAAAGTTGAACTCTGTTGGTATCCTTTTCGTCAGTTTTAATTCAGAAACCAAAAAAGGAAAAAAGGAGAGAGAAAAAAAAAAGAGGTCTCCTCACTGTTGTGGTCCAGGTGCTGGTCCCCCATTCCCGTATACCAATCATGCCCCCTAGCAGTGATGTGAAAGTCGCCCTGCACCTTGTTCAGGCGAAGGTCCCCGTAGATCCGGCAGCTATCAGCCGGTCCCTTGACCTTGGGCGTCTTGGCCCATTTCGGCTTCCGCTTGCCCAGCGCCACGATGTCGTGTACGTGCTCCTCGCCGAAGCCCTCGTCCAGATGCCACCCGGCGTCGGTGATGACGCGCCCCACGGGGTCGAACCCGAGCCTGTGCACGCCCTTGTTGTCCACCCACTGCGTCCACGAGGTGGTGTCGCGCTTGAGCCGGTCGGCCGCCATGATCCGGTCGCCGGCCGCGTCCTGGACGTTGATGTGGAGGTCCTCGCACCGCATGCGCACCACGATGTCCATGTTGATCTGCAGCTCGTGGCTCACCCCCTTCTCGACCGCGAACGTGTGGTTCTCCGAGCCCCGCCACCACCGCGCCAGCTCCGTCCAGATGAGGAAGATCGTCACTACGCCCATCGTCACCGTCCACTTTCCTCCTCCCGACGTGCGCTGCACATACTCCGGTTTCGACTTTGCTGTTCGACGCGGGTTCTGTCAGCTGGCGAGGAAACTCAATTCTTCTCATATATATCGCTATCGTGGGGACATGATGAATTGCGAGAGAAAAGGGGGGAAAATGAGAAGCAACAACGGAAAAGTAAAAAGAAAGGAAAAAAAGCCCAAACTTACGGAAAGCATCAAATGCCCTGACAATGCGGCCCGCCTTCGCACCAAAGGCGTCCTCGTCGAGCGTTGCGCGTTTCTCCTCGTATTCGTTCATGATGGGATCGTCTTCCCTCGAGCCAATCTTGCCCCCCGCAGGTATGGATGACGGCTGCCAATTGACAACCTCACCTGAACTTCGTGTCGACCCAGGAGTAGCTACTCTTTCAGTTTTCGAGAGATGCGCTGTCTAAGAAATCGAGTTACTCGGTCTGGTCTGGTCGAGGATGGTTGCTCGGTCGCAGGGGGTTCGCTGTCAGTGCCCGCCGCCAAAGCGAAACGAATTCCGGCGTCTACCGCATTGAGAAAAGAAAAAGAAATCCGATGAAAAAGTGCTGCCTAGAAATTTTGAGATGTCGGGCGGGAACGTTGTCGTCGGTCGTGGCGTAATTATCGTTTCTCTTCGTCGTTTTCCAGCGGAATCAAACGACGCTGGCGTTGGCAGCTGGAGAGGACACTTAACACAAGCTAGGTACCCATCTGAAGTCTCTCGTCTTATCATTGGCTGTTCTTGGAGCGACCTTGCAGAGTTACAACGTAAGGTAAGGTACCTACGGTACCTTATGACGATATGCTAACCCCTGTCACTCGACCGGTACAAGGTACAATTAGGTACGAACCGGCAAGTATTCGTGAAGGGGGAGAGTCGGGGAGCCCCAGCAATGTTGAAGGGTAATACGGAGAGTATCTTCACTATAACTGTCACGACTTGTAATTACTCAGTACGACAGTACTGCGTCCACGACTGCACAACTGCAGGACTACAGTACTGATTGTAAGGTTATTTGTCGCCATGAAACAACCCAGAATATAGATACGTAGAACGCCGAAAGTTGGGAATATAGAATGCTCAAAGACGGAAAAAAGTCGAAATTGACAGCCTATAAGCATAGCAATCTGAATCATAGGCCCGTCACTCCTCCTCCTGACTCCCTCCATGTTGCCCACTTTCTCGCCCGAGACACCACTTTGAAAGCGCCTGTACGGTCGCCTAGTGTGTGCCAGCCAGGCGTTCCACATGTCTGTGGTATGTTTTTTTGTTTCTGATAATACATGAGATGACCTTTGTAAACACAACCGCAACCCTAACATAAATCTGGAGAGAAGATTCTGCCGATCAAGACGCAAGCAATAGCTACCGTTTAGGGAAGGAAAAACAACCATAAGAAAATGAAAATAAAAATAAAAAATAAAAAGACGTATAACCCATAGAATCCAGCCGTCGCTTGTGGTACTCCAGGTCCGAATAATATCGTTCATCGTCCTCACTTCCGCAGTCGCTTCTCCTGCTGTTCGAGGTACTCCTCATCCGAGGCATCAAGAATGTCGTACTCCTCGTCGGTCATGAATCCACCATCCGAGCCGTTCCACGCCACTGGCTCATCGCAGTCCCCAAAATCGTCGACCTCGCTCATTTCATCGTCCTCTACCCCGTCCGTGGCAGTGGGGGAAGAGGCCGTTTCCGACCTAGCCTCCTCATGAACGCTGGAGATGGGGGACTCATTCGCTAGTTTGGGAAAAATCATCTGGCTGGCATGTGCGTCATCGCCCTTCTCTTCCTGGACCTCCGCCTGGACCTCCGCCTGGAGCTTCTTCTCTTCGGGCTGCTCCTCGGCCTTTTCGGTCGCCGTAATGACCTGGGGAGGGTTCTCGACTTTGACATAGCACCAGAGACGGTCGCCGAATTTGAGCCCGTCCTTCGACGCCAGCCGCCAAAACGAAGTGAACTTGCCTTCACGGGCCGGAGTGCGCAAGAGGACGGTGAACGAAAACTCTAGGCCCGGCTGGAGCGGCTGGTAGCAGATGGTCGACTCGGAAGCCGAAACGAGCTCCGAGATGCCCGCCGGCTGATTCGAGTCGACGTGGCCCATGTAATCGCCGCCGACGAACTTGACACAGCAGTTCTCCGGCCAGGCAAACCCGCCGTCGTTCCGAAGGACCCAAGTCTGCTGGAAGACGTGATTGGGAGGCAGCGTGGTGCCGTCGACAACTGTGTCACTGACAAAGACAGCCGATAGATCTTTCTCGGTAAGCTGCATCTCTTTGATCTCCTCAACCGGCTCGGGTTCTTCTTCGAGACTCTTGACGTATTCTTTATATCCATTCAATGTCACGGTATCTTCCTCGAGGAACTTCTCGTGAACAGGAACCGGGTCAAGATCTGCGACTGTCTGCACCGAGGCCATCGACCTCGTATCAGCCCCGCGAGAGCACGAGCACATCTTGTAGCGGTCGCCCATCTGCGGCATCAGTTCGCCAGTGCCCTGTTCGCCCGTCGTCGTGACAGTGACTTGCCGGATCGGCGTCCGGATCTTGAGGAGCGGATGCGACGGGTTGTGGTGATTTTGGGGACTGGCCTCACAGTTGGCACAGAAATCGGTGTCAGGGCAGATGGTGCACTTGTAGCGGATACCCGAGATGTACTGGGGCATGCTGGTGACACTGCAACAAAGCGGGCCGTCGCAGCAGATGCCGAAGTGCACGTTCTGACTGCCAAACGTCTGACGCCTGACGGTCTGGAGAGGCTCATAGACGGGGACGAAGCGGTGGCCGGGGTGTTTGACCGCGACACTCACGACGCAGTCGCTGCAATAGTCCCAGTCGGGGCAATCGAGACACTTGTGGCGAATACCATAAACAGGTGCGTCACACCCATCGCAGAAGGCGTTGTGTGACTGATTCCGGCCAGGAGCAAGTCGAGCCTGGATGTGCCCAGGCAAGACCGAGCCCTCCACGGCAGGTACAAAGCCGTGTCGGGGGTGGTGGCCATGGTCGCCCTTCTCGAAGCACGAGAGGCAAAGATCGTAATCTTCACAGGTGGTGCAGTGCACAAACTCGCTCTCATCAAAGTCATGAATGCACGAGTTGCAGGTCCGGATGTTGCAGGGAATAATATTAACATGATCATTAGTGAGGCATGTTTCTTGCTCGGCGGCAAGTTCCGATACTTCATCACACCGTGGCTTGGGTGGCGCCATCTCAAGTTTAAGCTCGAAAGGATCCTCGGACAGCTTGACCTCGGGCGTGACCTCGGGCTTGGGCTTGGGCTTGGGAGCAATAGTCTCCGTAGTACTTGTGATGACCTGGCCATCTTTGACCGTTCTCTTGATCAGCCAGTGGTTCTGGTCGTGACAAACAATGCCGCTGTCGACGCAGCTCTGGCACAAGTCGAAGTCTCCGTCATCGCAAGTCGCGCAGTGGTAGTGCGTGCCAGGAACCGTCTTGTCACAGTTGTTACAGCACACAGCATACGTGAGGTGAGGAGGTAGTTGTTCGAGTGAGACGCTTTTGGAGGTGCAACCACCGGTTGGAGAGTACCACGCATCGCTAGCGTCGGCACCGTAGGCGTATGCGAGGTCGTTCATCGTCGACATCTGAGCAGAGAAGTTCTGGCGCGCGGCACAGACGCTGGCGTCATGGATCTTGACGTGCTCCTTCATCAATGCCATAAGCGAGCCCTCGAAATCGCCGCCGGTGTCGGTACACGGCAAGTCCTTGTTCACATCATTCACGGGCTCGGGCCTGGGTTCGTGGTATTGACCTGTACCTGACAAGGACGCAGCAGAACTGGTGTAAATCGGATGCATGGGTTCAGAAGAACCCGAGGAAGGTGGTGGGGCATCTTCAATGTGGGCAGGCTGGAGACCGGTCGCGGTCTGGTCCGCCTGCTGCTCCCGACGCGTAACTCGCAGCTTGAGCTTCTGCTTGGCCTTGGCAGCCCGGTAGAGTTGTTTGTACACAGGGGGGTCGTCGGCGTCGAGTGTGACGTATGCCCCGGCAGAGTCGGAGTATCTTTCAAGCACGAGGTCAACGTCGGCGGGAATCCCAAGAAAATCGCGGACCTATGGATAGAAGGTGTCAGAAATTTAGAATTCTTTTTGGCGCGAGCAGAAGAATAACGAGATGCCTATTGGGGAGAAGGTCTGGGAACAAGGGCCGCGGATATTCAGTGGTCGGGTAAGCTCCGGGGTCTTCCCCATGTTGCCATTGATCATGACTACGAGCGATGGTGTCCGTCATGGCCCATGAATGGGGCTAACTCGTCTTACCTTGTTCTCCAACGAGCAAGGTCCAACCTCACGGAGGCCCAGCTTATGGCGGCGAGTGAGGCCCTCGAAGCTGATCTTCAGGGTAATGGGGGTATCCTCGTGGACGGTCTTCTGTGCCTTCGGCCGGCTGGGAAGCTCGCGTTCCGAGGGCATGATGGGTCAGGATAGGGAGATGATTCCGCTGTAGGCGGTGGTGAAGGAGGTGGGAGAACCGGGGTCGAGTATGGCAGTAGCAGATGATTTCGTAGGCGTCAGAAGGATGGATGTACAGTTACTGTCATGGGAAGAGAGGGAAGATATACGTATGTCCAGGGAAATAGGCAACGGTCAACTAAAAAGAACAAAACGAAACAAGAAGAAAACAGAACCCGCGACTATGTGAGGGAAACGAAACGGCTCCGAGTCCTTCGTAGCGGTGGCGAAGAGACGGGTGGTGTGGAAAGGAAGGCGAGGGAGATGGGTAACATGCTAGGGAAAGGGAGCTGGGAGACCCGGAGATGATAAGTGGAGAGAGTTTGGGGGGGGAGCAGGTGCCTGTGCTTTGTGGACCGAACCCCGACTTTTGGAGACGCTGCGAGGCGTCACCAGGAAGTTCAACCCCACAACCAACTTGATGCTTCACATGAACCAAGTACTACTACTTACTATTAGGCAGACATTACTCGTCACTACCTAGGTACAGTACAGACAGTACAGTGTAAATGTAGCAGGCAACAGCAGTATCGGCAAGTACCTCTACCCGACAAGTTGTAGACCCCATAGTACATAGGCCGCGGACAGACAGAGCGGAGAAGTGGACGAGCACAAAGACTGGCTGGTCCCTGATTTGAGCTAGACCCGGACTGGGACTTGTCGGGAGAGGTATGTACGGTAGTAAATACCTAAGGTACGTAAGGGGGATGGGATGGGGCAAGGGCACTTTATATTACACGTACTTCGAGCTTGCCTCTCGAAACACCAAATTAGGTACAAATACATTTTGGTATATTCATTGACCACGCAGCCGAGGGGTCTACCTGCGTGGCGATGACGAGAAAGGAGCTCGCATACGTTCTCGGGCTAACACCGTTTGCGTACCGTTTTCCGTACTTCGCAGCCAACAAGACTTTATCGGGTTTCGTACCGTAACATGGCGCAGTACCTCTCCAGCCCAGTCACACTCTCCGGATACGGTAGTCTCTCACGTCACACAACCTGAAGCAAATGGAGCATCGGTGACATTCGTCATAGGTACAGCATGGACGGCCTGAGTTCCGATCACTTAGTCGCACCGAGGACGCAGCCGGCTTGACTCTCCGAGTTCTCTACTTGATAGGATGGCAAAAAACGGGAGACAAGTAAAAGAGGAGTTGAGGGGGAGCGCAGCCGTCGCCTTGCTTTACTACCTACTTCGTTGGCCTGAATACGCTGTGTTGGAATCAAAGCGTTCGCCGATTGCCTGGGTTTTCCTGTAGGGTGTGAATGTTGTGGAACGAGTACTTCGTAGTAACGAGACGAGTTGTCTCAGGTCTATCCGTCCCCATCCTTCCACGGAAATGAGATGAGACAGGTCTAGAACGGTAGGAACTCGTTAATTACGGCCAGAATCCCATTCACCCAGAGCCCAGTTTCTCACTCTTGTCTTCCCATTCTCTGATTCTGTGCCCGGGGCGTCCTTACGGGCTACGCAGCCAGAAGATTTTCTTCCGCGAACTGGGATTGCTCAGTACCTACGGTACCTAGGTAAGTACAACGTAGGTATGTCGGTTTCGAGGTCCCGACAATGGACCTATCAAGTCGAGCCGGTCTTCCATCCCGGTTTCAACAAACCTGAAGCGGCTCAGCATTCGAGAGCATCAAACTCAGCAACCGGCTTCATCAGAAAAAAAGCACCTCTCTCTTCTTGCGCTACTTATCCGTAGGTCATATGCATGTGAATGGATCGATACGACGCCGTTGTCGACGCCGTTTTCTTACATTTGTCATCCCCTTTTCTTTTTCTGGGCCGGTGTTACTGGTACTTCAAGGGAACGAAATATGGGTTGGATGTGATTTTATATCGGGATAGAAGCTGCATGTTGTGTTCCCGTAACATCTACTCTACTGCAGTATCTATGGTCACGGTCAAGCTCAGGTGAGCGGGGAGGACGGTTCAAGACTTTCGGCCCGGTCGTTCCCGTGGTGAGTCTCGCCGCTCTCACGAAACGTTTTGTTAGAGCACAGGAGCTCCAGGGAAACTCTCGCATGGGCCTGCATACTTAGCATCATAAATAAGGTTGGACAACCTCCTTTATATCCCAGGGTATGGAAAGAGAAGAGTTCATAGCGGCGATTAGAGTTCCAAGTCTGGCACAGCTTGGGCTGAACTTCAACGTTGTCTCGGGACTATGACGGAGTTCCCTAGTTCCTCGCCCAGGCTAACGCAAATCTTCGAATCATGATATGCGAACGTACCCTCCAACAGCCCGTGTTTTCTCTCACTCTCCCCATCTCTGTCCCTTTTTTTTCCTTTTCTTTCCCCTGTTGGTACTTGTGTCCCAATGTGCACTGATATCGGTAACCGACGCCCATGATCCTACCGGCATCTTAAGGTATCGAGGTAGGGGAGATATCGCGTGACTAACCCTCTATCATCCCGCTCTGTTACCTCTGCATCCCTTCCTGATCGCGTTCAACGCCCTGGGTTATTCCCAATCGCAGCCTGCGACAGACTAAACGGCCCTTGACATGTGGCAAATACGCACTCCCTTGAATACAACCACCTGATATAGGGTTTGATAACTAACTAGTATTACCCGTTTCGGCTTAAAACTAGCTGGCTCTTGCTCGATTACCGAGTACTGAGAAGTCTGCCATTGATTTTTGCCTGTGCAAGAAAAGTGCTGGCCGCTGTGGGATGTGAGATGAGCGATTGCTATCTCTATTTTCTCCAGGACCAGAGCCAGACGCTAGCCCCTGGGACAGGCGGAGTAAAATTCGGCGTGAACTAATAATCAGTATACAGCTAGCAAGAGATATGTTACGCACCTCTGGTTGGGAATACGATTTCGTAATTAAGAGTGAACAGGTACGAAGACTCAACACAGCTACAGTAATACGAATACAGGGCGAACGCCCAACAACTCCCCCCCCAACGCCCATGTTTTTCCCTCCATGACCCGTCAAGACTCCCCCCCAAAAAAACGAAAGCCAAATCGGTAATGCAATTGTCAGACCATTCGACGGTGACCACCGCGGGGAAGCAAAGGAAAGAAGGGGGCAGGAATCGAACACAGATATCTTGAGTACGAGGAAAGCGTCGAACAAGGATGATTGTGTAGTCCTCCACTGGAAACCCATTGCCCCCTTTATTCCCAGTTTTCGGCGCCCAACTTCCTAGCTCCTTTTTCCAACACGTTCCCACAATGAGGTTTTATCCTTAGCAATAACACTGCTATGTGTAGAAGCTAGCAAGATGCCCGGTTAGCGATAATGAAAAGGCCCAACAATTGGTTCATCAGTCCTTCCTTCAAGAGCATAAGCAATGAGTCCCCTCCGCCCAAGTAGCAATACTGTATCCAGAATAGCAGGATATGTGGTCGAGGCCCATGACGAGGCCAACCCAAAGAGAGGGGCAGATGAATCAGTGGTAGACGGGTAGGTCATCATAGGTAAAAGGAATATGGCGGCAAGTTCCCATCGGTCTACTGCGGGTAGTAAACGATGGGGGCTGGGGGGTAAAAGAATCCGTCAGGACTGGGTGTGACCACACCTCCCATCCCTGGGACGCCTGTACCGTATGTTTGAGGGGCTTGGAAGCCCGGATACGCATCCATGGGAGGAGGCATTTGAGAAGCGTCGTAATAATAAACCATGCCGTTGACCTCCTGCGCCACCATGTTAGGCGCAACACCCATTTGCCCGGCTTGTCCGGGTTGCTGGCCTGCTTGCGCGTCAAGTGTATGCGGCTGGCCGTAGACCCGACCCTGTCCTGGCTGCGAGGGCGGATTGAAGGGCGCAGGTGCAGCAGAAGGGGCCATGGCGGCGCCCGGGTAAGTATGGTGTGGATAGTAGTAGCCTTGCTGCTGCTGAGGCTGAGGCTGAGGCTGAGGTATGGGGTACTGCTGGGGCCCGTAGTAGCCCTGCGGCGGGTAGGCGTTGGGCTGAAATGGCGGGGCGTGGATGGCCCGTTCTGGAATATGGGGCAGCGGAGTCCCGGCAGACTGCTGGGACTGGTAAGAAGGTTGACGCGAGTGGCTCTCCTGCCCCAGACCGTTTGAAACCTGAACAGGAACCTGTTGGTGGAAAGCCTGCTGAAAAGGAGGCTGGTTCAATTCGATATCGGCAACAGAGACAGTCTTCTGTGGTCGCGGTTGATGCATGGGGAGGGGCCGACGGTTCTCATGGAAGGTCGGCTTCTGCGGGAGAGGATGGGTTTGAGGCGGCGGGAGGTCGCTAATGGAAGCCTCGGCAAGCAGGGCCGTAGGTCCGGAGGCCGCGGCCATATCGGGCCCTCCGTACATTTGGGGCTGAAGCTGAGGTTGTAGTTGAGGCTGAGGCTGGGGTTGCGGAGCCGCGGGCGGGAGGCGAACAACAGGCCTATTACCTTCGGGAGGGATCGGAGGCCGCGAGATGGCCGAACCAGTGGGGGAGAACACGTAGTCACGTCCATCATGGGCAAGGGACGATCTTCGGCTGAGCGCAATGCTGGGAGAGTAGGTACTGCCATAGAAGCTACCGCCCAGCACGCTCGGGCGCCGTGAATAACCTCCCACAGAGCCCAGACCGGGGCGGGGCTTCGCGCGTGCGCGTTGTTGGTTAGGCCGCATCGCACGGGGTATGAAAATAAACGACCTGTCGATAGCAGGAAAGATGTACCTTGGCGGATTGTCGGGCAGAGAGATTCGGACCGGCTTATCGCGACGGAGAGGAGGCCGATGATCAGGCAATTTTGTGTATTGCTTAAACGGCATTGAAAACGCGGTCGGGTTCTGTTTGCTGAAAGGAAGGTACACCTTTACCTGCACATTCCCAAGATGTTTCTCGGTCGACATCGTCCGGTTAATTGGCGTTGAATTGGGTGGACATGTCGGAATAATGCCGCTCCCGTTGGGCGGGCCCTCATCTTGCGCTACGTTCCTACCGCTGTATCTTGGGGGCGCCGGGTTGGCAACGACATCGTGCATATCATGAGCCCATTGGTTGCTTGTCAGGGGATCAGAGGGGCCTTGAAATTGACTGAGAGATTCGTCAGCTCCGTGTTGGGTGGCGGGGAAAGAAAAGAAAACAAAACAAAAGAAAACAAAAGAAAAGAAAAAAGACCAAACACAGGCCAGACTCACTTAATCGGAGCAAAGGGGCCTCCAATGGCACCGCCGCCGCGACCTCTACCGCGACCTCTTCCAAAGGGACGGAAGCCGTTGGCAGCAGGACCAGCGTGACGGTGGTCGTGCATAAAGAAGGCCCCTCTATTCGGCACGAACGCAGGGTCCTCGTCCCGCCTTCGCCTGTATTCCTCGTGTTCACGGCGACGACGTTCGCCGACAGGCTCTGCCGGCTGCTTAGGTGCTGAGTTCGAGCTGACGACCAGTGGACCGTTAGGCACGAGGGGGGGCGCAGGAGCATCTTGGGGTGCAGGAACAGAGCTGGGTTTCGACACGGCAGCATCTTCGACATGCGACTCCAAGCCATCACCGTCAACCTTGTCGGCAATAGGGATGCCATGCGTCATCAGCTGCGTGTCCGAGGGGACTCTGGTATCAGGTTGGGCCACTTTTTCCGCACCATTAGCGGTCGGCTTCGGCTTGGAGGCGTCGGGTGTGACGGGCGATTTCTCATCGATGATACTCGTATCGCTGTCGGCGTGGTGGTCACGGTCGTCGCTTGGCGCGGAGCCCTCTGAAAAGGAGTCGTCGTCAAGTTCGAGGTGATCGTGGGGCCCCTCTTCCTCTGCCTCATCCTCAACCCGTCGTCTCCGCCCGAGCATCTTACTGCGTCGGGAAGCCGACATGGATGTGATTAGCCGCCTCCTCAGGCAGGAAACAAAGTCGAAGGTTGAAGCGGAGACGGAGGAGGGGAAGAGAGGCTGGGAGGAGTTGACGAGTGAATCATGCGGCGTGTGACGAAGGGCGTCGTCTTACCCACGTCACACCAGTAGCTGACTGTCCGTTGTGACGAGTCGGTAGAGTGAACGTCCCCGGGTGTCGTCGAATGAGGAAACAAAGGCAACGACCGCCGCCCTGCGGCAAAGATACAAAGAACGTCGAGCGACTTTTGAAAACAGAAGAAGAAGGGGAGGCAAGTCGAATAAAGCTTGAAGAAGACAAGAACCGACCGGTCCAGCTAGCAAGCAGCCTCTTCGTGGTTGGACGCTTGTCAGGGGGTGGGGGCCTTTCCTCTGTGGTCGGGTCTCTCTGCATCTAGTGAAAGAGCAGAGGATAGACAGGAGCAGGAGCACAGCCGCGGCACGGAGGATAACAAGATAATGTGCGCGGGATGAGTGCAAATTCCCGAGAGGAAAAATGAGGATGGGAGACGAGGAAGACTCGTTGTTTTTTTGGGGGGTTTGGGGGAAGCCACAAGACTGGCCAGGGTGGAGATAAGATGTCGGGTGGTGATGAAATCGGGACGAGGAAGATTTTAGCCCTTGTCTTCTGTCGAAGTTATTACTGTACCTGTCAGTTGCCCACAGCCACCTTATCGAGGTGTGACAAATCACATTATATTAGACTTATAGGGTACCTTATTCCTATATATCCATACTTATTTCCCCTAGTTTTTCCTTATAGTTAAATATCCCCGTGAAGTACCACGGACTTTACTTAGATAAATATATATATATATAAGTTTCTGTACCTTATTTATTTTCTAATAGTTAGAAGTCTAGCGCTCTAGTAAACTGATTCTATTCCGATAAATCTAATAGCTTTTAGGCAGATATCCTATCTTTCAAAGCGTTAAGTCTATTACGGCTAGAGCTATTCTGCTAGTAATATCCGTCTACTTTTTACTTTTTTTTAATTATTTTCTCGTATAATTATTTAAAGCGTTCAGTTTAATTAATCGACCTATCTATTTATTATATTATACTGCTTTTTAGTAGTATAATAATAACTTCTATAGTAGTAGTACCCGTAATAGACCTTTTAAAGCTTACCGCGCTAAAAGATTATCTTATTCCGAGCTATTAAGATTATCCCTACTACTATATTTAATTAAATAAAGGGGTTAAATTAGTTCCTATATAAAAAGCTGAAAATAATATTGTAGTTATTAATAATTATTATAACCGTACGTCGTTATGTGCGGAAGATAGGATTCCGAAATAGAAATTTATGGGTCTGTCTATAACCGAACTATAGTCGGAATAAGCGGCTACTACAGTTGGAATAACGGCTCTCTATATATATAATTTTCGGCACTTTATTTGTGATCTGACAGTACCTTTGACTGATGGTAATTACGGTACTCCTCCCTCCAATACCTGCCCCCTCTTAGTCTCTATTGCAGGCATCTGGATTAGGCGCTGTGATTAGGTATCCTACACTGTACGAAGTAGGTATGTGCCACCAATATTCTCCACTGTTCGTGTCCGGTCCGCCTTGGGATACATGCACACACTATTCGTACAGCTACCTACACGTACCTACCTACCTATGGTACACTTCAGAACCTGGCCCAGGCTCTTCTTCTCTTGGGCAATTATCTAAGGTACCTTAGTATGCGTACATTGCATATCCGTCGGTGCCGAGGAATTGGTGCTACCTGGGTACGTATCTCTGTGTGTTTAAATACCTCCGAATGCCGGGACAGACACACAAAAAGGAGAGCTCTCATTGGCCGACCACTTTACGAAATGCCAATTGCTCTGTTCCGTCTGGTTCCCTCAATGCCCTGTCAGAGCTTAATAACAATCCGACCGTTCCATGAGCTTCTCAGCTCAGTCTTGTTCAACCACAATCGAATATGTAGCTCCGTGCTTCATACAGCTCACATACGAAGTAGTTAGTTGAAGAATCGCTCAATAAACACTCTGCACATGACATCCATGAATTGAACATAATGTATGGATAGATAGGTAGTAAATTATCTATGGAGTAGGGTACCTTAGTGAACAGATGGATTCTCGCCGCAGGTCCTTTTCATGTGTCTCGCAGTCTAGAGCAACTGGCAGATTGAGCGTTCTGCTATATCCGCATATTCTCATCCAAGCGGATACCACACCTGCTTGCAGATCTACATACATGGTTGTTGTAATTTCCTCTGCCTTATTTCCCCGTGGGATGGGCTTGGGTCACTTTGAACGACGCCATGCCGCAAACTGATACTTTGCCTCCTGACACTTGTCGAGCTTGTACGGAGGGGGTAGCTTGGTGGCTAAGCTATGGTAAGGGAAAAGAAAAGAAAAGAAACAACCCTCCCTCCCCGCCCTTCTTCTGAGGGAGCGTCATCTCGTACCTCAACTCGTGTCAATTAAAGTATGAGCCGACCACGCTCTCTGCCGCAGGGCTTGTCGTATCCTCACAACCAAACTCTCGGTCGCCGGTCGGCTGACTGGCGGGTGAAATGGAGGTCGGGTACATTGAGGTACGTGAGGTACTGTACATCAGTTGTCATTAATAAATACAGTAGAGTGATATGTACCTTAGGAACGCCTTGCCAGCTACAGTATGTACCTATTCGAGAAGGGTTTGGAGTAAAGATCCTCTGCTTGGGTGAAGTTCAAATGGCTAAGGCACTGAGAGCTTCTACATCCTGAACCTTTGTAGCGTGGTGAGCTGAGCTGATTCTGTTCAACCTCAAACAGGGAGCATGTAGAAGACCTCCTCATTTCCACACGAACATGGACGCCATGCTCCTCCTATGGCGAAATCCATTATCCTACTGACAGAAGGCGGGCTCATGGGCGAGTTGTACCCTTTGCACCTACGATCCTTCTTCAACATGTAGGGCAGCTACCGATGACCACTGAGATGACCACTGAGATGACACTGAGATGACACTGAGTACCACGAGAAGGTAAATCATGTTTCTTTTACGTTACTACACATACACGACGTTGAAGCGGTCTGGTTGGGTGCGGCGTCCTTCTCGCTCTTTATATTCGTTCAGGACTTTATTAGGCGTCAACATGTCAGCCTCCCTCGGACTACGTGTCCTGCAGATGCTGCATTATGTATATCCATCCCTCTCGCAGCGGTAGGAGGACTCTGGCGAATCGGCGTCGGGCGAGAAACCTCTTGCTCTCGCTGTCCCACCCGTCGCAACTAACTGGCCTCCACGATATGCACCTCTTCACAGTGTACATGTCTCCATAATGCACGAGATTCTCCCCGCCCAAATGTGTAGAATCTCTTGTGTAGGGCAGATCTGTAACGGATGCGATTTGGTGTATATGTCGTTCATCTCAGATTGCAGAAGTAATCGCTAAAGATGAGGGGCTTTCGAGATAACACTCTGGGCCGCTGAACCGAGTTCTTCCATCGAGGAGCCGCATGTGCCCAACCGGTCATCGTAAATAAAGGGAGTTAAAGGGGCCAACCCAAACGCCTCCAGCTCGAGAGCTCAAATGAAGAGAGATTGTAGGCTTGGGGAACCCACTCGCAGTACTGGCACCCGTGCCCCAGGTCCCTGGTGCGCGACGATTTCCTTTTCCACCTGTACTCAGCGTGGCAGCGTCAAACATTTCTGGGACAAGAAAATCACGGGTTCAGCCGGAGTCGACCACAGCAGAATCCTCGGACACCGTTACTGATCCAACATTCCTCCCCATCCACCAGGCTATCCACAGAAACAACTTCTTCTACGGCCAAGCCCCTGCGCATCTGTTTAGTCAGGGAACAAGAGTGGGAACGACCATAGACTTACCGCGAGAGGGCCCATCGTCGTGAAGTCCCATCCTGACCACCGCTACCCGCGTCCCAGCTAAATTTACTAGGCACTGGAGGAGTGGCCCAGCGGCCGTCCCTCCAGAAGTACGGGGTCGTCATGCTGCCCTCCATGATAGACCCGTCTGCGTTGTTGACAAGAAGAACCTCCTTCAGGTCAGTGAGCTGGATACTGACGCGACTTCGCGCCCCGTCATATATAGAGCGCTCCGTCGTCTTGAAATGGGTGAACTCAGAGCGCGCCGTCTGGGCCGAGTCCGGCACGACATCGTAAATGGGATCCCTCAACGGGTCGCCCTCGAGGTTGGCGGCACCGGGGGGCGGAAGGCGAGACGGGAAAAGGTTTTGGAGTGATGTTTTCAGTGTCGGGCCCATCTCGCAGGAGAGTTGACCGTCCTTGGTGAGTAGGATCTTGACTCTCAGGGGCGAAGGCTTGGTAGAGGCAGCAGGCTCCATGAGCTCCGTGAGACGTGCCAGGCCAGCATCCCCTTGAAGTGACTCGATGGCCGCCGTCCAGCCCCAGTGGGTAGCGGCTCTCAGCATCCGGTCCCGGTGGTAATCCAACATGTAGAGAGGTGACCGGCTCTTGAAGTTCCAGTCCGCACCGCCGGCATATTTGTCTGGTATGCTGCAAAGGGTGGTATCATACCGTAAAGAAGTAAAGAGCTGAAAGAAATGGACCATTATTAATAACACAAGAGTGTTTTTGTACCGCCGTGATTGAAAGGATACGGGAATGATGATGGTGAGTAAGGTAAGGTGGTGTGATAGTGCTGTACGAGGACGTAGAGCACCGAGTAATTATGTGATAGCGGTTGTCCGTTTCAGATGGAACCGACCAGACAGAGCATTCGTTGCTTCGTAGTATAGGAAGAGGCTTTCAGGTGGTCGAAGAAGGAGGATATCGATATCGCGAGAATTCTGCAGAGTATATTGATTGATTAAGAGGTAGTACTGGATCTATGGATCTCTTCAGGCACCCCGATCATCGGATCTCCTGGTGACCACCCTACAAAATACATTGGCTTCTTTGAAGAACCTGGAAGTGCAAATTGCCGATTTACAACCCATACCTAGGTACGTTTGTACCCAAAGGTACCATACCTAAGATACCTTACGTAAGGTATAGTAGGTGTAGGTACCGTATGTAATTACCTACGTTGTACACTTTCTTGAGCCACTAGTACCCGTGTTCAATTGGCCCAGCCCACTGCCTTATTTAATCATCAAGATTCGTACGAATAGGTATTACCGGTAATTTGTGCAGCAATGACGAAGGGAGTCGGCTTATTAATAAGTGTTGCGTTGTGAAGGAAAAAATCCCAAGCGCGGAAGTAATCATTCAGCCCAAACCGCGACCTCAGCAAGCTCCCAGACTTGCGACCCCCATCATCGACCTGAGCCATACCACCACTGGTCCCATTAATTGTGCGATTCTTCGCGGTACTTTTCTCTAGGGCTTATTTTATCTTTCTTTTCTCAATTCATCCTTGGCCTGTTTACACACAGTCGGTGGTCATGTCCAATCCTCTACCTTCAGTTTCTCCCACGGTCGCTCGGCCCGTGGCCGTTCCCGTCGAGTCGTCATCACTCTGGGATCGTATCACCACATGGGCATCCGAGAACAAGGCTGTTGTCTACACCATTGCTGGCGTTGCTGTTGTTTTCACTGGTGCTGGTGTCGTATACTATCTTAACAGTGATTCGGTATGTTCCTGTTTCCCGTGTCACCTTGAAATTGTCCTCCCTCCTTGAACAACCCCGATGAGAGAGGTCTAGCCAACCCAGTGCTATCGTCAATTGGCGCCCATGCAACGGCGTCATTTAGTCTAGTCCGTCGCCTTTTTTTGCTGACGCTTGATGTGCGATATAAGAACAATAACAACGGTGCTCCCAAGCTCAGCAAGAAAGAGAGGAGGAAAAGGAAGGAGGTCGAGAAGAAAGCAGCCGAAGAAGCAGAGAAGGCGGCTGCAGCACCGGAGAAAGAAATCCCATCGCAGCCAAAGCCTACAAGTGTCGAAAGCACCGACGAGCTGCCCGAGATCGATGAGGCATTCGTAGCGACACTATCACCAGAGCAACGAGACACTTATGCCGGGAAGCTTAAGGATGCCGGCAACAAGGCGTACGGCAACAAGGAATACAACCGGGCCATCGACCTATACTCGAAGGCTATTCTGTGCAAGGCGAACCCCATTTTCTACTCTAACCGGGCCGCCTGCTACAACGCCTTGGGAGAGTGGAACAAAGTTGTCGAAGATACCACCGCTGCGACCAACCTCGACCCTGAGTACGTCAAGGCTCTCAACCGCCGAGCCAACGCCTACGAGCATCTAAAGATGTATGGCGAGGCTCTGCTCGATTTCACTGCTTCGTGCATCATCGACAGCTTCAAGAACCAGAGTAGTGCCGAGGCCGTTGAACGTCTATTGAAGAAATTCGCCGAGCAGAAGGCTCAGGAGCTGATCGCCAACCGTCCCGTCAAGCTGCCGTCCCATACCTTTGTCGGCAACTACCTGCAGAGCTTCCGTACTAAGCCTCGTCCTGCCGGCCTGGAGGACTCCGTGGAGCTCTCGGAGGAGACTGGCCCCGGTCAACTACAGCTCGGGTTGAAGGCGATGGATAAGCGCACAGGCGATGGCTACGAAGAAGCGAGAGCGGCATTCGACAAGGCCCTCGAGTTGGGAGACCTCGGCGAAAATGAAGCCCTCGGCTACAATTTGCGAGGCACCTTCCGATGCCTGCTCGGCAAGCACGAGGATGCCATGGCTGACTTGACTAAGAGCATTGAACTGGATCCGTCCATGACCCAGAGCTACATCAAGCGCGCCAGCATGAGTCTCGAGATGGGTGCGGCTGACGCAGCCGCCGAGGATTTCGAGAAGGCCCTGGAGCAGAACAGCGAGGACCCCGATATCTACTACCATCGCGCACAGCTGCACTTCATCAAGGGCGAGTTCTCCGACGCGGCCAGGGACTACCAAAAGTCCATCGACCTGGACCGCGACTTCATTTTCTCCCATATTCAGCTCGGTGTGACCCAGTACAAGATGGGTTCCATCGCATCGTCCATGTCTACCTTCCGCCGGTGCATTAAGAACTTTAAGGAGGTGCCTGATGTGTACAACTATTACGGAGAGCTGCTCCTGGATCAGGGCAATTACCAGGAAGCTGTGGAGAAGTTTGACACGGCGATTGAGATGGAGAAGAAGACCAAGCCCATGGCCATGAATGTCCTGCCGCTTATCAACAAGGCGCTCTGCCTGTTCCAGCAAAAGCAGGACTACTCCGAGGCCGAGAAGCTGTGCGAGAAGGCTCTCATCAGTAAGTCCCCCACCCAAACACACACACACACACACACACACACACTAGGGCTGCTTGACCTTTACTGCCTGTTGGTCCACTCTACTAACCTGCACGTCCAGTCGATCCCGAATGTGATATTGCCGTCGCCACCATGGCCCAGCTGCTCCTCCAGCAGGGTAAGGTGACCGAGGCACTCAAGTACTTCGAGCGCGCCGCCGAGTTGGCACGCACTGAAGGCGAGACAGTCAACGCCCTCTCATACGCCGAGGCTACACGCACCCAGCTTCTGGTGCAAGAGAAGTATCCCAAGCTGGCCGCTCGGCTGCAGGGCATGAACCCTGCTCTGGGCCGGTAGAGCCGCATGACCGATCGATGGGGACCTTGATGAACTTGGTGCCATGCCGCGGTTTTTCTTACTGGCTCGGCGTCTCACTTAAGATCCAAGCGTATTCGCCGGAGTGCGGGGACAGTGTATGATTTCGAGCTGTAAGATGTGTAACTTGTACAGGAAAGGTAGGAAAGGTAGAAAGAAGAGGGAAAGGGTGAACATCGGAAGGCGAAGCAAAGGGATTGGAAGTGCGTCTCATGTCTTCTTCCTTCGAGGGTCTGCCACCATTAGACCAGGGCCTGTCTAGGCAAACAAAAACGGGGGGTATATTGAACCTTTGGGGGGGGGGCATAATTGTCTGAGGGCTGCCCCTGACATTCGTTCGTTGATGCATGCCCCACGTAAGTCTGCATTCGGACCAGGCTCGGGGCGTGCCATCTCTGTATGTATTGTCTTACTGGGTCCGTCTTGGCCACCAGAAGGCCTATTTCCCATGTTTAGGAACGGTGGAATGGGGGACGAAGACGCGTGGCTCTGGGATGGTATCTGTATATATTAGTCAAGGTAACTCTTAATTATCTCCTATTCCCGCAGCATTCAAGATGAACTCCATGATTTCGAGCAAATAGCGCGGTATAGTATGGACACATTTTGCAAGCGGCCAAGATAGCGGTAGGAGCTTCTGCCTAAGGTAAGGTAGGGGCCAAGTTTAATCGTCGTGAATAGGTCGTTCGAATTAGGTACGTACAAGGTGGTTTCTAGGTACTCCCAGTCATCCAGAACGCGACGATGAACCGCAGCGGACCGGCAACAGCGTCGCAAAAGAAAAGTACATGACATAAGGCAAAACAAAGCAAAGTAGAAAGAAAAGAAAAGAATAAGAATAAGAAACTCCCGGAACCCATCTGATGTGCAGTGACTCGCTATTCCTCGGACAACAATCACAAAATTGTCATGAGCTAATCCAAATCACCCATGACAGATGGATGTCGATGGAGGAATGATGTCGCCGTTCCCAAGAAGTTCCAGTGGCTAATGCCACAACAAAAAGTCCAAGTGGCAATCACTTGACCGACCGTATGTACCTCCCCATTTTGTCCAGCGTAAAACTCTCTTCTTTTCACATGACCCAGAATCGGATTTCTAGTTGGTCGCGTTATTGGCGAAGTGAATGCCGAGACCGACACCGAGGCCGATGGCGAGGAGGATAAGGACGACGACCAAGAGGCACCACCACTTGAGCTTACGGCGATTGCGGGCGTGCTTGTTGGCAACCTCGACCTGTTCGTTGCCCTTCTGGAGGTTCTCGACGGTGGACTGGGCGTTCTGCTCGGCGGCGTCCACGACGGGTTCCTGCTGCTCGACGAGGACTGCCATCTCCTGGAACAGCTGGGCCACCTCGGCGAGTGTCTGCTCGATGCGTTTCAGCTCGCTGTGGCGGGCCCGGACGTTGCCGAGGACGGAGTTGGCTTGTCCTAGGTGGTTGGACTTGAGCTGTATGAGGGGAAGGCCGGGAAGGCCAAGCAGTCAGCGTGTGTGTGACTGTTCGAAATTTGGAAAGGCGGGAGAAGTTGGAGAGGCGCATTTGAAAGGCCCCAGGACCTGAAGAGCCATTGAAAGAAGAAGAGGGAAAGAAAGGGAAGGGGAGGGGGAGTGGAAGTGGAAGTGGACATACCGCTGTTTGGAAAACACCTTCATTACCCCAGTCAGCCTCGGTGGCTTGTTGAACCTCTTGTTCGGAGGCGTCCGGGTTGACAATGCGATATTGGCGGGCGATTTGATCCTTGTAGCGACGCTGGTAGTCGCTCTCCATCTGCATGTACTTCTGCAGCTCGTCTTGGAATGTCTTCCTGACCGAATTGAGTTGGGCCTGCTTGGAGGCACGGGAGGAGTCGGTGGTACGGGCGGCATCGCGCTCAAGGAACTTGATTTCGTTGGTGATGGCGGTATTACGGACTTGGGTTTGCGAGACGGCCTGATTGAGCTGTTGATTCGAAGAGACGTCGGTAGACGCCAGAGCGCGTTGATGTAGCTGAGCGATATGTTCAATGTCGGACGTCAGGGAACGGATTTCGTTTCGGAGGTACTGGACGCGGCTGAGATAGTCTTGCTGGCTGATGGTGGCCGGGCCGCCTGATTGCTGCTGTTGGCCGTAGGATTGCATCTCGTACTGGTTGTTTCCGCCATGTTGTTGACCCTGAGAGACAGAACCGTTAACGGGCGTTTTTCCGGGAGCGGGTCGAGTCGCCCAGGGGGGCAATCAATTGCGACACAACGAGGCGGCAAATCACGGGGGGTTTCGAAAAGGAAAAGGAGTAAAGACGAGGTTTGATGGAACCGTACCTGATCGTATCCGTAGCCGCCCTCGGCAGCGGGCGCCTGGGCGTAAGGGTTGTTGTTATACTGCCCGTACGACATGATGATAGAATGTTAGGCAACCTGGGCGGACTAGAGAAGAAGCGCGGGTGGTGTGGTGTCGAGAAGGAATTCGGGGAGAGTAGCAATCGATGAATTCTTTGGGGCGCAAGTTTCTTTCTGAAAGTCGCGCAGAACAATTCAGGCTGGATAACGAATTTTGGCCCAGAAATAATTCGGAAGGGAAGATGGCAGCAGAGTGCAATTTGCCTGGTGACGTTGGAGATTGGCCGCTTATGGCGTTGGAGCCACCCTGGTTACGCTGTGGCACTCATCCACGATAGCCTTCCAATACCCTGTCTAATTCTGGTCGTGGCGGTGGCAAGTGTATAGCTCACTTTGACCAGCTAGACATGCAAATGGCAACTTGAATAAGAGTAGAAGAGTTCGTGGTATTCTGTGCAAAATAGAAGCAATGTAATTATTGAGATGGACTGACTTGCGGTCTCTTTTCGGAAGGCGGAAGCAGTCGATAGAGAACTTCGAGCGAGTGGCAGGCAATAACACGGTGAAGCCAACACGAAGGTGGTTGGTCAGGTTTGTACGAGACCAAAGTACCAACGGACGGTGTACTACCTTACCTAATAAGGTATACTATGTTGTACTTTGTCTTAGAACATGTGCCAGACGGGTACGGTGCGTACTCCCACCAATATAAGGTATCGAGACAATAGAGAGATCCATCCCCTTAAAAAGGCGGAGCAATATGGACCCACATGTGGCTTAGCAGGGGGAAAAGCTTGTGCGAAGTAGCCAGTGGACTTCCGTCTGAAGTAAACCCAAGCTTTCCAGAATACGGTGAACAAAACGAAACGAAATATTTATTATGCTAGAAGCGTCTATAAGCAAGCTGCTAGGCTCGTTTATTTTACTCTGACCAGAGCCAGAACAGAGAGGTTTCTGTCGACCTAAAGTTCTAAGACTCTCGATAGTCTGACCAGTTATCGGGCTCTGTCCTATAAACCCCTAAACCGGTAGGTAATTAAGGTACGGAGTAGAGGTTCTTGGTCGATGAATCCCTTACCCAGAGAGGTTGTGAGATAATTACCGCGATATCATTGTCTCCCTTTCAGGGGCAAATTAATGGTGTCTATGCCAAAATAAAGGGCAGCTGTCCTCATGATACTGGTTCATAGCAACCTACCATCGGTTTGCATGCTTTGCTTGTTGATCTGTACACTACTTCTTTGATCAGAGTGACCCAGGCTGTCTTGCGGTGGATGTTGGATTATCCGATGTCAGCCTTCGGAGGACTGACAAGCGAAACTGACATTCGATAACAAACATCTCTGGTATTTCTCTCCCGAAGACTCTGGTATCATTCGCGTCGGACAGTCATCTCTGCCCTAAGCCTGTCTTCCGCCTGCTCCTCCTGTCACTTTCTCTTGGCGCTGTGTTCCCACGCAAAGGTTGAGCCTCATCTGCGCAATGCCCCTTTGTACGAATGTGTCGGGCCCCCCTCTGTGTCTTTGTACACGCTAAGTCATTGAGCTTTCCCAACAAGTAATGGGAGCTTTGGGTGATTTGCTCTGCACGTGAACTGCCCTCATCTCCTTTAAGACCTGGGCAATGAGCTCATTGAGGCCTTGGACGTGCCACCAGGCCTTCTTCTTCAACCACAATCCCTCACTATGTTCCTGTACGAGTCTGTCATCTCAGTCTTCACGAGAGAATGCCTTCTCGTCGTGGTTCGACCTGTCGGTGAAACGTACGCCACAGACACAATCCAGGGGCTCCTCCATATATTGGAGTTATACAATTTTTTTCCGCAGAGCCATCCCATGACTGCCATTTCCGGCCACCTCAGAGGTAATTCTTCTTGCGACCAGTTCGGGTATATTGCGACAAGTGCCACTCCACGTCGCCATCCTTGTTATCAAGGGTACCGGCCCGGATTTCGAAGGGCCTCATCGTCATCCTCGGGCCCACTTCAGCAAGCTCGACAGAATCGTACGAGGTCCGAACAAAGACATGGCTGTTATAATCGTTAGAGAAGAGCGTGTGCCCTGGGCTGAAAGACATGAAGACACTTACTGCCTGACTTCAATACTGTCCTCGTTGTTCACAAATGTGACTACTCGGTTGCCCATCTTAGCTTTAGTCGTTATCGGTTCCCGTGGCGGAAAAAGGTGTTTCAAAACGGTCACAATTCTCTGGCCAAGTCGACTGCGCACTCTGTCAGTCCATGAACCGTTCTCGACCGCTCCTCCGCCACGGAGTTCACCAACCTCTTGAACCCTTCAAAAATGAGATGCGGATACGCCTCAGATATTGTGCCATTCCGTGGCATGTCGTGCATGAGGACGACATTGTGGAGGCTGAACGAGACGGTTGGCCCGTTGGGTAGGTGGCTAATTGTGAGACCCGTGGGATTTCCACGATGTTCGTGAAGGAGGATGATGTCACTGAGGCCGTTTGATTGGCATGACCTGACGAGATCCGGCAAAATAAGATTTCCTCGGTTGAGGCGCACCGATGTTGGCAGCAATAGCCTGATTTCCTTGGAGAACGCGGAGAGTTTGCTGGAGGGATCTCTTGAGGTAGTAACCTAGTTCTTTGGTTAGATGAATCGATGCCATTGAACCGCAGGGGTCTATCCCGAGAAGAAATTGCAATACCAGAATGCGCGGGTCGCTCAAGCCCGATGTCACCGAGTATTCGTCATCCAGATCCATCACCTCGGCCCCCTCGACATCTCGCGACTCGTCATATTGGTAGTCTTTCCGCAACGCCCTTTCCTTCGCGATGGATGGATCCAATGGCTTTCCAGACGCTAGGGCTTCTCTAAGCTTCGCACGCTTTTCGGTCGTCTCTGCCTCCTTGAGCTGGAGAGCTTTTCGGTAGAGGTAATCCCTCCGTTGGCGGGCTTGTCTTCGCTGTTGGCCTAGTGTCAGTAGAATTGCGCCGCGAGACTATGCAAAATACATACAATCATGTCGGGACCTGTTTAATGCCGCAGTGTGTAATTCTATCTGAAAAGAACAGAAAAGAGAATATATCCGTATTCCAAGAACTGTAGTGAAAATCCCTGCTTAACGCTGTGGTGTTGTGGTGTTGTGCTGCTGTCGTCCATTTTCCCTTAGTCTGCCGCCCCTCGAGAAATATTTCTTATCGTCTGCGGCCGAGGAAATACCGAGCTTATCGGTTCTTATCAGCTCCGACGTCACATGGCGATAAAGGCGTCCCACCAAAAAAAGGCAAGTGGGGAGTTTGCAAGGGACCACCACGACCTTCACTTTCAATGTTCTCCAAGAGTCACCATCAATTCTGCGGCTACGCTCTTGAGCCTTCTCCACGTCTGCCACGTCTGTTCTGCGATCGCAATTCAAAGAGAAGCAAAACATAAAACTGGCACGGTAACATCAGAGTGCCGTACTATCCGGGACTTGACTTCCGAATCCTGTCCCACGTCAGCTCGTCGGTAGGATGTGACGATTCCCGTCCTCCAAACAGTTCCCGAATCCCTTCTCCGTACGACCTGAGCCGACTCAAGGCTCTGCGACGCCGAAGCCAACCAAATATACCGAATACTGGCAGTTGAAGGTGAGTTGGACTACAATTACCGATCGGCCTTCCTGGGACGGGTTAGGTTGACGCTGTCTGTTGCCACACCCACACTCACAACACGCATTCATTCCTTTTGTGGCTTTATGGCTGTTGCTTCTATTTCTATGGCTTCGCTTTTCCCCTCTTGCCCCTCTTGCCCCTCTTGCCAATCTTGCTCTCCCCCCCCTTTTTTTTTGTTGTCCTTCCGTCTTTCGTCTCGCCATCTGAACATCCGCCTCACTGACTTTGATCCTTTGTCAAAGGTTGTTTGCCCTCTCGCCAGAAACTACCTTCAATAGCCTTCGAAACTCCCGCGCGCCCCCGTTACGATGGAGGGAGCGTTTACTCACCTTGGAAATCATCTGATTTCCGACTCGGCTGCGGCCATCAAAGCTGACGCCGACGACCTGTCGACCCTTGAGCACGATGAGAGTCTTCTATATGGCGGGAAACTTGGCCGAGGCGGGCGCCGACGCGCCGATGACGACGACAATCAGACCGAGCTCTACGACGACGACGACAATGACAGCTTGACGAGTGCGCCCGTTGGAGCCGTGCGTGATCTGAAACTAGGAGCGCCTCAAGAGGAAGAGAAAGAACTCCCTCCCCATGCTTGCGCGTGAGTCTCTTCTCCTCTGGCCTTTCCTTTTTCCTTCCTACCGCTCTTCTGCCTCCAGTCCCATAAATGGGAAACCGTCTGTTGGCTAATCATGTTATCCTTGCAGCTACTGTGGGATTCACTCTCCTGCTTCCGTTGTCAAATGTCTGGGCTGCAGTAAGTGGTTCTGCAGCGCGCGCGGTAACACGACGTCCTCCCACATCGTCAACCACCTCGTCCGTGCTCGTCATAAAGAAGTTCAACTGCACCCCGACTCTACTTTGGGCGACACCATTCTCGAGTGCTACAACTGCGGCAACAAAAATGTCTTTCTCCTTGGCTTCATCCCGGCCAAAGCAGACACCGTGGTCGTCCTTCTCTGTCGACAGCCATGCGCCGCGAGCACTTCGTCCAAGGACATGAGCTGGGACATCTCCCGCTGGCAGCCCCTGATCGAGGAGCGCGCTTTCTTGCCCTGGCTCGTGGCCGCTCCGTCCGACGCTGAGCAGCTGCGCGCCCGTCATATGACCCCTCCCATGATGGCCAAACTCGAGGAACTTTGGAAGGAGGATGCCAATGCCACCGTTGCCGATCTTGCCAAGGCTGCCAACATTGAGGATGAGCCTCACCCGGTACTCCTGAAGTACGACGATCCCTATCAATACCAGAACATCTTCGGTCCTTTGGTCAAGATGGAGTCTGATTACGACAAGAAACTCAAAGAGGCTCAATCGGAGGATGGCCTCCAAGTGCGGTGGGACGTGGGTCTCAACAACAAACCCACAGCCAGCTTCGAACTCCACAAGATAGAATCTGGAGATGTCAAGCTGGCGGTGGGTGATGAGATGCGCCTGCGCTACAAGGGAGAGCTTCGTCCGGCCTGGGAGGGAGTTGGATACGTTATCAAGATCCCCAACAACCAATCCGACGAAGTTAGGCTCGAGCTACGTAAATCTGGTAACGACAAGGTGCCCACTGAGTGCACCCACAACTTCTCGGTAGACTACGTCTGGAAGGCTACCTCATACGATCGCATGCAGCACGCGATGGCCACTTTTGCTGTGGACGACAATAGCGTTTCTGGTTACATTGTCCACAAGCTCCTGGGGCGCGAGGTTGCGGCTGCGCCGATGAAGACAACATTGCCTAAGAAGTTTACTGCTCCCGGCCTGCCCGACCTCAACCAGTCGCAGATCGCCGCCATCCGGGCCGTCCTGCAAACCCCGCTGAGTCTGTATGTAGTAGCGCTT